ACCGAATTAATTTATTTGTTGCATTTGAAATCTCCATATATATCTTCTGAGTTGAATATGCCATTTCATAGACGACTAAAATGCGTTATAACAAATAATTTAGCCTGAAAATTTACCAATTTTGTTCAATCAAAAATTTTTGAAGTAAGCTTTGAAATATCAAAAATACTTCTGTAATTATTTATCAGTTCAATTTTTGATAAATGAACAACGCCGCTTCATTAAAAGAAAAAAGCCTGTGTGTAATTGAAACTGTTATACTGCAATCATTTTATTTTGAGCCAATCCCTAAAAAAATGCTTTGTGATAGTTTGGTGCTAAGCCACTCCAACTACAGTGACTTCATATATGGGCCATACTTATATAATTCAAATAAAAAAGAATACTAAAAGTTCGAAATTTGTGTTGCCGTCTAATTTATGGAATTCGTAAGTGATTCCATTTCCGAAGGCATTAAAAACTCCTGCCGGCTCAATATACATGATTCATCATTTGGGTTGTTTTGTTCATAAATTGAGTAGCCTTCCCCATTCTCCCCTTTTAATTCAAAAACCAATTCTGCGTGCAGATATCCACTCAATAAATATCAGTAATAAAAAAAATGCTAAACAGTTTCGAAATCATTTCTTTTCGATGCTGCGAAACTGAGAATTCAATGAACGTTTCGAATGAGAAACGGACAAAAAATACGGAAATAGTAACAAAAAAGTTTTTCTAGCCTATTTTATGGCCAAGTGAAAAAAAGTGATGTATTATTATACTAGTCGGCGATAAAGGACAATGTTCAAATCAAAGTTGCCGTTTTTCAATTGCGTTGTATTTATAAGCCACCNGTGAGTGGTGGCCTATAATCGGATGAAACATGTTGAATAAATATTTATTATCGTCAATTTGTAAGACATTTTAAAAAGAAAAATATTTTCAATTGATAACATATAAGACTTTTATAGGTACTGAAATTTGAGTTTTTTTATAAAAAAAATAAATATGTGGTTTTAGGATTATGACAAGAAAACACAGATAAAAATTTCATTGAAGTAGTCTACAGTAAAAAAGCAGATTCCATCAATCGGTTAGTTTTTTCAGAAAATCATAAGATATCCAGGTTTTTCGTACAAAAAAAATATTGTGGAGTACAAGCGAGTCGTATAATTTTTTTTATGCAAATCAGATTATTCTCAAGTTCAATAAAATTGTATTCCATACTTTATAGTGAGATTTTAACCTTACAGTTTACAAAATCACAACATGTGATGGCCCTTTCAGGAATGTTCAATAAAACATGCTTTGTTGAGTTTATATGGATAGAAATTTTGTGATCAAAATCAGTCCAAATACCAAGAAATTGTATGTAACAAAAATAAACTCTAAAAGAAATTGGAAATCTCTCTTTTTGAGTAAGTTGAGTAAGTTGCACTCATAGTTTTTTGGTAATTCTAAAATGCACTGTGAGTTTGCCAACGACAGTAACAGTTATATCACACATAGTTACTTTTTCCACTCATGAGTAACTAGGAAGATCATTTATAAAATGATCAGAGGACCTACCTTACCTACCTTAAAATACAGACAAAACACAAGTTCCACTGAATCCTACGAGAAAAAAAATTATTCAGGTAAAAGGTAAAAGTGGTAAAAAACATAGAAAGTTTCATTTCTCTTTTCTTCATTCAGGTAAGTGTGTGTGAAAGCACCATTTGATTAAACAAAAAGGCTAAGATCGCCAGTTTCGAAAAGTGTTTAGTCGAGAGTTAAATGAATCACGTTCTCCCTCCGTAAAATTTTTATAAAAAATTTTAATAAAACATANATGGAATAAAAGGCAAAGAGACCCATAGGTTACGCGCCCGCTAACGCCCAAAACTACTTTCCGGTGGCGAAGGTATTCAGAAGCAATAACCCTTTGATAAATGGCCCGTGGCCGGTCGACCAAAGGACGGCATTCCAGTCTAGGGTTAAAAAACTACGAAGGGATTACATTACCTTCGGACCATGATTTTTAAATTCAGTTGTGAACGGTGACCCAACACGTCACTTCTAAGGGCCTGTTCAGTTAATTTTTCGTTCAAATTTGTGTGTGAATATGTTGATAATATTTTGTTTTTTGGTAAGTTTAGAATCATATTGAAACACTATTAACACCATAAAAAAGATTGAAAATTTGTATGTTTTTGACCCCTTTTATTTGTAACTAACGTTACTGCAGTTTCGTCCTATAATGACATTTTCAAACTTATACAATAAACTAGCAATGGTTTATTACATTAGCCTTTATATAGCACCCCTGGTAGGTAATAATTGAGGTACTTGACTCGATTGAGTACCTGAATTTACAATGCGGATGTGCTAATTTGAAAAACGGTGGGTAAACTAAATCGATTTGATCATTCAACAGGTCACACCCGCAATGTTGCTTGTGAATTTCTGAAGATTCTAAATAATTGAGTTTGTAACCCTTCCTTGCATAGTACAACATGTCCGTATCGTTTAGATTCGGGAACGCTAGATCATCCTTGCAAATAAGTGGTGAAAGAAAATAATTTTTTTGATAGCTGGTGGATTTTTGAAAATAATAATGCCCGCTTTTCATTTTCTTTAACATTTCCGAAATAAGAGTTATGAATTTAACCCCCTAGCCCTAGAGTATATGTTATCTCGAGTGCATCAAGTTTAATCGGTTAAAATATGTCCAAATCCTGTATGGAATTTGATAACGTCCGACTTCAGGTCGGGGGTTCGGGGATATCTCAAATTATTATTACGCAGGAAACTATTATTTTATGAAAGCAAAATTTTCAAAATCATAAGTTGGCACACATTTTGATCGATATATGTCGAGATTAATTCCTTAAGAAGAAAGCAATAAATAAGCGCAAAAAACTTTGTCTCGAAATACAAGTTTTAAGATCTATGTGAAATATTTCAAAACTATTGAGTTCAAAAAATTATGTCAGCGCTTAATTTATGTTATCTTAATGGGTTAAACTAGTCCAGCGCTTAATTTATGTTATCTTAATGGGTTAAACTAGTCCAGTGCATTTAATCACTGAAATTTTGTAAAAGTTGCCTAGCCTTCAACTTTTTAGTTTTTTTGCGTTAAAGATAGATTTACACCAAACGGACTCGCTTGCGACCAGTTTGGTTTTCATAAACAGAAACAAAAACCTGTTTTAGTTTCACAAACTAACTAGTTTACCAACATTTTATACTCTTCGATATCAAATTGATTAGATAATTAGTTAATTCGACTACTTGAAAGACNAAATTTTAAAAAAATGTTATTTCCTTCATAAAAAAATGACTTTTATTCTACTGTAACAATATTTTAAAAAATATAACCTTGGACTCAGCTTTCAAATTTTCAATTACTCATATTTCCAATATTACTGGTGATTAACTTCTATGGTAATTCAAAATTATCTACCAGTGATAACAATAAATTATTAATTTTGCAAATATTATTGATCTCTAAATACGAAAATAGTGAAAGAAAAAGTACTTAAATTGTTATTTGACAAGTTTAATTAACCTCATACACATACACCCAGTAGTTCAGTGAATATTTGAGAAAAAAACAAAAATTTTAAATATTATAGGAGAAGAAATAATTGGTCTCAACAAGTTATCTAATAACCGTTCCTATGCCTTTTTCATAGAGTAGGTAAAAAGTTTATGAATTCTTCAAGAAAAAACCTGAAAATATCAATTGAAAAACAAGTTGTGACTCAAAACTAAAATTATTGAATAAAATTATGGGACTGTTTTGTTTAGTATCTTCGAGATCTCAATCCAGGCTCTTCTGACGAATCTCAAGAAACAATTTTATAAAACATCAACTGTGTGAGAACCGCACAGAAATTTCACACTATTTTTTCACCTTAAACGGTTATCTTACAGGATCGGAGGTGCAAGGGTTGTAGTTCATACCCTTTATCCCTCTTCCATAGTGTTACGTTTTTTCCCGTGGGTTGACCAATAATTAACTACAATGAATAATCAAACTCAACTTTATTTCACTTTAAATACAACAAGCACTTCAACTAAACTTCAACTATTATTTGAGTGTCTATCGCCTTACTAAATCACTTCGCGTACAGCACTGTAACGTCCACTTCACTGTCACGATATGCTCGCGGCTAGCGTTTCTATATCGTAATCGAATGCGCTAGAAAATTTCGCTGAAATTCCGTCGAAATCGGTAGTATAATTGTCGCTGCTTCTACAGCGGCAGGGAACATTGTGCATTCGCGCTCTCGCTACGTCACGTTTGGTTTATGGTTACCAGTGGCGGCCGGCGTTATTTTTTTTTTCGGACATGATTTACAACAATACCCACCCTAGAGGAATATATACAAAAAATCTCAACTCAAATGTTATCCTACTTCTTTTTCTCAGTGTATTATCGGTGACTCCATGGTTGGTTTTTTTTTCTCGAGAGAGAGAGAGACATCTGATTCCATNACATGCTTTGTTGAGTTTATATGGATAGAAATTTTGTGATCAAAATCAGTCCAAATACCAAGAAATTGTATGTAACAAAAATAAACTCTAAAAGAAATTGGAAATCTCTCTTCTTGAGTAAGTTTTCCGTTGCACTCATAGTTTTTTGGTAATTCTAAAATGCACCGTGAGTTTGCCAACGACAGTAACAGTTATATCACACATAGTTACTTTTTCCACTCATGAGTAACTAGGAAGATCATTTATAAAATGATCAGAGGACCTACCTTACCTACCTTAAAATACAGACAAAACACAAGTTCCACTGAATCCTACGAGAAAAAAAATTATTCAGGTAAAAGGTAAAAGTGGTAAAAAACATAGAAAGTTTCATTTCTCTTTTCTTCATTCAGGTAAGTGTGTGTGAAAGCACCATTTGATTAAACAAAAAGGCTAAGATCGCCAGTTTCGAAAAGTGTTTAGTCGAGAGTTAAATGAATCACGTTCTCCCTCCGTAAAATTTTTATAAAAAATTTTAATAAAACATATATTGCACTCACCGCTGATAGATTTCGAACCATTTCTTCACTAATCGGACGAGAAAGCTTCACTTTTCGGTAAAGAGGGTGTGTTTGATAATAATTTATCAATGACACTAAACTTTCAAACTCAGCATTTCCGATAGTATATAATCGTCCATCCAGTTTAATCCGACAATGTTTGATTTTTTTATCAGCCCTGAAATAGTAGTAGCAGTAGTAGTATTTTTCTCAATCACTAACTAATTATTATACAGTTCGGACGAAAATGATCCCCTCCCTTTTAACTTCTGAAGGGAACAATATTTCGAGGTCGACAATAAGTAAAAATCAGTAACAATTCTTTTCACATACACTAAACACTTGTGTGTATACGTATCGAATGGAACGGTAGAATAGGGTGTTCTATAAAAGTGGCTCTACAGGATTCTCTACATTCCAATTCATACAATAATTTTATTTTATTTTTTTAATGGGGATACTCTCTTGTGTTCAATCCCTACTCCCCATGTTGCATAATTAAATGATATAAAATATTCAACAATAATTAAATGAACAAAAAATCTGATCATGAGCATTTTTTTCACTTACCTAAAACTTATTGTATAGCAATTAGCGTCATTCTCACTAGGCCTGACCAAAAATGCGCCTTCAGACTTGACATGCCACAATATTTCCTCAGCTTGATTTTTCCCAGTATTTTTGTGATACCATTCTTCGTTTTCGTGTAGGTTAGGTTGTGGCACAGGTTCTTGTAGAGTTATTGAAAATTCAGCGGTTACTAAAGGAGAAGTACGGTAATGAGTGATTAGGCTATACAAGCTATCGAAGTATTTGGCATCGATTAGATAATACTTTAATTGTTGCTTTTCTTGCTTCGTTCGTATCCTACAGTGATTCACTTGACCATTTCTCCAAAAAGATAAACAGAATTCTCCTATGAAAGTACCACCCGTTCTTACCAGGAAGGTTCCATCACCTGAAATAAAAATGAAGGCTATACCTACACAGCTTAGATGAAATTTTCAACTGCAACTATAATAATAATTATTATTATCATTTGCCACTGTTATCAGTAAAAACATTCATCATAAATATGATGTATCTACTGAAGGCGTACGTAAATAAATAATTTACAACTGAACAAGATAGAACACGTTTGCTGCTGAATGAGAAGTCAATAATTCTTAATTAATCTACTAGTATATGTATTTTCAATCTTGGAATACTACATATCCATCTTTCAATACAACTGACAAATAATGAGAAAATTTATTTTGATAGTTTTGGCCTGTGGTAGGTTCTTGTGTCAAGCTTTTTTCAGACTTTTCGATAGCGTAATTAAAGTAGCATTTATTGCATATCACATGAGAAATTTTTTCAAGTTCATGTTTGTTTTTGTGAAATTATACCGTTATTCTTAGTACTAGTATTATTACCCGTGCTAGGAGTCGCACGTTGAGAGGTACGACCTCGTTAATCCTCAGCTCGCACAAGTTTCGACTTCTAAGAGTTGTCGTTCGTAAGGAGGTGAGAGCTGGTTAACGTAAAAACAGATTATGAACAGATTTTTAAACAAAATTTGAACTTACAGCTGTCTGAAGTCGAAATTTTCATTTTTGTTTGTATTGAAAATAATCCAGATTTCTGAAAGATGATCCTTGAGATACATCTCATTTCCAATTTATGTGCCAAACCCCATGCAGGAATACCGTAAATCATTTATTGTTTATTACAAATGACAAATTACAAGACAGATAATTTGCAGATACTGCACTCTCATAAATGAACTAATTTCCAAACATACAACTCTCTCAACGTATCTACACAGTAGGTTCTGATAATTCTTGCCGCAAAATAACTACTTCCCCGGCTAATACCACGCTGGACATTGAATTATATCCAACTCTATGTCCAGCGTGGTTTCAGCCGGGAAAGTAGTTGTTTTTCAACAGGCACTTACCAGAACCTACTGTGTAATTGTGTTGGAAGAGATGGTGTTTTTGAGATTTCATTTAGAAATATTCATTTTTTTATAGGTATGTATCTCTTGTCAATACAGTTTCAGAGTATATTCCGTCAGAATTTACAATGAAAATATGATTGAAAGAACATTTTGTATGTTTGTCAAATAATTTTTTTTAATTTTATATCATCAACAACTATAAATTTACTTTTCTTTTTTAATCTTAACTAATAAACTAAGCTTTGTGTCAAAAACATATTTCTTCAAATAATTATTTGAAGTCAATACTTGACTGATTATAATCAGTCAAGTATATTTTCATGTTAGTGAATGTCACACTTATATTTAATTACTGTATTTGAATCATTTTATAACTTGGGTACCTTCAAAATGAAAAAAGTTTTCAATTATTATTTTTCATACCTAGATACGAATAAGCGTTCAACAGTTGTTCCGCTTCTACACGACCACCTGGCAGCCGGCCGTGAAACCATTTCTCACTAAAATGCAACTCTTCGTTAGGAACATTAGACGACAGCTTATGGAAACTACCAGCATCTTCTTCATCTTCCGATCGCTCGGATTCCTGACTTTGTTTACAACTATCGGTGTAAAATAATTTATTTTGCGTCAAGACGAAGAAATGCGGGTTCCACTCCTTGTCATCCGCGTCTTCGAGGTACATGAAACCGCTTTTAACTGGATTCCTGAGATCTATTTCGCTGGAATCGTTTTGAAAAGAGAAGGAACTCTCCTCCTGTCCTTCTGGAAGTTTTTTGTGTTTCAGAATTATTTTTCTTCTCAAGGAATAAGGAGATGGAAGCTTCGTTTCACCTTTTTCAACTGGGTGAGTCAACAGTAAGTCGCCAAATACCTCCTGAAATGGTAAATTGGACATGAATTTTATGGTCATACGAAGATATTTACCATATTTCCGATAAATGCTTTTATGTATTACACGGACAAGCCCAACTCAGATATAAGTAGTACAGTTCTATGTAGTACTTGATGCAATACATTGAATTAAAAGTAAATTATAAGAATAATACAATTTCAAAGTAATATAATAAGTAGATTATTTAAGAAGCTCGGGGCTGATACTCAGTGCTTTGATAATTTTGAATAGGAGTATTAAATCTCTATGTTTTCGGCGAGCCTCATCATTATTATTGTTTGAAAAGGTTGAGCTGGTCGTTCATTGAATCCGAGAATCATTTGCCCTGAACAGATGCATTATTATAAGTATCATAAGAGAAGTGCAAAAGAGAATGTTCTTCACATGTGAAGTCCTTAAGACAGACATAAAATTTGTGAATAAACACAATGAAGCATTACGGAAACAAATTTTGTTTCCACTCTGATTTTTTTTACGAAATTGGTGACACATCCAATAAAACTGAAAATCAAAGGAGACTAACTTTTTGGAATGTCAAAACTTCTATCTCTGGAATTCCAAATGAGGCAATGAAATTTCTCATCAAAAATGCATTACACACTTTGTGTGGTAGAAAAAATAAATACTCGATTTAAGTTCATAATTAGATGCAATAATATAGCATTGTTGTAAATCATGCCCGAAAGAAAATAACGCCGGCCGCCACTGGTAACCATAAACCAAACGTGACGTAGATAAGAGAGCGCGAATACAACAATGTTCCCTACCGCTCTAGAAGCAGCGAGAATAATGCTACCGATTTCGACGGAACTTCGGCGAAATTTCTACGGCATTCAATTACGATTAGTATCCGACCCGAAAGTTCGGTTTCGGTCGAGTTTCGGCAAAAAAACGGGTTTAGGTTTCGGCGGCAAACCTGCCGACACTACAAACGAAATGCATTCGGGAGTTCTCGCGCTGTGATCGGTCATGTTCGGCGCGTTAAATTTCATACAAGCGACGAAGACATTTTGCCGCGTCCACGTACCTAATCATGTCGTGACTCGTGACTTACTTTTTTATTTACTTTGTTTATTACATAAATATTAAGTACTTATTATTAAAATTAGGTAACAACTTAACTGAGTATTTTTAAGGTGAAATTAATATTTTTCCTTAAATAAGGGGTTATGTTGATTTGTTGATTACCAATAAGAAAAAATGTCGAACACTGCATAACGTTGCGATTTAAAGATAAAATATGTATGCAGATGATGCAACCTTGGGCAAAAAAATATATAAAATAGATGATCCTCATATGATCCATACTAATTTATCTACAAGCATTTTTTAGAAACTATATTGACGAATCTTATCCTCTCAAACCTATTTTAGATATTGTATTGATGTGTCTAAAAACTATGTGTTTCTTGAGACTAATAAAATTATTATTATTTAGTTGAAGTGTTTGTTGTACTTGAAGTGAAATAAAGTTAAGTTTGATTATTCAGTATAGTCAATTATTGATCAACCCACGGGGAAAATCGTAACAGTATTATAATAATTATAATAATTGTTTGTACCAAAAAAATGTGTCACTCTATTTCTTCTTCAAATAATTCATTATTACCTGCATCGCAGCAGCCATTTTCTTCTGTTGTGGAAGGGTGCACTTGTCTTCAATAGACAGTATGACAGGATAATCTGAGGTCACGAAAGCATGTTTTTTGATGGTGGTGATAACATCCATGAACTTGATCCTTGATGTTAGAGTGTGTCCGTGATATATAAAAGGATAACCATCTGGTCCATCCCAACAGTCAAGCTCAATACATCGACATCCCATCCTCAAACACCTTACGTAGGCTTCTACGGAGGACTCGCTTTTGACCTGATCGCCTGTTGAATACCTAAAAAATTAAAATGTTCATTACTTTTTATTGTACAAACTTGATCACTGGAATTTAATGTAGTATAGTATCTGTAGAGACATCAGCTGGAGAAATAGATGGTTTTTCAAATTTTGTCTAATTGATACTAGAGAAATGGAGAGACTGATTCAAAGTATAGTAATGATGCGAAATTCATTCAGATTCTTCGATTTTTTTTTCACTTTCTGGATGGTAGACAGTGATCGAATGGACTGATTAGTACCAAACTTTTCGTATGCTACTGCATATATCTTCAGATATCATCAGTGGTTCTGTGTTGACTACGAGGACGTTGAGAAAGTGAATAAAATTGTTATAGTTGATCGTCGAATCACTATTGGAGAAGTTGATGAGGATGTCGTCATATCGGTTGGCTCATGCCATGCAATTATTTCGTAAATTTTGAACATGAAGCGTGTGGCAGCGAATTTCGTTCCAAAATCGCTGAATTTTCTTAAAAAAAACCTGTCGCATAAGCATCGCTCAGGAATTGTTGAATAACGTCGACTGCAATCCAGATTTGCTTAAAAGGGTCATAAGTGGTGATGAATCAAGGGTATATGGTTATGACTTCGGAACCAATCTCCAATTGTCCCAATGGAAGAGCTCAGAAGAGCCAAGACCAAAAAAAGCAAGCCAAGTTCGATCAAATGTCAAGGTTTTGCTGTTTTCTTCGATTACCGTGGTGTAGTGAATCAGTAGTTCTTGCCACATGGTCGTATGGTCAATATCAATACCAAAAAAACCTCCGGTATTGTGGAGAAACAATTCATGGCTTTTGCATCAGGATAATTCGTAATTTTTTCGCCAAAAACAACACCGTAATCATGCCTCAGCCACCGTATTCACCAGATTTGGCCCCATCAGGTTTTTTTCCTGTTCCCAAAATTGAAGACAGCTATGAAAGGACGGCGTTTTGCGAATATTGAGGATATAAAAACCAAATTACTAAGAGAACTCAAGGACATACCAAAAAGTGCATATCAGTACTGGTTCAAGGATTGAAAAAAACGTTAGCACAAGTGTATTATATCTGAGGGGGACTACTTTGGAAGAGACAAACTAGAAATTGATAAATAAATAAATATTTTTTGAGAAAAATGCAAGTTCACCATTTTTTCGAACAGACAACGTTGAATTAATTTTGCGAAAGTGTTTCAGCTTACAAATTGATAAATCCACAGTTCAATTTTTCACTCAGATCATTCAAGTATGCAATAACAAGAAGATGACTCATAACACTGCCTGGAAGATAACTTCAAAACATTATCAAATAAATCAACCATTTAAAAATGTCAAATCACAGATAATTGATCGCTAATAACAAAATTTTACAAAATTACTTAGTATTTTATATTACTTACGTGTTGTGTGACGAGGAGATCCAATAATGAGACAATGGCCTAGACATATCTTGATAAACTGAATTTTTAGTGGGATCCCACAGATCGTTCTCTTTGGAAAATAAAAAATCTAAAAACTCTGGAATAGTAAAATAAGGTTCCTGGATTTCTCGCTGAGGATCTTTCAAAAAATCGCAGATGAATCGTGACACAGCTCTGTCATCGTTACCCAACTGATCTTCCTGTTCATTCCTGAGGAAGCTTTCAACTTCTTGTAGAGTCACCGTTTTCATATTAGCAGAATACTGTTGTAGTTTATCGAACAAATCGGTTGCGGCCTTTAAAGAATGTGCAAATGAATTGTGTTTCAAGCTGAACAAACTGAAAACTCACCCCTTTTTCAAGTAATGCTTTTTGGTGTAAAGTAGCAAAGTCGTCAAAGCCAATTTCTCCTCTCTTTCTTGTGTCCACTTCATTGAAAATTTCCCTGAGTTTTGTGTTTCCCATTTTCCGGGGAAATAAGGACTTTAAATCTTTTAAATTCACTCTAGAAATTACGTGATTTAAATAAAGTAGTTTTGATAAAAATAGTTGTATTTCATAAATAAGAAATATTAAATTACACACTCTCCAACTACAAAAACTAGTTAGGTTAGAAATTTTATTGTGTTTCTCCCAATACAACATCATAGTAACTGAAGTATCGATAAGCAATCACCCTTTCAAGTATTCCAAATTCAAACCTTCATCTGCCAATTGTTACTCTCACCTCAACAAAATCATCAGTTAGTATTTTAATGTTCAGTTCAACAGTTTTCAAAAAATAGTAATTTACGTCTAATTGTTTTTTAGTAGTGCCACAACACTGGTGATTTTATAACCACAGTTCAGGTTACTTTTGGAACACATCATATAATTTTTTTTGACATGAGTCTACCTATGATTTTTCATATACTCACGTTTCCTTACCACTGGCCATTATATAAAATTCTCTTCTCAGATATACTTGTACTTGTAGGGGATATGGTGCCTTTATTGATTCTTCAACCAAATATCTCAATCCTCTAAGAAGTCGCTCACATTCTTCTTTGGAAGAAGCTAGGAAAAATTAAAGCAAATAATAACATTGCATAGTCTTTTTATTTTATTTCAATTGCCCAACACTTTTAAAAATGTATTGTAATGAATCAAATTGATACCACAAGAATTAGATATCAAGTTGAAATTATTACTAATGTTAAAAATTGGTAGTACTAAAAAGTGATTCCTAAATGAGAGACACAGAGATATATATGAGATAAAATATTTAAATCATATACATTGTTGTGCAGTAACTTATACAGAAAGATTTTATACACAGGCTTTGATATCAACTTTTCTCCAGAGTTTTATAGGTATATTCATTTCGTCAGTTTTTGAATGTGATGTCTCGTAGAAAGGTATATTGTATACTCTCAATTTTTTCAATGGTATTCTTATAAACTGGAGACCAAACACAGGCTACTTTTGAAATATGAGGTCTGACTAATGAACAGTATAATATCTATTGAAATATTACACTGTTATCTGGATATTTGAGAAATCTCGTGAACTTCTTTTAAGGAATCCCAACACTCTTATAACTTTTCATATGAAATTTGAAATATGATCATTGCAAGTGATGATAATGATAATACATTTCATTGTGCATTACATGAATCATGATTACAAAGCTTGAGTGGTTAGAAAATGAGAGAAATTTTGAGTTTGTTAAATAATAGGGGTCTGAAATGGAATACTTCAGGAACCCCAAAGGAACATCTACTTTATTGTACATATATATCAAGACATCTTAACAACTACTTGTTCAATCACTCACCTGCAACACTCAACACTCTGAGATTGAATTCATCTCCATAAAATACAGCAAAACATTTGTCTTCAACTTGTTTTGACTCATCAGGCCATTTCTCGAAGTCTTTAGACCAGGGTCCCTGTCTAATTTCTTTAACTTTACATAAATCCACCTCACCTTCATTGCCTAATTTTGCAGCAGGAGTCAGTCTTGTCCAAATCAACTGTTTAGTTTCTCGTTTTATCGCAAGCTTAATTGAAAGGGATTTCAAATCAGGTCTTTTTCTCCATGAAAATTTTATTATTAGAGTTCCTCTTTCTAACTGACTTATTATTTGTTCTTTTTCTGGTATGTAACCAGAACCAGGTGACAAACCACCATTGAATAATTTCAACATGTCTTCTGATCGATAATAAACTGAAAATTATTACATTTACTTTGTGTGATCGAAAATTTTCAAGTAAGTAATATCTGATATAATATTGTTTTGTTTAGTTTCCGGGTTTTGCCGTGGTCTTCTTTGGTTACAATCTCCAAACTTTGCAACTGCAACAGTCGTCTTCAGTGGCGTGGTCAAAGTATTCTTCCAGAAACCAAACATAACATTGACGCCAGCCATGAAAGCCTACATTCCTATATTAGATATAATATTCTCTATAAGGATATCAATCTCTCAAATTATTTATTAAATCATTTTAAAGACATCAATTTTTGCAGGTTTTATTCCAGAAAGGAGCAGAAAGCTATTTAAGGGTGAATAATGTGAAAGTGGATTCATGCACCAGTTTAAAGTCATATGTTGCAAGGTTCAAGTCGTGAGAATTCATGTTTTCTATTTGTTACTACTGAAAAATTACAACTTTTGCAAATAGATATTATGAGTAAGTGTTATAATGTAATATCAAAGTGATATCTATGCACTTGCATGAATATTGCCACTGAAAATTATTGATTTCTTGGGGCTTGCAACTTATAACTTAAGATTGGCAGCATAAATCCATCCTAAAAATAAAATAGTCAGAGGTAGAGTAAACCAAAAAAATAATTCATGATCCAAATAATGTAGAGCTTGAAAAAAATTCTTTTACATGAAATTGGTCTTGAAGTCGTCATCAAAATTTGAAAATAGAGAATAAAAGCTAGTACAAGCCCAATTGAAATGTTGATGTAATTGATAGTGGAATTAAAATGGAACTGGAATTTCTTATAAGTACATGCCAATATGCATGTATAAACTTCATTTCTTAAGTTGTTCTGTATCAACAATAAAATTACCTCTTTTGTGAAAAAAATGTGGTAGCTTCTTATATATTACTAAAACTAGGAAGGTTGATACAGAATTGGAAGCTACTATCATGTGAAGTGTATACCTATAAGTTACATACAAGTCCTGTAAATCAATTTGGAAAGATGAAAATTAAATTCCAATTGTTGTCTATTCCAATTGTTGTTATCTCTATGATTATTATCTCTACTGATAGAACATGGACAATTTGTGGACAGTGTGCTTTTTGGTGGAATTTTTCAGAATTTGGGAGAAATTTCAGTTTTATAAACGGTCTCAGGCTTTTGAGGAAGTTGAATTTTATTTTTGGTTTATTTGTGGGGAAAATGATGTAGAAATTCACATTGGACAAGAAGTCAGACCAAATATCGAGCTAGCTACTCACTTTTATTAATTTAGGCAGTCATATTTGCTTCCCTAATAGAGAATACTACTGTCAAAGTAAAAGGAACTTCAGGAGGTTTCAGTATGTAGTTTGAACAATTCTCAAATTACACTTCAATTAAAATCAAAACAGGTCTTAGAAAAAAAATGATTGGAACCAAACCACAGTATTGGTTCTTGATATGTTTGTTCTAAAATGAAATTTGCTCATCGCAACATAAAGATATCAACTAAAATCTTAACAGATTATTCTACAATAAAATATAAACCAAAACCTTTCCTGTCACTGTCAAACAGTGTCAGTGTCAGTCAAAGTAAAGCAAGAAAATTTGCATTTCCTGATCCCCGTCACTGTTCTGAGCACAATGTTCTCTGTCACGAACTTACTTAGTGTTCTGTGAATCAATGATTCACTGTAAATCCAGTGTCGTAGTAATGGGTTTTATCATTTCATTTAATTGAACTCTGGTTAAAAAATATACGTCATGGTCGTTAAGGAAAGAAATACTCATCTGTGTAATGATCGTTAGTGTCACATTTATATTTCATAAATCGCGGCAAGCTGACGATATTCTTTTGGAAACATAACACGAATTGTCAAGGCTATATTGAATAATTGATTAATGTGTTGTAGATCTCTTTGTGAAGAATCAATAATTTCATTCAACGAATTTACTGTCACATAAATCAATGTGTCATCGGCAATTAGTTGTATTTCACAATTTTTCATAATTCTACGAATATCATTTATCTATAGGATGAATAATAGGGGTTCAAAAACAGACCCGTGTGGAATACCATGTTTTGTTAAAATGTGATCGATCCTAACAGATATAATGATAAAAAACCATAATAATGAACTCAATGTAGCAAAACGCTATTCTTTCACCCAAAAAAATATCTATAGCATTCTCAATAAAAAATTGAAAACTATGAATGTTTAGGTTCAGACCAAAGTTGAGGGAGCAAATGCATTTTAGATGTAATTTCAACTATTATCGTGTAACTTACTCTCAAATTGATGAATTGTTATCGGTGGGGGTCGAGATTGGTACAGTCGTTCAATATTACAGAAACCATATACCTTCTGTAAAAAAGCTGGCTGTAACTTCAAGGTTGACATGCTGATTCATATTTCCTGCAATTTTTTTAGATTTGTCCACAAACTGTATTCGTTCAGTATGTGTTCTTTATCGCAAAAAATACATAAAACAACATTTTTAGTTTTTATTTATTATTGAAAGAAAATGAAGGCTGACCGTAGATAACAAAGTGTTCGCATAAAAATGGTACAAATGCTCAATGCGAAAGTTATTTTTCCATTTACAACAAAAATGCGAATATTCGAGATATTCTGTTAACCTGATTTGATTTCGGAGGTTTGATGTTATAGATATGTCAGTCTCTCTTGTTGATGACTCCAAGTATTGCCTAACCTTGAACTTGGCTATATGCTATACCGTACTGATGACAGCTAATGAGCCAGAAACACGGGTCGACACGTGTCCACGGTTTGCATATTTTAGGAGTGCTTTGTCTATGAATTTCCCCAATTTTTTGTGTATATCAAATCCACTCATGAAACTATCATCTATACTTACTCATATGTATTACAATATTTATGGTTTCAACTGCAAAAGAGATATTTTGCGTTCATTATTCAATTGCAATTATTTTATGGCATACACTTTCACAGTACTTTCTATTTCCTCTTTTCAAACAAGATCACCATTAATGTTGGTAAGTAATACAGATTTAGTCAAAAAACGTTTATTGGCATGTTCATGTGTTGAAATCACCGACGGTTATGTCGATGGTTGAAATATGTGGCCCAGATGTTTTTGTGTTATGTGGTTTTGTGGATGTGAGTCGCTGACTGCTGACACTCTGACAGTAAAAACCGTTATCAATCAGATTATATTCGTGTAATTTAAACGTATTCTATGAAATACTTTTTAAAAGTTACTTTCGAATAGTATTTGGAATTCAATATTAGTATGGCAAATAAATATTCATCTCTGAATAGTACCTCACAAAACAAAGAAAATGAAAACAGAGGTTTGTTTCTTCAAAACATGATAAAAAATATTAAAGACACCAATAAACCTAAATCTGTACTTACGGACGTTAATGATAGACTTGTTAAAAAAGAGGGAATCGAAAGTACTGTGAAGGTGTCATCAAAATTAGCTCAAGTCGTTGATTCGAAAACCGTCGCTTCTTCCTCGAAAAACGAAGTTCCATCGAATAAAGATCACTCACAGAAACACAAATGGACTTTGGCTGACTTCGATATTGGCAAACCTCTAGGAAAAGGAAAATTTGGTAACGTATACCTAGCACGAGAAAAAAAGTCGAAATTTCTAGTAGCATTGAAGGTTTTATTCAAAACTGCTATTAAGGAATTTAACAATGAACATCAAGTTCGAAGAGAAATTGAAATTCAAAGTCACTTACGCCATCCAAATATTTTAAGAATGTATGGTTATTTTCACGATGAAACAAGGGTGTACCTCATATTAGAATATGCTCCTAGTGGTAAGTACTGAAAATTGAAATGTAATGCATTTAACAAAAATAATTTTTCCACACACTAGAATTGTTCTCACCAAGTTAGAGGGCGAAAGGTGGGGAGAATTATTTTTTCCATTTCTTGCGTTAAGTAAAATTATTTTGTTATACTCAACTAAACAGTTCCAGTTCTACCTGTTCGTGAATATAGATAGATGGAAATGTTTATTGATTCTTATCGATCATTTACACATGACATAGTTAGGTCAGTTAGACGAAAAAATATTACATCGAAGATCGAAAACCGGAATAAAAAAACATCTGAAATATATTTAAAATGGCAAAATAATAAAAACTAAAGTATCAACTCAGTTTCTGAATGAATTCTTTTATCGAGTAAAACGGGTTGACCTGTTGATACCTTTTTATTGTCACGGTGAAGGCAAAGCTTTTTACTGAGAATACTTTGTGAACGGCAGAATAAAATATCAAGCCATACAAAATGAGAAATATTCTTTGAATTCACTATCACTATCTGTTACAAGGTATTTTATAATAGACCATTTTGCCATTTACAAAGTATTTTCAGCCGCTAAGTAGCTCCAGCCTTCAGCCAAAGGGCACTTAAAAATCGGAAAGACTGGAGGGAAACATCATCAGCACACATTCTTCAGCTCTGCAATATATTTTCCAATGGAACCTAATTGTTTTCCCCTGAGAAGATTAGTGTGTTGATACTCCCAAGACATTAGCCAACTGATGCCACTAAAACCTCAATTCCAACAAAATATGTAAATCCATTGTCTTATCACTAGATTTGTCATATATGAATATTGAATCATCATTGATTGTTTCGGGTAGATGGTTAATATATAATGAAAATAAGAGTGGACCTATAATTCTCCCTGTGGTTTGAATAAAGAAAGTAGTTTTTGAAAGAATCACAAATTTTAAATCAATATATATAATTATTTTGACATTGGATACATATTAAAAACATCTGACATTGGATACAAGTTAAAACCATTCTACATTAGAACATGTACTTCAAACAAAAAATATGTAATAAAATAAAATTCTGATGTGTTTGATGCTGTAAATTTTTCATCAAGAAACTCTTCTACTAAGTAGTAGCTTTCTTTGAATCAATGTTTCCTTTAAATTATCTTCAAAAAGTTTTTTGTTCATATCCTTTCAACTCTTCCAGCTCACATATTTTGTTATAGAATTTTGTTCCCATTTAATGTGGATGTTCTTGTCCTATTGACAATCTTGAGAAGGATTGATTGATCCTGTCTTTATACCAAGTATTATGATAGTGGATATTTTTCCTCGCTGTTAGATAAACATTTGTATTCATATGTACAATTATAGAAAAAATATATATGCAAGATAATGTCATTTTGCCAAGATCGACAAAGCGGTTTCTACATGAAGCTGTTTTTGTATTGGTAAAGAGTTTACCAGAGTTGTGTGCTTGTCCAAAATATAGCATCATCAGCCTGAATTATTCTAAAAAATTTTGAGGGCTTACTAAAAAATTTGCAGGTTTTTGCATTTGTTCTACTAATGTCAGCCTTGAAACTAATATTTTTTTATTTCAGGGGCCTTATATTCCAAACTTATTGCAAGCCCCAATAAAAGGTTTCCCGAGGAAATTTGTGCAAAGTACATTGCTCAAATAGCAGATGCTCTACGATACTGCCATACCAAAAAGGTTATTCATCGGGATATCAAACCAGAAAACCTGCTATTAGGTTCAAAAGGAGAAATCAAAATAGCAGATTTTGGATGGTCCGTTCATGCACCTTCTTCAAGAAGAACGACTTTATGTGGAACACTCGACTACTTACCCCCTGAGATGGTAACCGGAAAAACCCACAACGAGAAAGTCGATTTATGGAGTCTTGGAGTGCTTTGTTATGAATTTCTAACGGGAAGGCCGCCATTTGAGTCAGCAAGTTATGACGATACTTATAGAAGAATAAGTAAAGCACAGTTTACATTTCCTCCCTACGTTTCAGATGAAGCCAAAGATCTCATCAAAAAGTTATTGGTTGTGAATCCCAATATGCGCCTAGAATTGAGCGAAGTACTAAAACATAAATGGATTTCCAAATATTCGGAAAGTCCAGGTCAATGATGCGTAGTTTTACTTAGACAATTTTTTAATGATATGTTGGTAGACCCAATGAATGCCTGTCGTAGTTGTTATTTTTTACGATAACTCTACTCAGTTTCTGGTGGTACTTAAAAAATATTGAATTTAATTGTACTCTTTTTTAAGTGAAACTGACTGTTGAACAATTGTTTCGTTTGTTTTAACAAAGATGGATGTCCCATTTTTATTGAACTGATTGCTTATTTATATATTTTCAATTTGTTTGGAACGTAAATATACATATTATTTGAATTGGTTTTTATTTTTTCATTTCTAATCAGTTACATTTTTTGTTGTTTACTTGCTGTAGAACAGCCACTGTCTATTTATTTATTTCAGCATGTTCAAAATTAATTCAATCATTATTTAATTACTTTCAACACAGATAACATGGAAAAAAAATTGAGAGTTCAGTTTTTCCCAAAAGTAACATTTCTAAATTATTATAAAATGTCTTTGTAATAAGTGCAAGCAGATTGAAAGATAAGCCCATGGCAACAACACTTCGGAATTTTCTTTTAAACTTTTTGGAAACACTTCACACATCAAAACGGTAAAAACACTATTCTTGACGCTCGTCACATCAACTAAGTTTTCAATTTCTCCCAATCAGTTTGAGAGTATACACGAGGAAAGTGTAAGCAATTCTGTGGCAGGATTATTCGTTATTGATTGAATTATACGAGTTGTCAAATCATTATTGTACTTTTCGTCTCTTCAAAACTGAAGAACTGGTAAAGTAACCATTTTTTTAAATAAATTCCTTGTATATAGAAGTTCAAAAACTGCAGTTTTTGCTTTATTTCAAAGAGACAAGTGAATGTTGCGCCATCTAATGAGAAGAGAAACTGACACCTCTGCTGAAATTGTGTTTATCGCTTTTGATATTATTGAATATCAAGTTCTTGTTACAATTCTGTATAATTTTGAGTAGTAAAATTATTTTCCTCTCCAAAAAAATTGACCGTGGTTAACACCACAGTTGTGTAATTTGTAATATTGCAGGCTTTCAAAATAAAACGTCGTATACAGGATGCTGTCTATTTATCGTTTCAGCAAATTTCTTTTCGTAGTCCCCATTTAAAAAAAATGGGTACAAAAAAAAAACTTCACCAAGATGGTCACGACTTTAAATCTAGATGTGTTCTTCAATGCTGAACAACTTTTTCAAATATCATTTCCTGAGATTTTTCAGAATAAGTGTACTTTACTCTTGTCACAAAATCAAATATTTGAAGGCTCCTCGTATATTACGAGTGTTGTCCTGTATTTTGTTGGTGCATATTTAGTTTGTTTTAGAGAATGCACAAACTTTTATCAAGATTAACTTTTTGTCGAAAAACCCTTAATAAATAAGTTTCCCATATGGTGCATACTTTGGGGATGACACTGTATTTCTATTTACTTATTAGGATCCTCGGATATTAGTCACTTTTTCATTATTTAAGTGACAATACCTTTACATTGATATTGGGTTAACCGTATATAATAGTAAGTACCTCACTTTATATTTTTTTTTAGTTTGTTTTTCAGAATCGAGTAAAAACGAAGGTCGTGACGTTACTAAAATTTCATATCTTGAAAAATGAGAAATAAAAGTTTCATTTCTCACGATCTCCCACCACATAGTAACTGTTACATCCATCAAGTTATTGAAACAAGCAAGTACAGCTAGACAAGCTACATACTACTTCAAATTGAAAATGAAGTACCATCAAGCATCACAGAACTCATGTGTTTCAACTAAAATTGCCTAAGAGGAAAAATTACCAAGAAATACATTAACATCAGAACCAGGACAAAAACACCAGCAGCAGAAAAGACGATAATGAAGGCATGAGTGATCTGACCGAAAGAGTGCAAAACACTGTTCTCAAAAAGGAGCATCCTGCAACATTATTTGATAGTATTGCACTCCGAACTTACTCGTAAAGTCCATCAGAATGAATTCGACATTTTTTATGACGGTCGGCTCTAGAATCAGTAGTTTTATATATCGAAAGTACCAAACTCAACTTAAGAAACACAAACACAGAGAAAATACAAGCAATATAAACACATATGAAGTTTCATTTCTCATTATCGCCTGCTACGTACTAACATCTACATCCATCAATTTATTGTTATCAACTTGGTAACACCGTAAAACTTACCCATATTGCATAATTCAATTTTCATCGCCCACTGCCAACTTGTTTTTGATAGTCATAACCAAAATTAAGAAGCATTTCATATTAAGAAACAAAGACTTGCAATAGCACTAATTCAAATATTCATCGAGATTATGTTATGCGATAAGGTCTTTCTCTAACTCTTTGGACTATCACTCTGCTACAAAAGCATACTTGCAGTACGGGGGAGCAGCTGTCAAAGCTTAATGAGTCAAGTTTTCACGACTCAAAAAATAGCAGTGAGATCCATTACCAGAGCTATAGTCTAAGATTCCTGCAAGCCCCTTTTNTAAGATGAGATAGTAAAAAGTAAAAAATCAAAACTGAGAAAACAAATTAACAATAAATACAAAATTATTCTGATTCGAAATTTATGTTTTTAGTTTTTGCATTTCTTTCATTACATTTATTTTGTTGAATTTATTTTTAATTTCTTTCATTTTTATCATTCATTTTTCAAATGAGCTTTTTATATTTTTCAATTTTTTACTTATTGTTGATTTATTTTCTCTCATTTTTTCTTCTTTTTTAATACCCCATTTTACTAACTTATCCAAATATGACATATTGCATTTGGAAGACAAAGGTTCTAAGCTCAATAACCTATTAGAATGTTTAGAAATCAATAGATTTAAAAATTTGGGATTATTGCTCAAAGATCAATATATTTGAATTGTTCCCTTTTATTGAATTCAGTTTGCAATTTTCCAGTTTGCAGTCTTCTAGAATAATTTTAAAGAATTACAACAATGTATTAGAAGTTTCAATTTAGAAAATGAAAACTTGTACGTACCTTTTCTTTAGCGGCAACCTTTTTCGCCCAAACAGACTCGTCCCACTTTTCGTTTATTTTAGAATCGTTCCATGCTTTACGGACAACCCTTGTCGATGCAGTGTAAGGGAATTTGATGCGAAACTTTGTTAAATGCAGCTGGTTGAGCCTGATTTGACCTCTTGGTACATTGCTTTCTGGTCCATCAACCAAAACCTTAAAAAAATCAGAATTATCATGTCGCCCATAAAATTTCAAGAGATGTTATGCGAAGGTTTTTGTCAGTGTACTAATTAGCTTCATTTATGTATCAGTCGGCAATTCCTATCAAGAATAGGCTCATCATGTTTTAGGTAGATATACATCTCAGTTGTAGAATGTTTTATAGAAGAGTAACCCATATTCCCGTTCAGCTCCAATAAGACATAATAATGGCAGAACTAGTACTATACGGAGCTATTATTTTGCATAAAAGATTGAAGATAGTTATGGTTGGTTTATGGTTGAGAACCATAAATTAATAATCAGGAAAATGATACCAAAAACAAGCATCTTTCCCCATCACTAGAACCTCAATACACTTCTCGACACACATTTCACAAAACAAGTTGTCAGATTCAGGATATGAAAATAACTGGTTTCTTACTCTGAAAATCGTGTCTATTCATATCAAACAGGGCACGCTTTCACTTTCCGACAACAGGCAGGCTGGATGAACGAGAAACATCTGTGACGTATCTAGCATAAATGTCTGTCAGATAAAATTTATTATCCAGCGTGGTATCAGCCAGGGAAGTAGGCATTTACCAGAACCTACTTTGAAGGTAGTTGAGAGAGATGAATATTTAGAAAATATTTATTTTCTTTCAACGTATGGATCTCTCCTGGATATAGACCCACTCACTCAACCTACCATATCAATCACACCATATCAGATGTAATTACAAATAACATCTTGGTTTTTAGGTTGAATCAGATTTTAACCAACAAAAACCAATATCGTGTTATTTATTAGTGGCATTGATTAACAGAGCGAGTCAATTGTATGAATTATGGTCGCCATTTAGTAGAGGTTAGAATTTAAATTTAATTATAAAAAAATTGATTGTTTCATTCATTTTTACTTCTGAAGCTCAGGATGTACGGCATTAGTTTTGAAGTAAACTATATATTTACTAAAATCAGTTTCTTGATTTTTGAAACTAGTATCTTGAATTCCACACCACAATTCAAAAATATTGTTTTCGGTTCTATCTCTCTGGTAAGATGTTGTTGAAGATATTGATATTTTGCAATCTTTGTTGTATTGAAATGTTTACACAAAAGACAATTAATACAAAACAAGTCTATAATAATGAAAAGTAAAAACCCTTTGAGAACCCTCTCCAATAATGTGGGTAAGTAACCACATTCTGATGGTTAAATTGCAATACTATTTCGAGAAATAAAAATATTATTGGAATTTACTCACTCTGGTTTGGTCAATAACGTCCACAATGCTCACAAGTTTGCCCTTGTTAGGGCCATCTGAGACGACGGCTACGCGGCCCGTTTCTACAAACCTCTTGAAAGGCTAAAACAAAAGTTCATTTTAACTAAAAAAAAAATTAAACCGCATTGATTCTAAACAAGCTGGTTAATAATACTTAATTTTCCTTTAAAAGATACTCTGTATCAACAATAAAAACAAAATTAAATTCTTTCAATAAACGTGGTCCTTACCATGCTTAAACAATCTTAAAAAGAGTGACGTACGTCTCTTCCGGAAACGACTTTAAATTGACATGTACATTTGACTTGACAGCGCAGATTTATTTGACCAGCAGAGGTCGTATCACAAGCATAATGCTCCTAACGACCATACCACAGCCATAAGTTATTGAGAGTGACATCACGAAAGTGAAAGACTGATTTGACTCGAATCTTTTGATATTATATTTATCAAAAACAAAATTAGTGTCCTATCGTTGACAGATTCTAGCAGTACATCTAAATAATATTCAAATTGACAACATACCAACTCCTAAATTCCTTGGCTTGTTCATTGACAATAATTTAAAATTCAACAAACATGTAAATAGTTTGAATTCCAAGCTCTCCTCTGAATGTTATGCAATACGAGTAACTGCATTGGAGCTCGGATCTGCAGTGACTAGAATGGTTTATCATTATCTTTTTGAATCCCATCTTCATTATGGTATTTGCTTTTGGGATGTATGTTCTACCACATGCCTTCAATCAGTATTACTGATACAAAAACCAACTCTTGTTGGCCTCTTTTTGCCTTCACCATAATCCTAACTGTGGTCTCCTTATTTATAAATAAAACAATCTGTCTTCTCTTTGAAAATAGGAAATTGTTTAACAACTTGGACGAGCCAATGTATCGAACCAGCCAAAGATTCACTTTCAAATTATCGCTGCCTCCTTCGACCTTAGTTGAAGGTTTCATTATTTACAACGGGTCCAAAATGTTCGATGACCTTCCTCAAGCTATAAGAACCATAAATGACCTTAGCGCTCTCAAGAAAGAGTTGAGAAATTTGCTTTCTGTGAGACCTTATTACAGCTTAGCAGAATTCTATGATGATAATTTTAATTGATTATGACTAATTATAATATCTACGGTATTTTTTTGACTTGATTCAATTTAGTTCAAATTGATTTATTTCATTTTACTGACCATATATTTGTGTTAGATTATTGTTATTTACATGTCTCTTTTCAGTTCATGTTATAACTTACTTTTAGTGATTTTACTTTATGATTTCATTTATACATTATTTATATTTCGCACAAGGCTTTGTCAATAAGAATTTATTCTTCTGATTTATTACTCTGAGGACGTACCTAATATAAATCCTAAACAAATACGGATCATATATTAATTGATGGTGGAATCGCCTTTTTAGTATTTTTACATTCGATGTAGTACTTTATTCGTATTCGTATTTTTTTTTTTCGAAGGGTTGATGAAACTCCGAACCATGAACTCATGATACGTTCCCACGAACGATTTGCAGATTGCAGAACGATGTTATGCAGTGTTTTCGACTGTTATGTATGCGCTTATTGAGTTGAATAACCGAACGCAGTTCGTGATTACATGCTTTAGTCCTAATTTTGAGTTTTTGACTTGTAGCACTAATTTTCACTTTGTGATTTAGATTTTCTAAAAAATTTAAATTAGCGAGTCAGTTATGGACTGAAGAGAATTGCATCCAATCACATTCAGTATACAAATGAATTACTACTTTTTGTCATTTGAATTATTGTGAACAGGGATTTAATAAGGGTTTTGATTCTATTTCGGATATCTAAATTTTGATTATCATTTTTTTTTATTGGTAGAAGTTTGTATCATTGGTACTTATTGTTACCACAGCAAGGGGAATTAGATATTAATTATGGTTATGAGACTGGAAAGCAAACAAATTTGTGATTCTAACTCTAAATTAAAATGGATTTCTTTGATATTCAAATGCTCAATTTACAAAATATAATATAGTGCACAAGATACTAATTCACGATGTTTCTTCATTCATTTAGAACCAGTATATTTCTGAAAACCGGAAGAAATATTGTAGATCTTAAGAACTCAATACAGATGACTTCTTTGCCCAATATTTCCAGATTGAGGGGATGTTCATTGACTACAGTTAGGTATAATAATTTGAAAGTTGCTGTAATTAGAATTAATATTCCATTTTGTATTTCAGGATATTTTACTCCAGTGGTTGCCATCATAGAAAATCCATATATAAAACGGATGAAGCCAAGAAACTTCGCTTCTTCTTTTTGACTAGATATATTGATTATTTGAAGAACTATGATACCGGAATTGAGAAACGACTCACTGGAGCTTTGCAAATTTATAGAACATTCATGGATGGAGTCAAAGAATTTATTCAAGATACCAAAGATTATTTTAGAATAATGAGAATGTTGAATGCACCTGGTAGAAATTTCTCGATGCTGTTGAGAAGGGAAATCGAACTTTATCACCAAATGCCAAAAGACATGCGCAAAGTTGCACCAGTTCTCTTGATAGCTTCTTTGCCTCTTGGACCTTATGTTATCTTACCGTTAGCTTACATGTTACCTCGCCATCTGTTGTGTTCTCACTTTTGGACGCTTGAGCAAAAATCGAAATTCAGCATACTGAATCTCAGAGACAGATTGTCCCATAACAGGCCTGTATTTCGACATCTCCAAAGTCAGCTTGACTTTCTGAAACCTCATCATTCATATGATCTTTGGAATGGAGTCCTCGCAAAGTTAGGAAGTGGAACGCAACCTCATGTCGAGGAAATCATAAGGTGTAAAGAATTGTTTACAACGGAACCTTATCACCTTTTTTACCTTAGTAGGCGCCATGTGGTGAGTTATGGTAAAATCAGGTTTATAACAAGGTAATTTTCGAGAAAATTATCAAATTGAATCTTGAGTTTTTTGTTTTACTTTTGTATTGTCATCTAACAACTTCATTGTGACCAGGGCCATTGCATTGGTCAATATGCTCAAGGCAGTTTATTGTCTTACATACCAATTACTTGCTTTGATTAGTATTCATCAATACATACTTGTGTTGTGATAGTCCTGTTTTTAGGGTTTAATTTTTATATCTGACTCGACCACATTTTTTAAGATTTTCTGAACACGCTATTTCCAAAATTACCCCTTCGTATTTTGTTATAATTTTTACCAATATTTTCATGTTGTAAGGTGCATCTTCTCAAAATGCATGACATGCATACAGGCTGGTTTAGAAGGTCACGGTTAGCTGAAAAAGCATTCATATTGAAAGAAATGGATAAAGCAATAATGAGAGAAGGGGGAGTTCATAATTTGCCAATAGAAGCTATGAGAAAATCTTGCTATATAAGAGGTGTGTGGAAAAAATAATTAATATTTTCTTTGACAATAACTGACTTGTAATTTGTTTTAGGGTTGAATCCAACAACTTTATCAAAAGAGGAGATGATCAAGTGGTTGACAGATTGGATACAATTGTCTAGTCACATTGATAAGGAATGCTATTCACTACTTTTACATGCTCCTATTTTGCTGGGTTATAATAAACCTTCAAACTGGGTCCTGATTTATAAAGACAAATTGTGATTTTCATGTTAGAAATGATTTTATATATTGAATGTATAAATAAAAATTTATTTATTTTCTAATGTATCGTTTAGATGCTACATGCTGCTTCCACCCTGAATGAAACACCATTACAACAGTTTAGGCAGCTTGATGTTACTTTTAGGCTAATGTTACGTTGATGTGCCACTTGTTTCTAGTTTTGAACATGGAAAAGAACAAAAAAAATTGCTGTTGGCACTGTTGAGGTGTAAATTTTATAGAGGTGGGTTACCACCACAATTAGATATTTGGGTGGCAGCTAACTCGAAGGAATCATCATCTATGATAATTATAGAATTTTCAAATTAAGTTTTATTTAATACGCATTTTGCTAAACGGTAGCTTCATCAGTTACTGGTATTATATATAACAAAACAGTTTGATTGAAGGTGGTTGACAATGTTTTGTGGTGTATTTCATCAGTTCGGACTTCCATTGTCTAATATAATATACATTGATTTGAAATCCCTGATAGAAATTAAAAAGAACCGAAAAATAACAATTTTATTAAACAAAAAACTGAAATTACAAAGAAATAATATACAAGCAACAACCAAAAAAATAAAATAAAAAATTGAAAAGTTCGTAAAAGCTGAAAATTAAAAAATTTAAAATATATTACCAAGAAATGAAACTAGAAATTAAAAGATTCCAAAGTTAAGTCACGACGTTTCGATTGTTAGTATTCGCAATTGTCTTCGGATGATAACTGGACTTATTCCTCCGAGATCTGACTATAGGTCATTCGAGTGCTTTCACCTATCCCCTCTTCCCTCCCACCGCTTCATTGGTTTTAGCGGGAGATGACCGTTTGGCGGGAATTGGTCATTTTACGATTGATTAGAAGTTTCCATATGTTACATATCTCTACGCTAGCTTGGCTAAATGCGTTGTTGGACAACATATAGGCGGCTTCTTTGAATTTTCTCCTAAACCAGTGTTCCTCCTTGTGGATGATTTCAACTTGGGCCCACTTGATGTTATGTTGAAGAGTCATTCCGGATTTGCTGGTTTCTCCTCGCTGTGTGTGTTTCTTGTGCTCAGCAATGCGAACTTTCAATTGCCTCTTAGTTTCACCGATGTATGATTCTCCGCACTCGCAGGGTATCCCGTAATTGCAATTTTTGGAATCGCAGTCCGCGTTTGGTGGCCTGGTTTCCGTGAGGCTGCTACGGATAGTGTTCCCAGATCTGAAGCAGGTCCTGATGTTATACTTGGACCCAATCCTTCTTATTCTTTCCGATAATCCTCTGATGTAGGGAAGTACAAGAACTGGTTGGGGAGGCTTCTCTTCCTTGTTTAGCTCTTGCTGTCTTCTAGCTAAAGCCTATTCTACCATCACTCTGGAGTAACCACCGAGATTACGGTTTAAAGTAGATTCGTAAAAACAGACAAAACTTTTGAAACAATGTAATACTTAGAATGCTAAAATTTGGGGAAAATATAAAAAACCTCTAAAAAAAAGCCTCGGTATTGTTTCAACTGATGAATGTGCATACTATACATTAATAGTGGGTGACAACTATACACTAACAGAATTCTACAAGAGATGATATTTTTCAACAAAGCGCCTAAACCATAATTATACCTACTCTTTACATTTCTCTAAATAATACCTAGGTTTACTTTAAAATTTCATCTTAACTTACGTGGAACCTTTCATCTATCTTTAAACTTTATAATACTCACATTGTAATATGTAGTTATAATAGTGTATAAGAATTACTTTTCTTCAAATCTTCATGTATGTTTCCTCAAGTTACTCAGCTTATAAACCATCTATTTTCGACAGGAAATTTTCTTCAATTTCTCAAAAAATAATTTGAACACAACTGTTTAGTTCTCACTCTGGTAAAAATTTTATTGAAGAGATAGTCAAGTACAAAATATTACGAAATCAAAAAATTCCAACAAAAAATCAGCATCAGTTTTTACAAAATGCATTCTTCAGTTTTTTAGAGATGATCAATAACATTAATAATGGAGAAGTTCTGGTTTCAGTGTTTTGGGATCTGTTGAAAGCTTTTGACTGTGTCAATCACAGAACACTACTGCATCATGGATTCAAAGGTGTGGTCTTCCATCCAAAACAAGCACTTTTTTCAAACACCAGAACTGCAGTACTCTTCGCGACGCGCGTTTCGCTAATTGAGTTGGCGTTTTCAGGAGATGAAGCAAACTACAGAAGACGCCAACTTGATTAATGAAACGCTCGTCGAGAAGAGTACTGCAGTTCTGGTGTTTGGGGAAAAGTACTTGTTTCGCATTTATTCTTCGCCAGACGCTCCAGTCCTACCTTTCTTAAAACTCCTCTATATTAGACACAAGATGTGGAGCAAACCAAAGATCAATTTTAGACTCCATCTTTTATCTCCTGCATATAAATGATCTCAAATAAACACAACGGAAAAATTCACAATTACTATCGCATGAAAAGATTATAAATTCTTTTTTTGGCAGGGTGGATTGTGATTTCAAGTCAGTCAAACTGCAGTGTGATGATCCCATCTCTTAGTAATCAATACCAGGAAAACACCAAGTCTAGCATTCAGCAATTTTGATAATTCACTTCAAAGTTTGGATAATGAAAATGAAACAACTGATTCATAAAAATAGTTTATTGTACTTCAATGATTTACATTTTTTTTTCAACATTAAATAAAAAAGTTGCCAAGAAATATTCATGTATCTTCAAAAGCAATAAACGAAGGAAGTTTTCCTAGCTTTGGCCTAGACTTGAATGGAATTTCTTGATCACAAACAGTCTCATTGCAAACCGGAAATACACAACGTTTTATTTCAACTGAATTTTCCCCTTCATTTATATTATTTTTATCTAGATAATAGCGAGCAGTTTCAGTTTTAGATAACTTTGCGACTTCTTTTGTTTTTATTGGTTCCAACTCTGTTGGTTTTTCGTGAGGTTTTTCTTCTATTTTATCCGAAGATTTCTTGGCAAACTTGTGTTTATTGAATACCGAATATTTTCTTACCATCTTTCCATGCGGATATGGACATCTAGGTTTTGAACAGCCTTTTTTCTCGTAATCCGGACATAAGAACTGATGACGTTTGTCACACTATAAAAAAAGTGTTATTATTTGTGTTTCAAATGAATTGAACTAGGATGTAACCATATAGGTGGGTTAATAGAAAAAGTGGAAATATGAAGTAACATAGAAATATTAAACAAATTAGAATACAAATCAATCAAGGTTTCAAGTGTTGAGGTATTCAACTATGTTGATACATCAATAATCATATCTATTACATCAGCAAATGAACCAGACAGGTTTATTAGTTCAATAAGAGCACAGAGATGATATGGGTCACCCGGGCTTATAATTCGTGATGCTTTCATCTACCTCAGAGTTTCTTAACCTGTGGTCCGCGAATCCTGGGGGTTCTCCGTCTTATCTATGGACATTCAAATCAATGATAATTGCCAGCAAGTCTCCTAATCGCTAGCTGATATCTTCAAAGTCTACAAGGAAAAGATAAAAACTTCTTCCAAGTTGAAGATAAAATAGAAACTGTGATAGAAAAGCTCAACCTTTGGACTAATCATACAATAAAAGAAACTATAATCACTTTCTCACACTGGTAGCGTTTTTGGAATCCTCTGGAGGGAAAATGTTGCCAATGCAAGTAGAAGATGAAATGATTGAATACCTCGCGGTTTGAGGTCCTTTTTGGGATCATTTTCCAAAATCCGAAAGAAATAAAAACTGGATAGTATAGACCCTTTCAACACAGATTTCGGATATCATCAAGTTGAAAACGGTACTGGAAAATCAATTACTAGAAATATCATGTGATTCAGCTTTAAAACGTAATTTCAAAGACTCTTCCTTATTAAGTTTTTGGGTGAATTTAAAAAAGTTCATACATTCACTGTTTTTTTCATCCACATGGCAGCCTTTGCTTTTCAGAATCAGAATCATTTATTCATCACAAAAGAATACACATTGTGTGGTGAAAACTACAGAATATGTAACTTATCGGACTAGTCAAAAAGATATTTGGATATAAAGTAGATTGACTAAAACTGATAAAATATAGACAATAAAATATTTAGTTATATAAAGTGGGACAATGGGACACTATTCAGTGATATAAATATAAAAAAGAGTATAATGAGAATGTACAATTATAACAATCAGACAACGGATTTAGTTGAGGTTTGTACAACTATAATTTTGAAATATAATCAGGAGCCCAGAAACTCTTCTATGCTATAGAAAGCTTTATCACTGAGATATGTTGATATTCTATTAGTCCTAACTGCTGACTTGCTACCGCTCATATCTATTAGATTTTTCATCTTATTGAAACATTTTTCACCAATATATTTTGGGGAATTTTGACCAATGAGAAGCCTGGAAAAGGGCAGATAAATATTTTCCTTATTACTTGTATCATGTGCATGTATTCGGTCATTCTTTAGAAACGTATTTTCATTGTTCTTTATAAACAATATCAAATTCAAGATGTAGAGACAAAGTAACGTTAGTATTTTAAAATTTCGGAAGAGTGGCTTACAAGATTCTGAATGGTGATGATTTTTTTTTGGGAACGAAAACCCCCTAGTATGTGAGTTGAGGATATATATATCAAAAACAAATTCAGAAACAGATTACAATTGGAGTCCGATTTGAGATTTTAACTATGTAATAAAAATCAATTCAAATATTACTAAAAAAGCAGCTTTTAATTTTCATTTATACATTTATTCCTGTGACTTTTATTAGGGGGTTCTTAAATTGTGCTTGATTTTCTAGAGTTCCTTGGACTGAAAATGGTTAAGAAAAGCTGATCTATTTATTTATTAGGCAAGAAATGCTCTTTTGAAAAAAATTGTTGTGATGAAAAATAATTCTACATATACATCATCACACAGATATCCAGTACCATAACAGAAATGTTTCTGAATACATACAGCAAAAATGATATTTATGACAGAGAACAGAGTCAGGTAATCGAAAGTACCATTCTGAAAGAAGAGTTAGCTAAACTAATTGATGAACTGGAAGGAAATTTCTAAAATCTAAAAAAAGGTGAAAACTCGCGGGTTGGGCTACCTATCGGGCGCGTCCCCAGATTTCGGATAGGGGAATGGCCAGGGGACTGAAGGCCCTGTCCGGGAAGCCAATGTGGCCTTACGGACGAGGTCGCCGCACTCCTGGTCAGTGGCAGAAATAAGTAGGGTGAGGAAAACTGAAACTTCTCAAAAGCCTTTGCAAAACATGTCACCATGGACCAGCCTACCCAAGCTAAGGTGTAAGGAATCGTGCCGACAGCTGAATGGCCGCAGGGTGATATGCACCTCCACAGAGGGAACCCCAATAAGGTTGAAGAAGCCGTGCAACGACAGTAATGTCGCTGCACCTTCCAAAACCTTCGCGGAGAACACCGTGAGACACCTCAAGGTTGCCAAAGAGAGTGTTTGTTCGGCGAGTCTTGGCCTACACCTGCCAATATAAAGGAGATGTCTCCCAGTGACCTGTTCCCCTTCCTGGAAAGGACAGGATGGACGATGACCTAGCTCAAAATAGCATTTGAAAGGAATTTTGTATAAATATTCAATACAGTATTCTTCATATCACCCATAAAAAGACAACCACAATGGTGATTGACAAGTTGAAAGAAATGAATCTAAATCAGAAGACATTACCTCTAGAGCCTTCTTGCAGAATCCTTCCAAAAAATCTCTGCATATATCTGCCTTGGGACTGATGCGGACATGTGTATAAGGGCACTGGTCTTTTGAGCAAGATCCTTCTAAGTAAAACTTGCAGGTGGGCATTTTTTCCGAAGACACGTTGTGGGAGAGTAAACAGTTATCGTCTATGCAGGCTCCCTGTAGAAACCTTTAACTCAACATATTAAAATTGATGCCAGAAATACTTATAATAGTTCTTACTTGGTACACAGCGCGATTTGATCTGGATCATGTTTCCTGTTACATTTTCCCATATCTTTCCTCTTGCATTTCCCGAACCTTTGGTAATATATACATGGAATGTTACATTTTCGTAACTTTTCATTAGAGATTGGTTTTTTGAGTGCCAGTGACCTGAAAAGGGTTGAATTCAGAAGTATAGGGATTACAAAACAAACTGGGTAATTTTATCTGGACTCACATGAAAAACATATTGCTTTTTGTAACATATTTTTTTGCGAAAGGTAATGTAGCCTTCTTGCATATCATACATTAGCACACATTTTAGATTAGAATGCTTTTACCTCAATAATAAAACTGTGGAACTGGCTTTTCCCAACAATAAACGTTATTGTCAAAATGAACTTCAACAATATTATTGTTTATCAATCCAGTTAAAGAAGGCTGATTATTAATGAAATTACCATCTTCATTTGTGGAGATCCAAAAATATAAATGTTTTTTTTTAAACAGAGCTATCAAGTACTATCAGTTTGTGACAAAAAGGAAGGAATTCAGAATCATTTTATTGAATAATTTGGAAAAAAAGTAACTGTAATTCACAGGACATTTTTCAAAATATACTCTTTGCAAAATACACAAACATAAAGTAAGACCTCGTTTATTGTTAAGGGAGGGTTAACAAAAAACAGATTTCAAACTGTGTATTTCAATATACCAGCTCTATGATGACATACAACTTATTCATGAAAGGGTGGCCTTAACAAGTTTACATTACCAGATGAGAGATCTTGAAATAGGATATTTTTTCAAAAGTCTCAACTTTAAAGTGGCTCTATCTCTGAAAGTAGGCTGTATCGTCAAGTTTTGACATGAGAAAAAACATGTAAGTGTAACTCAAATAAATTACTAAAAAAGTTTTACAATACCTTCTAATGCCTTTCAGTGAACTCTTCTTTTCTTCTGTAGAACTTTTTTTCGAATTTGAAATTCTTTTGACGAGTTTATATTTTGATTTACAAATTGATTTTTCCTGAATTTTAAAGATATTCTTCTTAGGTTTAGGTGGAGATGTTCTTCGTAATGAATGTGTCGAGTTTTTGTACATGATTCCACTTATATTCAGCAGATTCAATGAACTACGTCTCCATCTTTTATTCATTTTTACAGGAATAGTTTTTGCTATGTCACTCGTGCTTGGACACTTATTAACAAAAACAAACTTAGCTCTCTTAGATATAACTGGGGATTTGCTTTTCCTATTATCCAATTTGAATTTACTTTGTATGTGGAACTTTTTAAGAGAATCATATTTTTTCTTGGAGTCCTTGGATCTTCTAGCCGTCAGTGGAGTATTGTTTTTCCTATTGTCTAATTTAAATTTATTTGCTGTATGGTACTTCTTGAGAGAACTTAATTTTATTTTTGCCTCCAATCCCAATTTTCTCAACTCCTCATTCTCTTTAGATCTAGACTGTGAACGAACTATTTTGAATTTTGAATGTATTGACAACCTCCTTATTCTCTTATTTGCAGCAGGGGAAGCAAGTTTTTGGCTTGCCACTTGTGATACTTTAACATGACCTTTACACTGCTCAAGTTGTAACCTTCTTTCAACAGGCCTGACTGAAAGGGGATTCTCTTGTTGAACTACAGGTATATTTCTCAATACTTTGGGATTGACAAGTATTTTTCTTGTGGCTGGTGCGGGTGGTGTCATAGTGTGAATTTTTGGATTGATGTGTATTTTGTTGCTTATGACTGGCATATATTCGCCTGTTACTACAGGCACATGAGTATTGGCGGGTCTATAGTTAGGATTAACGAATACCTTCTTATTGAAATGTGGGTTTACCAGTACTTTTGATGTAATGTTACGTTGTTCTGCAGTTGGAGCAAGAAAATTTTGTCTGAAGTACACATACTTGTTTACTGAAGTTCCGAACCGATTGTCCACCTGTGGCGTAAAGTAATCTGAAAAAAAAAGATTAATTAAATGGTGTCACTGGGACCCACCATCCTCCTTAAAAACTTACCAGCAGGATAATTCTGCATACTTTCAAAGGAAATTTTACTCTGGAAATAAGTATTCAACAGTATAATAATTAACTGAGAGAAATCTGGAACTGTCCCGAACTGAAACTCTTATAACGCAAATTATTCAATTCACGAATCGTTTTCACCAGATGTTGTCCACAAAAGCAAGGCAGGGCGGTAGTGACAGATGACAGTTGTCATTAAATATGCCTGAGACTAAATAAAAACTTCTTAGAGGCGTTTTCTGGCGCTTATTATTCAAAACATATTCGTCTGTAACACAGGATAGGTAACAGGTAATAATTGACATTGTGATGCAACCCCATGGTTGCCAACTGCGGTAAATTATTGACATTTGCTAATAAATAAGAAAGATTCAGGAAAAAGCATCAAATTCTTTGTCCAAGGTCCCTTCGGCAAACTAAAATTAAACAATGGCACTTTAATCATTTAAAAATAAACAAACACACTTGACTTACCTTGATTTCATTTTTTGCACTTTGAAGAATACGAACTAATGGCTGTATTTCCCGTATATTATTAATCCTGGGTTAGACGTAGCGCAGAATACCTTTAACCCAACTTATCTCTCGGCCTGCCGACCTGCCGTGGGCACAGAAGTACTCATCCCACGAGTGAGTACGACTGGAGTCGTAGACTCAAATTGGCATTTTCAAACATTTTACACTTGTTTGGAGGTGGTTGACAATATTTCATGGTGAATTTCATCAGTTCGGACTTCCATTGTCTAATATGATTCTACTATAATTCACAATCTATGAAAGAACAAATAAAATTGGAATGAATAGCTAGAATATCAACTATAATGAGCAATGAAACGTGAAATGAAAATACAATAAAACGAATGAACTATCAAGATACAAAATGAAAATGGCCATGAAAATGGCCAAAGAAATAAAAAAAATAAAAGGAAGCAAAACATTTAAAAAATGAATTAAAATAGATTTCAAACCAAGTTACTTCACGAAGTTTCAATTGTTTATATCTACAATAGTAATTTGATTTGAAATCTTTTTTGATTTTTCAATTTTTTGCTAATTTTTATTTTTTTTAATAATATGCGGCTGGGTATAGGAAACTTTTTCAGGTGGAGTGTAGGGATACATATTAGTAGTTTCTTCAGCCGTATCAGTACGTGACATTTTAAAAATCTCAATCTTCAAAATACCGTATATGTACACACAACAGGCGTTAAAACGTAACTCACTATTTCGACCTTGTAGCGATATATCTGAATGAAGTCCGTCAGCCGATTGCAGTTAAATCTGATTGGTCAGCGTAAGGAGCTTGTTTATTTAACCCAATAGATGCAAATGTGCGTGGTGATCATTTTTTTGATCACGCATCCATCATTGTTTGGGTAACTTTGTTGGATGGGTAGAGTTTAGGTGTTTTTCGAAATATTATGAACTTTTGGTAAATTGATTCTTGTTTGTCAGCACATAACTATCTTCAAAAAAGGGTTCGTAACATATTCGTATTAACATAATAGTGGCTTCTTTAACTTAAATAATTCTTTAAAAGTTGTAAATAATGTTTGCATTAAAAAAAAGTAAAATAAAGATCTGTTGTAGAAAATAACCTCATCGATCATATTTTAAACGTTTTATGATAGAAAATTATATAACTCATACCAAATTGTCATTTACATAGAATGTCCATTGTATATTGTCTTTGGAATGGAGCGTTCGTTAAATATATTTCGCTCCGTTTACTCCACGTGATCATACATGGTAGGCAACAAATCTGCTTCTGCTCGCTCGGCTTCCGATTTTTGAAAGCGAACATACCTAGCCTTAAAAATAATAAATCTCAAAATTTTACCTAGTTATTCGAAAATTAAATAAAAATGCGAAAAACGCCTGTGCTTCTTCGTCAGCATATAGGATGGCATTTCGCGAAGCATTGGGTTTTACAAGGAAAGCGAAAACCTTTAGATACAGGAGCCGAGAAAATTCTGAAAAGTAAAGGCATTGCTGTGTGCAAACCAGAAGATATTATTGATGAAAAAAAAGAATCCAAGAAGTAATTTCAATTCCAAATATCTGACATACATTTCAATGATATTCATTTCAGAATTGAAATCGTTGACTGCTTTGATCGACCGCCACCTCTCGATGAAACTCATCCTAATTGGCATGATGAAATATTGTTATCTTACAAAGACGATAATGTTCTTTTGGAAGGCTTATCCCAAGCTAAAATTATCACCAATACTGTGGAAGTCAGGCAAGGTTTACCAGAACGAATACAATCAAATGAACTATCTGAAGATATTAACGAGGCTGCTAAAACAATCATTATGAACTCCCATTTGTTAGATGCAGAACAGAAAAAATTGCCCAAGGTGAAAGATCCTGAAAGACCAGCCTGGAACTTTCCTCGAACTTATGGTATCACACAGGGCAGAAGAAAGTAAGAACAAAACATTGATAGATATATTTTTCAGTGTATATGTGCTAATTAAAATGACTTTCACATATATGTAACTGCAAAATATTCGCACATTTTGAAAATGAGTTTTCCAATTAATTGAAAAATAAACAGTATAGATGTACAACATACACATATAAAAGTTTGACCTTATTTTCCTTATGGTCAAGTGAGACTTCTGTCTGTGGGCTTAATTTCAGTTCCTGCTTCTCTCTTGAAACTTATCTATCCTACCCTTTGAAAGCAACAAGTGGTTCAGAACTCCCCTACAGGGATTTACCAAAGATGAACCTAGATGTTACCCAATACTTGTTGAAGTAAACAGGCAGCTTTGAAATCTACTTTCATGTTCAGTTTTTGCAAAATAGATCTTATCAATTAGTATCTCATGGTTTATATGAAACAAGAATAGACTCTGGCTCATCTTTGTGAAGTCATGTAATTAAGAAGACACTTTACAACAATGTCTGATGATTTTTTCTTCAAATCATATATCCCTTCTTTCAAGAGGAACATTACCAGATTTTGAACAAGACAGTATAGTCCTATCATTTTCTATTGTGGATAATGATGCAAATTGTCAGATATATATCTGGTACTTTTATACACACATACAGACACAGTTTTTTTCCTCTGCATTTTTTACTGCATCAGTGGACCTCACAAAATTCACATTGTCCCCCTCAAATTTAGGGCCTGCCCTGTCACTGATCATGAATTGCACTGTGAAATGTATTCATATAAATACTGAAGAAAAATATTCTGATTTAATCAGAAATATTAATATTGATATGGAGGAAATGTAGCCAGTTACGAATTTCAAAAACCAAACATGAAATGATACCAGAATTTAACGTAGCATCTGAATGTGTAATGATATACAGGGCATTCTATTTAAAAAAATGGAATTTTGGTCTGTAGCACCTACACCAAACACCCTGTATATTTTAAAATTATATCAAAATGTAGCTCTCGTGAACTCCTGAAACTTTTGTATGAAACATTTTTGTGTATCTCCTTCAACAAACCAGATATTGCCTGTCACATAAAATTCAGCAAAGTTCTTTTACATAATCCATTTATGTTTGCAGCAACCAATACTGTAAATCCTGTTTCAGACAATTCATAACTTTTGCATTGGTCACCTTTGAATTTAAATGTCAGTTTGTATCTTTCTCACAACGCAGGCTATTATTGAGAGAGGTTGTATATTTACTTGTTTACTTATTATGTAGTTCATATAGTGATTCAGACGGTTCCTTATCATTCCATTGTTGTAACTGATCTGTCGTTATAAAGATATTGTTACATTCAGTTTTTACTGTATTAATTTTGCCTATTTTAATGAACCAATTAACAATATTATATTTTTATTTTGAAGTCTTTTTTCTAAAAAAAATGCAGTGAACCGAAAAGTCAATTCTGATTTCAATAACTATAATATTTTTAGCAAACTTATAACATCGAAATTACTCAACTTGATAGAATCTACAAGTGGTCATCAGCTAACCAAAGAAAGATACCTTTTTGAAGACCTGTTCTTTTCGTTCCCATTTGAAAGAAACGGAATGCTGCTCCAGTTTCAACTAAGCGGAGATTTTGTTTTGACTTCATCGAAGCCATTGTCGCCAATTTCAGAGGAATCAACAGAGAATTTAGAACTACCTGATATATATCCCGTTGATCCTATGATTACGTTAAATAATGAAAACATTTATGAGACCAGAAGTATTTACCGTAAGTTGTTCCTCCAAATTATACATTTCAGTATTGATTTCAAGGGTTTGATAGCAAAATGACGATAATTATCTAAAATTTTTCTCAAGAGAATTCATTAAGATGAAGTTGGGATTATTCTACAAAATAGGTGGCTCTGGGAGTTATTAACATTGTCTACCCAGGACACGAGGCTAATGATCAAGCAGTCGATGGCGTTGACACCTAAGAAAAAAAAAACTAACGAAAATCAACTATTCAAAAACAATTGATAATCATTCAGATTTTTGCATATGTTGCTTTCATGAAATGATTATAGAACTCCAAGTTTTTTTATCATCCTGAATGTTTCAATACTGGCTTGTTAAAGATTTAATTTGGTTTCCTCAGTTAACAAACTTTTTTTTTAAGCGATAAATCCAAATATTAAGAAGTCTCACCCACATACTCTTTTCATACACTTTGATAGAGAAGTTGTGAAAAATTTGTTCGAAGAGGTGGTAACGGATAATCAGATATTCGGAAGATCTCTTCTAAAAACTTTCACAGTAGCTGCGAGTTATGCCAGACAAAAATATGGGGTAGGTAGAAAATGTTCATAACATCTCTAATATATTTTTCTTGTATTATAAAGAGGAAAATATTTCTTTTGGTGTGTTTCAGTTGAATATCCGATTTCAACTTAATTACTCATTCTTATTTTATAGGATGACGTTAAGAATTTACCAAAACCAGTGACACTACAGTCTGTTCAAACGGATGGACGCTTCTTCCATCTAGGAGTTCTTCAGTTGAATACCCTGGATTTAGAAGGTACTAGGAGAAACCTTTGGTACCAAACCCCCTTACAGTACCTATTCGATAATTGTGGTTACAAAGTTGGTAGGCCAAGATTAGAAGGTTATAATAGTAAGGTTATAAAACAACTTTATGGATTTTACAATAGCGTTTAACAATAAAGTGTATCAGTAAAATGTTGATACATCAATGAGCATTTTCACTGGCATACCCACATTATAAATTTAGGAAAAAAATTGAATTAAATCTGCTACACTGTAAGGATTATTAGTACTTATCTTAAAAAAAAATTATTAAAAATCATATATGCTGCAAATTTTGAGTCTTCCGCAAAATTTGGTATATTATTGTGGGGATCTTGTGGCAAAAAAGGGTGATAAGAACTATGTTCGGGGCAAATTTAAAGATAATTATATAATGACAATACATGCACTGTGCATTATGAATGTGTAATGTACTTATTCAAACATAAAGATTAGTTAAAAAATATTACGGGAGTTTTTTCCCTACACCAAACCGTTATTTTAACACCTCGACACGTGTTTCGAACACCAAGTGATCATCTTCAAGAGGAAGATCAAACAAATTGAAACTTTCTGCTTCCGGGACAAATCATCACAGCAGAGTCCTATTGTGAGGAAACTGATGAAATATACCAAAAATTCCGCCAGCAACAGGCGGCACTGTTCAACAAAAGAGGTCCGATCCTGCTCCACGACAACGCCCGTCCGCACGTTTCTCAAATCACCGTCCGAAAATGGAACGAATACAGTATCAAAGTTCTGCCTCACTCACTATACTCCCCATAATGCCAACCGACTATCTTTTTAAGCACTTTAATAACTGTCTGACTGGTTGAAATTTTACCATTCGGGACCAGGCAAAAACGGCCTTCGTCGACTTGATCGAATCGAGCATTTTGGCTTCCAAGTGTTTAAGAGTACAAGCGATGCTATCTTGGAGTTCCTGAAAGAGTTTTATTTGGACCTCAATCAAAGTGAGGCGGCTGCTGTATTCTGTGGTTTCACTAAGACTTTCAACTGTGTTGATTACAAAATATTGCTGAATAAAATATTTCTTCATAGATTCAAAAGACCAGCTCTCGATTGGTTCAGCTTTACCTCTCTGGCATAAATCAAATTATCAAAGTACCTACTAAAACTTCCAGCTCTTCTATAATATGTTGTGAAGTTCCTCAAGGGTCTGCACTAGGTCCCATTTCATTCTTTATATATGTGAATGATCTCCCAAATATCAATATTAATGTCAAAATTACATTATTTGCAGATATTATCACTTTAATGTGGTGTGGAAAAGACTTGGATTTTAAAAGAACACAACAGCGATTTTGAACAAGTATAATATTGATGTTAATCGTATTTATGTTTCAAGTTCAGCAAACTAACAAAATATTCAAAATTTTTGCAGGAAAACCTCTGCCTTCAAACTCATATCATATACAATAATAATAGCCTTTATTACCCAACAGTTAAAAACCATTTACAGGGTTAACTAAGTATGTTAAAAAAGTAATATAGATCCTTATAATTACAAAGTTACAATTTGTGCAAATGATTAACAAAATTATAATATAATAAAATAAAGTAAAAAAAACTATAGCAGAAAATAAAAATTTCTCCTTGAAATACTGAGATGCAGTGTCAACAATATATTCTAGGGAATCAAAATTGATATCACACATATTTGAAATTAAATTGAAATTATTGCAAATGTTAAAGATAGGTGACTTGAGGTACAAATTGGTTCTTGCCAGTCAGCTGTAAAAAGTTTATGTACTTCTAGTTCTAAAATGAGGCACACATAAATTTATAAGAGACTAATACTATGTTGCTGTATCACTGCTGTTCCAATGTTTTGACAGAATCAGAATCAACGAACTTAGGCGTGCGCAGCATTATAGAACAGTGCTTTCAAAAAATTGTTCTACAGCGCCATCTAGTGGCGAGTTACAGAAAAATTGATAGCCTAAAAACCTCTATGAAAAATTACTTATACATGTCAAGTTTCATCACGATCGGTTGACCGATGTAGAAGTTTATCACCTACCAATCAACCAACAAACATCCATTTTTATATATTAGATAACACCTCCATAGCATCCACATTGTTGTGCAGTAAAAATTATTCCAGCAAGTTTTCTGCATAATTCAAGACTTTCAATATTGAATGTTATGGTAAGTGATTCATATGGAATACTTCTATCAGGATACATACCATAAGATTTGAAGTAAATAAACTTTAGGAAACGACGTTGAACTTGTTAACTTCAGACTAAGTCTGAATATTTTCTAACTGTCATTGCAATGTATTACAGTCTTCGATAGTTTCAACAGGTGAATATATTTTTAAATCATCTGCAAAAAATTACAATCGACATAATTACTGAGGTCATTAATGTCATAATAAAGAATAATAATGAACAGAAGTGGTCCGAGATTTGACCCCTGAGGTACTCCAGATGAAGGATGGTAATAAAAAGAATTGTAGCTGTTATAAGATACAAACTGTTTGCGTTGAAGTAAGTAGGATTTAATGAAAAGTACTGCTGAATTATGGAAGCCAAATTGGTGGAGTTTTTGTAGAAGGATCATGTGATTAAGTCGATCAAATGCTTTAGCAAAATCAGTATATATCACATCAACTTGACCACGATTATCTTGGACATCACTAACATTTTGGGTTGATACAATTAAATTTGTTATGGTGGATCTGTTGGACGTAAATCCATGTTGTTGCGGAGATATGATATCACGAACTGAGGAATGTAAAAGTTCGATAGGATTGAGATATACTATCTGCAAAATTCTTGGGAATTTGGATTTATCATTTACTGAAATTTGACAACATACACAATAACTGAACCTACATGAAAACGTTAAGCCATAAAAGTAATCACCAATGAACTGGCATGACATTTGAAGTATCTCTCTTTTTCACTGGCGACTTTATTATGTCACCTTCATTCTAAGTTTTGAGGTCATAATAATTGAAATCTTAATTTCCCATGGAAAAATATGAATAATAAAAAACATTTCTGAAACCTTTGAGTTTTTCCTTTATTTCTTCGACAACTCAACAATTTCCATCCCAAAAATTATAATTTCAAGAAAGAATGTATTTCAAACTCACTTCAGTTCATCTCTGTAAATGTTCAAATTGGTCAACATTCACTTCCTGACAATGAAGTTTGTTTACAATTTATGGAATGTTTCTGGAAGCCCCTCACGAGCTCTGGAGTAGACTGCAGTTGTGTTACGTGAACTTTAGATTTTACCAATCCTCAGAAAAATCTCGGGGTGTTGTATCAGGTTGTGCAGTAGGTCATTCTAAGGGATCACGTTTACTTATCCACTAGTTTGGTTAATTGACATCTAGTCACTTTTAAACCAACTTGTCACAGTAAAGAGATACCCCTTCTTGCTGAAACCTAATATTAGTTGAAATTTTCTTCAGGTTTGACAATTTTACTGGTTTGGAAAACAATAAATACGGGCTCCAATAACTAAAAATATAAGAAGAGATTCACGTCCTGGTATTTACGTCACTCGCACACTTAACTTCACATTTTGCTGTGACGCGGTGGCCAAGACGTTGTGTGATCCACAGGTGGAATATATGTAAAAGTGACGTCACGACCAGTCCATATATTATAATGTATATGATCGTAGTAGACAATGCTATTGTTTGTAGATTGAATAAAACGAACAATCTGTGTTTGATAATTGATGAATAGCTTTTATACTTTTGATCACGTTTTTTTTTATTATACAAAAAACGTTTGAATTGAAAACTTGAAAATTTTATTTTCAAATCGGCATTGAATTCGAAACTGAAAAGTTAACTTTGTGATTCTTTGATTTAATAACGTGCTTGATTATTGCTACTACATATATAGGTTTTGTCGTCTTGTCTAACAGTTAGTATTAAAAATTTCTATCAGTTGATATGTCAAGAAGAGTAGTTCGACCACGCTACTGAAGATGACTGCCGTAGTTGCATTTGAAACATTTGGAGATTGTAACCAAGGAAGACCACGGCAAAACGCGCATGACATGACATGCAAATCAATTTCACAGGTAAGTACATCAGGTAGAACAGCTTATACTGTACCCTGAACCCTTTATTCTGTGTTTACTGTTGTAACACAAAATTTGCAGTCAGGCCCTTTTTCCGAAGCGTAGCGGCAACAATACCGTGAGTTGAATGATCGTTTAGTACAAGAATCACGTTTCCTGAGAAGAGGCATTTGTCCAATCAGGATTTCTGTTGTAACACAGACGGTAGGATATCAAGGTTTGAGAGAAGATGAATGTATCATCCGACAAAGAACTACATAAATCAGGTCAACCATTTGAATAGCGGTCTGGGTAGAGTCAGTATGGTTCGAAGAGAAAATTTCAAGATCTCATCTGTTTTTTCTCCTTATTTTGAACAATATTCGCCACTCCCTGAAATTGTATCGGCCTGAGGTTGGAGAATGAGTAGTTCCCCTTGAGTATATGACAACACATTTGTTCCGTCAATACCGTAGGAGTGCCGTATCACCTTATCATTATTATTAATCGATCAAAAGAACTTTTTGAACAATTCATGAAAGACAACTAGTTTTCTGATTGATTCGGCCGTTACTTGATGAAGATCCATAGTAATTTCAAAAACTACACCTAACGATTTGATCTTCACAAACTTTATTTGAAAAAATATAATCACAACATGTTTTGCTAGGTTAGGTCCAAAGTGAGTGAGTTTATTATGGCTAGCACAGTAGCTTTTTCAACTGTATGAGTACTTCAAATTATTCTTACATTAATATTTATATACTACAGGTAACCATAATTGATCACAAACCGTCCTATACGGATATTACCATACATTACGATTCTACCCATCCTTATCAACACAAAGTAGCAGCTTATAATAGCATGATTCACAGATTAGTCAATGTTCCTCTTTCAATAAATAATTTCAATAAGGAACTTAATATCATCAAGCAAATTGCGGATAACAATGGGTTTAAAGACGAATTAATTAACAAAATAATTGCCAAGAAAGTCTATGCAAAAGCGATTTGAGACGTTTTTCCTATTGATAAGGTAGATAATCAAAATTATAGAGCTTTAACGTATTTTGGACAACCAACGGAAAAAGTGGCTTCATCTTTGAGGAAACGAGATATTGAAATTGCATATAGAACAAGTAATATGCTGGGAAAGTTAGTTAAAAATAATAAAGACCAGACATCCAAATTCGAGAAATCAGGTGTATATAAATTAAAGTGTGGAACGTGTCCTAAGGTATATATTGGTCAAACGGGCAGAACATTTAAGGAATCGAAACCAGGAACATCATACAAGCTATGTGAATAAGAAAACAAATTCATCATATTCAAATCATCTTCTAGAAAAAAATCATATCTTTAACAAAGAGTTCGAAATTTTGCTCAATTAAAATAAAGGTTTGAAACTGAATCATTTGGAAGCAATGGAAATTAATAAACTTAAAAATTCAAACATTCTAATTAATGACCAACTGGATTTGAATAGATCACCATTATTGAACTTGTTTTCTTAAAATCCGAGAAAGAATTATTATTGATGTAGATGTGAGGTAATATGCTTCAGGTAATCAGAATTCAACAGGTACCTTAGGTAGAGGTTCAGGTAATTTTTTGGAGGTAGTCTCAATTATGGTTATTTGTAGTATATAAATTGTTATGATTATGGAAGATAACATTCCAGTCGCGAACATCAGGTTCATTTCTGTAGCTTCAATTTTCTGGCAACTCAGATATTTTTTGATCTGCCTAATGACAATTGAAGCAAATTTGTTCAAACGTTCACCAATACTCTGGAACATCACTAGTCCCAGGGGTATTCCAACCTTGAAAGAAATCAAATATATCATTATTCGCGGTTGATTTGAGTATTTTTTAGGGCAAAAAGTTCATGATTTTGCCGGGCTATGAAATTTGTATGTTTCGGAGTTCCAACCATATTATGTTTTTTGTAAATCAGGCAAACAGTTTCAAGTATGAAAATACAAGTAACAGTGAGAATTTTTTCTCTCAAAAATAATGGTCTGAATTACTCACGCACCTCCACCTTCCATAAGTATCTAACCACTCGCTTTTGCAAAACAAACACTGAATGAAAAATTTGTTGACTGCAAAATCCCCAGTAAGCATATCTCAGGCGGGACTCAATCAGGGAATGATATGCTATTTTTGTTGTGGATGAAATCAGTTCATTTGAAACTATTTGAAGTGCATAACACCCTGATGCCAACAAATGTGTTGATCAAATTTGTTATCCATGAAGATTCCCAGGAATTTGGATTGGTTTTTATTCTCAAGAATTTGTTTATTCAAGTATAAATTGTTAATATTACAGCTGAAGATGAGTAGGTTTCTTTTTTTAATATTAAAGCACAATTAGTTTGCGGCACACCATTTTTTCCCAATTTCTAAATCACTAGAGATAATTTCTTTCATATTGGAAGTATTTTTTTTTCATGCTAAAGGAGCGTGGTATCATCCGCAAATATTGTAAAAATTTCTTGAATTGAGAGAGTAACAAGGTCATTTACATAAATAAGGAAATCGGAACCAGTACTGATCCTTGTGGAACGCCCTATAAGATATCCTTATATAGTGAGTGATAGTTTATCGTTTGATCATACTGTTTTCTGTCACTTAAGTAAGACCTGAACCAGTCATTACACACTCCTCTAAAGTCATAGTAGTTCAACTTTTGCAAAAGAAGTTCAAGATTTAGACAATCAAAAGCTTTGGAAAAATCGCAGAATACTGCAGCCACGACCTCACCATTGTTGAGATGTATGTAGACATGTTCAAGAAAGGAAAAGATTGCATCATTTATGCCTTTTGCCTTCTGAAAGCCAAAGTTGGTTAATATATTGTATTTATAAAGAAAAACTGATATCCTTTTTTTCACCATTTTTTCTATAATTTTTGAGAGTGTTGAGAGCATGGAGATTTGTCTGAAGTTATTTGAATTACAAGAGCTGTTTTTAGACACTGAGGAAAATTTCCAAAGGAAAAGGATTCATTTATAGCCATCACTAGTGTATTCAAAGCGGAATCGGGAAGGTTATTTAAAATTTTTACTGAAATTTCATCAATTCCCGTTTCATTTTTGTTTTCATTTTCTTGCAAGATTTCTATCAGCTCTAATAAATTTGTGTCTTCAAAATGAACGTTGTTGGGCTATTTACATTATTTAAATAATCCATGGGATTATTTAAGATAAAAAATTATGCCCCTGTGGAAATTTATTGGAACGGATAAAGAACCTGACTGGCTACAGTCCTCTTTTTGGAAAAAACAATATTAATTTTCTCTCTTTTATAATCATTTCGTACTCACCACTGCATATCCGATGCAAAACGCTTTTCCTCCTGAAGTTACGGGTGTTGAATGTCCATATCCGATCATGGCCAGAACTACAGTGGCAAAGTAGAATGCTCCAGCAAACTTCCATTGGGGGCCTGCTTTGTGCGGTTTGTATTCAATAATGACTAGTTCAATCATCCGATAGTCATCTTCAGATATGTTATATTTCTTCTTCAGGGCATTCGATGATACTGAAAAGGCGATTAATTGCCTTAGTAATATATATTAGGGTATATTCCCTTAAGCAGCGGAGTGATGAATCATTTTCAGGTAGCTGTTTCATAGGCATACATAATTGAGTCGGTTGAAAAGTGAAAAATGTAGTATTTATTTTAAACATTCAATTTTGTTGTATGACTCGATATAACAAATCTTTTTGATGTTTGAGTCAAAGCACTCTGACGATTACCATGAAGACGTGAAACGGCGATGTTTTTGAAGAAAATTTTGAACAAATATTACACCTCATTCCATCTAACTCTGTGATTGTGATTGATCTATATCTGTAGAGTAGGGAGGGTGAGTGTAGGCCCACAGCATTCAGGCCACTATTGTACATCCTCCCAAGGAGTTGTCCTCCTAGGTCATTGTCCATCCTGTCCTTTCCAGGAAGGTGGACAGGTCTCTGGGAGACATCCCCTTTATATCGGCAGGTGTAGGCCAAGACTCGCCGAACACACACTCTCTTATTGACGATAACTCCAGACATTCGAATAGGACATGCCTGACAGTTTCATCTTCCTGTTCACACATGCTGCATAGGGGTGTGTTTACTAGCTCCATATTGTGGAGGTGTTTCCTCAGTTGACTGTGGCCAGTCAGAAATCCTACTGTTAAGCGTAGATTTTTCCTGGTTATCGCCAGATACTTCTTCGGCGCCAGCTTCTCAGGGTCGCCCAGAGTGGTCCTGGTAAGATTGCATCCTTTGATTTCATCCCATCTCTTTAGGGATTGAGCATGGGTGTGACGTTTGGCTGATTCCGAAATTGTCGAAGTCATCAGGCCGTAGCTGCCACTGGGTCCTAAAATTCTTAGTCCAGCCGCTTCCTTGGCTAAAGAGTTGTCAATGCGATTACCTTTACTCCTGTCGTGCCTTTTAAACCACCTCAGGATAATGTTATTATCTACCGAGGCTTTGGCTAAATCTTGGTGGCACTTTAGTACTAGCCCTGAGGTAACACGTTGTCAGTTCAAGGCTAATAGGGCTTGTCTGCTATCAGTGCAAATCGTTATGTTTTTGCCAGAAATTCTTTTCTTGGTTATTCCTTTTGTGGCGATTGAGATACCAGCCAGTTCTGTTTGGACCACGCTGGTATTTTTTCCCATTCCCCACTCAATCCTTAGGCTTAGCGATTGGAGTACACTCCACATCCCGAGCCTTCTTTGGTTTTTGAGCCGTCTGTATATATGCGTAGGGTTTATTAAACACAAACATGGGTTCAATTACATCACTGTTTGCCTGCAGCAGAGGTTGAGCAGTAAACGCTTCTAGCCATAGGCTTAGCTTCAATTGACCCATTCCTATTTCGAGGTTTACACCAGCCGTGCGCAGTCGTAACATGGCCATTAACGCAACCTTCTTAACGTACAGGTCTAGAGGGGTCAGACCAGATTGTGATTGATAATGCAAGTTATCATTACAGAAAAGTTGAAAGAATACCAAGTAATGCAAGGGAAAAACCAGATATCATTGAGTGGCTTCAACAAAAAAACATTGTCCATAATATGTTCAAATAAAGCTCGTTTCATGGAATATGTAGTCAACAGAAACGAAATATTTTTATTCTGCGTCTGCTCACTTACCATTGCGAACTTAATCCTATTGAACTTCAAGTAAAGGGATTTGTTGCAAGAATAGTGCAAGGATTCCTTTAAAAATATTGATTCTGAAAAATGGCGAAAATGTATCGAACATGTATATGTGTTGAACACAGAAGAGAACGACATCATAATTTTTGCTCATACCTAATATCTTCTTTAATATGCATACTCATTCATTATTATGTAAATAATTAAAATTCAAATGTTATGACAATATTAATTGTAAAAGGTAAAACTGGAACTTCTGGCGTAGAATACATCCAAAATAAGCGCCTCCCATCAACAATACTCCTGTTCTAGCCGAAACACTCATTATTTCGAAATTTTCCATAATCCTTCAGAGGATATCGTTGGTCTAGCAGGATTCGATCTGGGTACAATTTAGCATGTTCTTGAAGAACGGTTTTTTTTATCTACAGAGCTTTTCACATTTTTCTGCATCAATGAATGATAATTTGTTGACAAAATAAAACAACCAAAATCATCAAACATTTAAGAATCACTGCGAGTGAGACATTCTGAATGCCACAGATACGGTGATGATCGGTCACCAAATTGCTTTTAGATATCAGAGCCATAATCAAATTAGTATGCAATTGCTATTTACATTTTGATGAGCGTAAAAGATGCTACTGGTTTGCCAATTAAACAATTTCTATATCCAAAAGTTACCAACGGGACAGCTCTTATTCGGATCAGCCTGTATACGTTTCATTTTATTTACCTTTGAGCAACGAATCCCGTTTTGCCTCCTCTTTGGATTCAAGGGCATCGAACACGGCTGCTCCAATTAGAAGATAAGTGAATGTACACACGACCAAAGATAAGGTTCGCACATTTTGTCTTTTCATAGCTAAAATATTATTTGATCATAAATTAAAACAAACAGAAAAATAATGAATGTTTATAAAACGAGCAGCTGACCGGTTCGTCGATTGGTGGCGCGGCGGGTGTAGATGCGTCGGCGTCGCAACGGCCAAATATCGATAAAGGGTAGGCATACGAAATATACAGGGTTGTACTAAAAGTGACACACTTCATGAATATTACTTCGACTCTTGTAAAGGGGGCTATTTGAACTCGTTTCTATGCATGGGGATCTCATAAGCTGCAAGATATAGAAAGTTGGTCAAATTGAGACAAAGCTTCCTATTTTCAGGTAGGTCCTATTGAATGACATCAAAAAATCGGCTCTTACTTTTTGAGTTCCTTAAATATACATGAAAACCCGAAAAGTTCAAAATTACACTTTGCTATTATCACTTTCATTGTACTATGAGAATATGATCATAAAATTTTGTGCAGAGGGAGGGCACTCTTAACTTTGAAATTTTAAATACGGCCATGTATTTTTGTAGTAATTTTTTAATGATAATATCGATGAAAAATTGCTCCAATCGATATTCCTGAGAATTTCGATAATTTGATTATCACATGATACTTAATTCTCAGTGTTTTTATGTTCCACGGCTCATTCTCAAAAATTTAACCAAATACAATGTGATATCACAAACGACTGCTAAGTCAACTTTTAATTATATGTGATAATAAAAAACTTTCATATGTTGCGAACTTTAGTGTGATACTGAATATTTGGTCAGCCTGCATATATGGTTGCATAAATATAGGTTCACAAGTTTCATTAATTCATAGAGAAAACATATGCATTACATCACAGAATACTGATTTGTTTCTGTAGTCTGTGCATTACATTATGTGGCATTAGGCCAGGTTGGGATGGTGCTAGAAATTATTTGAATTTTGTCAAAAGCTAGTTAAGAAAATACTTTGAACCTTGATATTTCTTGTCATAATATTACAGCAAAATTGTGCTATTGAATAACTGAATCTATCTCTAGTGAATTTATGGATAAAAATACATTTCAGACAGTAAGAATATTCATTTTCTGAATGTTTCTTTTGAAAAATAAAACACCAACATAATATAGTTTATTTATGATTGAATTAATAAAATTGTCAACATCAATGCCACTCATAATATTCAATAAATAGAAGGTATATAAAATTCTAATCCTGGTGAGGAGAATAAAACTTGGTAGACAAAAAAGGCGAAAGGGGATCCCCAAACCTCTCTGTGAAAGAGTCCTTATGAGCTTTGGATCTTGTTTCAATTACTTTGTCATAAAATCTGGATAACTTCACAGCATTTGATGTACCTGCAGCCAAATACCTTGATTGCCTACAGTCCATGACAATTTCATCACACCTCAAATGACTGGCGATAACATCTACTCGAGACTTTCTATCGGCTTGATCTAATTTTGTCCCGATTACGATGTATGGTAAAGTAGGGTTCCCAATAAAGCTTTCTTGATCGAAATCATCTACAACAATACTGGAAGGATTGGACCCGGTAATTGATGGATTGGAGTCTTCCCTCTCTCTATGTCTGTAGCTTATTTCTTGGACCCATTTGTGTAAATTCTGTTCAGATTTTCGATTAGTCAGATCATGAACCAAGATAGCTCCATGGCAAGGGTAATAAAACACTGATCTAGCATTCCTATGAGTGTGACTCCCTCCAATATCCCAAAATTCAACAAAGAACGTTTTTTGTTCCTTGGTACCTTCTTTGTACTCGTGTAATTTTACCTCAACAGAACAGCCTACCGTCCAACTAGGCGACCTTAACGGTTCATTGTGAGCAGCTAAATGAACAAAGGATGTTTTTCCAACGCCTGAGTCTCCCAAAACTAAAATTCTCACTCGATCTATAACAGACATATTTATTATTTGCCTAAACACTTATTTAATTAAAAAATTATAAACAAATAATTCATTTTATAGAGGTTAGGAATGATTGAATGTTATGCACAAAACAGCTGTTTTGTGATGTTATGAAGGAGTTAGATTTAAGTTGATATGGACTGGCTATTGAACAGAGAACACTGATTCAACAACTAAAGAAGGATAGAGAGATTCACTATTACTTTCATTGTAGAAAATTCAATTCTTTGTTCTAGTAGTCCTGAATCAATCGTCAATACAAGAAAAATTCATGACTGAAATGACACTGCTTCATCAGGTACATATTATGGCTTCAAAGTATGTAGTCACAAGCACGTTCTTTTTTGTGTAATGACGTCATTTCCAAAACTTTTGTGTGATCCCCAGTGCAATGTATGTAAAAATGACGTAATGTGAGGTTGAAATTTTTCCCTTCCAATCCTCGGGAGCCAAATTCTAACTGTCGCAAGACGTTCCTGTGCAAGCTAGATGTTTGGGTGGGCAGTGGATATCAGAAGGTTCTACATGTTTTAAAACTAATGAACAAATTCGAGTTCCCAGCTTCAGAGTAGCTAAGGAACAGGCGTAGGTCTAAAATTACTTACAACAAAGTTGGTAAAACTGATTGGAATTACAAATAAAACTTTAATTTATTCATGATACTGAATTGAAAATACTAACTTTCTGGCGGTATCTGGAACTAAGTGGGTCGCATTTGGATTATGAATGCAAGTTTGAACAAAATAAAGTTGAGTTTATTTCATGAGTTTTTCAAATTCACTTCGAAAAGTATTCAAATTGATGTTTCAAATGTTGGGTTTTAATTTTTAAAGGGATTTGTTTCCAATTCACATATTGGCAATAGGACCTATATCAAGTTGAAATAATTTATACGTACCTAGATATTCTACTTTAAAAAGGAAAATTATATTTATAAATCAACAATTAAGGCAAAATATAAATTATAGTTCAATATCACCTCCACAAGCCACATAAACAAACAGTTGTTTTGTTATTTATTTATATAGAGGAAGACAGGTTAGGTGCACAAAATGTCATATATCACAGAATGTCTCGGAACTCAGAACATAAGTGAACAGCACGCCTCTGAAATATGTCATCTGTCATTTGTCTCATACCTGTATCAGATTCATTGTCCTTTATTCGCTTAACCGATGTTGCCGAATGGTGAAATAGAAACAAATCCCTTTAAATGTTGAATGCATTATTTCATTCCTCTTTTTTAAGTATTCAAATAATTTTTTAAAGAAAAAGGTTGAAATGATAAGTTTAAAATGCGTTGTTTAGAGCTCTCTTATGAAAACTACTTGATTTTCTTCATTGTTGATGAGAAAGTATAGGTTTGAGGTAATTTTTCTTTCATTATTGATAACTGATTGTTACTGAAGCAGATGGTACTATTAATTTATTATCGATTGTAATTGTAGTTAACATTTTAAATATTTTGTTTATTAAAAAATGTTCAAATTAGAGTATAGTGAAGCGATTAAATAATTTTTTATGGGTTGAGGCTTGTGAGATTCATTTCAATTATTCAAATGAATTATGAAAATTCATACGTCTTCCACCTGAAATACAAGTCTGTGGTATCGAAAAATATTATATAATTATATCTCACTGCGGAAATACTTCAAATTAAATATATAGGTATTCATTTTTCAACTCAAACAAATCTATATAACAAAACAAAAATAATCTCAAAAAACCGCACTTGATTTGCATTGAAAAAGTCGTTTGAAACTGTGGAAAACAGTGATGCTTGATGTTAGCGTTGCATAAGTCTGCATCAAGGGTTAGGTTAGGTTGGGTCCAAAGTGAGTGGGTCTATTCGACCCTCTACTGCAACCCGCAAGGGTTTATAGTGGCCACACCTATTCACACTAGACCAATTAAACCCAGCTTCTTATGAATCCGATTAGTAAGGCTCTGCCAAACTTTAAAAACCTGATTCGGTCCCCAGCAGGGCAGCCACAAAGTATGTGCTCTGCTGTTTCATCATTTTCCAAACTGTCTTCCGACACCGAGTCTCTGCATATGATGATTCAAATGACAGTAACCTGTAAGAAGGCATCGTAGTTCCTACTGTTGTTCATCAACTGTTTGGTATCAAAAGCTTCAAATGTTGAATAAACATATTGGAGTGAACCAATCCTGGAAGATTCTGCCAGAAGTCCATGAATCTTCTTGCCATCCAGGTATTCAATCTTTGTTTGGCAAAGCCTAAAGTGATGCCAATGACAGGCTCTGGTCCGATGAAGCTGCTTGCAGCACCCTCCTTTGCAAGGGAGTCAGCAGCCTCATTGCCTTCCAGGCCAGTATGGCCAGGAATCCAGACCAAAGACAATCTGTTAAGTCTTCCTATCGCACTTGTTTTGTATTGAAAAAAAGTCGTTTGAAACTGTGGAAAACAGTGATGCTAGCGTTGCATATGTCTGCATCAAGGGTACTCGTATGGATCATGAATCCAACGTTTGAAATTTTATTTCTAAATTAGAGTAAAAAAGAACAATCGATCCTGAGTAAGAAGAGAAAATCACGATTTTCTCTACGGAGATGTTACCTATGAGATAAAAAAAAACAAAATCTGTTCATATGCAGAGTTGGGGGTTCTTAAAGGCAAAATCAGGTTTATCCATTGATTGCTAAATGAGAAATCGAAAGACAATTCTCTAAAGTCGAAACTTTTGCGAGCTAAGGACTAACGAGGTCTTACCTTTTAACGTGTAATTCCTAACACGAGTTGGACGAAAGGAAGTGAAAATCGATCTTCCAGCCTTGCGGATTGAACCAACGGTTCACACAGCGGTCGATTGAGTGAGGAGTGAGTGGAGCAAATCACTCACGTCAACCTAACTGGCTACCATCCCACCATCATCATCTACTCTTCAGTTCAATTCTCAAATCCCAAAAACTTTCACATCCTGTCTTAAACTCATGAAATGAAATGTTGACTCAAATATTCTTCGAAACGGCACATTATTTCCGAGAGCATGTGTGAGATTTCTATCAAACAATTTCAATTATAATATTCATTTAATTTTCTTTAACCAACTTTCCTGAATAGGGTTGATAGTTTCAAGTCTTGACACTACCCAAAAAATCTCATTTGACGTGATAATTCATGATCCTGTATAATATGTTGGGTTAAATAGTTTGACACATTAAAAATAATCTCGAATTGTGAAACAAAATGTGAATTGCCAAAGGAACCAATAAATAAACACCAACTTATTTCGATTTTTCTTTGCAAAAATGTCTTAAACTGTAGTAAATTGTGAGTAACCCAATAATTAGTTGATAGATGACATGGCTTTACCCATACGAGTCATAAGAAATCTACTGACGCCAAGATTTTCATCGCTAAGAAGAACATTCGCAGATAATGGACCAGCCTGTGTCAAAAAGGCCGCAGAAGATCCTTGCAAAACTAATTACCATAAAGGTTTAGTTGTTGGACTATACACAAATCCAGATGACCTCTACGATCCAGGAAAGTTGACTCCAACCGGTGAACGATACGATACCATGGTGTGTCATAGATTATACGAGTTGTTGAAGTATGCTGGTCCCCGGGCAAAACAAGGGGAGGTTCGCGTCTTTTACAATATTGATGATGAATTTGCTATGGTTGCCGTAGTCGGACTAGGACGTGAATGCCAGGGTTATGACGTATTCGAGCAGATGGATGAAGGTAAAGAAGCCATAAGAATAGCATCTTCCACAGGATGTAAAGCTCTCCAAAAAATGTCAGTCAAAAGGGTCTACGTAGAAAGTTTCGGGCACGCTGAATCTGCCGCAGAAGGTGCAGCACTTGGGGTATGGTTATACCAAGAGAAGAAAATGAAGAAGAATCAACTATATATTCCTCAGTTAGAACTGTACGATGATTGTGACTGGACCGGTTGGCAAATTGGGCTACAGAAAGCTGCAGCTCAAAATTTATCGAGGCAGCTCATGGACACCCCGGCAAATTTAATGACACCTACATCTTTCGCTCAAAATGCAGTCGAAGTTTTGTGTAAATCCGGAGTCAATGTAGAGGTTAAAGTTCGAGGATGGGCTGAAACCCAGAAGATGTACGCGTTTCTGGCAGTAGCGCAGGGATCGTGCGAACCACCAATATTTCTTGAACTCAGTTATTACGGTGCCTCGCGAGATGAAAGACCGGTGGTTTTGATCGGAAAAGGAATAACATACAACAGTGGAGGATTATGTTTGAAACCTTGTAATAAACAGAGGTTCATGCGTGGCGATATGGGAGGGGCTGCCTGCGTCTTAGCTGCTTGTCGTGCAGTGGCCGGTCTTCAGCTACCTATCAATGTCAGAGCTTTGATTCCACTGTGCGAAAACATGCCGGGATGCGCAGCTATGCGCCCTGGAGACATTGTGAAAGCTATGAATGGCAAAAGTATAAAAATCGAGTCTACAGATACGGCTGGTAGGCTCTGTCTTGCGGATGCACTGGTCTATGCTCAGAACTTCTGGCCAAGATTTATTGTCGACGTAGGAACAATGACAAATGACATGAAACACTCGCTTGGTCAGTCAGCCAGTGGCGTATTCAGTAACTCAGAGGCGTTGTGGGAATATATGCTAGCTGCCTCGATGCACACAGGAGACAGAGTTTGGCGGTTTCCGTTGTGGGACCATTTCACAAAGCTAGTGAGCAATCATCATAATGTCGATGTGAAGACGTATGGAAAAGGTGGGAAGCCCAGATGTGGAGAGGCCTGCAAAGTTGCTGCTTTCCTTAACGAGTTTGTACCTTGTGGTGACTGGCTACATTTGGATAATTATGGCATTATGGTTTCTAATGGAAAAGATTATCCATACCTTCGTAAAGGAATGTCTGGCAGACCCACACGTACCATTGTTGAATTTTTGTCTCAGTTAGTATGTCACCGTGAATAAAATAAGTATGTGAATTGTAACGAAAAATATCAGAGAATAAATTTGAACTGTCTTATTACACTTTAAGAATGATATAAACGATGTTTATACAGTCTAATTTGATTTATTTGGTCCAACAAAAAGGAGTATGGAATAATTGTTGTTTGAAAGAATCTAGAGTGTTAAATTAACCAGAAAGTATTGTTTCCTTCTTTACTGAAACATTATAACTTTTTGATAACAAAAATTTCAACTTTCAAAAATTGGTGGAGGAATTTGAGATCTATATTTTGAACATTTTAAAAAGTGAATATATTTTAAATAGACCTACAAGGTCAGTCGGTACTTTCAGATTTCAAATGAGAGAAACATTAAGAGAAATTGATTTTTAGTTTTGAGCAGTGATTAAAATTAACAATAATTCTATGTACCCCTTAATATTTGATTTTTTTGTGACCTCACGTCCCTGAGCGCCTTCTCGCGGCAAGACTATTCGTGGTTAGGTTATGTTGAAAAAAGACAAGTCACAAACTTTGTTACTATTTATTTGGCGAATACGACAACTTTTTGATAACATCTTCAACCGAAGAACAGATTTTAAGTTGAAACAAATCTAATCTACATTGAACTTTGTTCAGCAGGGATTCGCTGATATGACAATATTCTTCTCATAACCCATATTTTCCAGCGTCACTTCTCTCACATGCTTTTTTTCTCTCACAGAGATGTAATTTGTATTTTAGTTTCAAAAATTGCATTGCTACTAGTTCCACTGCTGATCTGTTGATGACCAGCATGCAGCTATAGTTATGTCTGAGACGCTGCCAAGGAAGCACTGGTGGACTCTTTGATGATATGTGAAGTCTTGACTTTTTCTTCTAGAGAGTTGTACATCGGGTATTCACAGCACATAATGAATTTCAGAAACTGCGGAACTTCCTCGTAGATTGACGGGGGTATGGGGATGAGAGGCGAGGTAGATGATTTGTAGAATCGGTATTCCGTAATACTGAAAAAGAAAATAGATTTGGAAAGTATGTTCATTACAATCATACCAAATGGTCTAATCTATAATGTACATTCGCAATGCAATACATGAATTGAGGACATCTAAACGAACATTATTTTAGACAGCATCTTTTTTTAAGTGAATGAAAATATCAAATTCAAATCAAATGTAATTATAGAATTCGTCAGCATGCATTATTGAAAAAAAAAACATAATGTCGGTCCACAAAGACCCCTAGATACCAATTTTGAATGAAATCACATAATAATATCAAACCTCAATCGTAATTATAAATATTCATGATTTCTAATCGAAAATTATTTATATCGGACCTCACAAACCATACCGCTTGTTCATCAAATCTGAGAATAAATCACTAATTTCTTCATTTGCCATTAGTTCATTGAAATAATTTAATTTCAACCCAGCATACCACGCGTTTTATTATAAAGCCATACATAAATAAAAATCTAGTAGGTGGTAGAAAAACTCGCCTCATTTCCATAATCATTAATAATAAATCAGATTTCGTGTAGGAACTATTTGAACAGAATACATTTTCACCTGAAATGATTCATTTTATAAATATATACTATCCCTCCGATTATCAACCAAACCAACCGCCACTGTTTTATGGTCCAACTTACTTTCCGTAAACAAACAAAGTTATGCTGCCTTCAATGTAAGGATGGAAAAGGCCTCTCTATTGTCTTTTGTTACTCTGATATATGCATATATATTCTTTGAATTTGACCATCTGAAAACTTTTGCAGATACATTTTCTTCATTTTATTACATAATCTAGGTATATGACAAGAGCATTGTCTCTAATGAGTTTGATTATAAATATACTGAGGTTTCAATATGAATATATATTTCTCACCTCTCCNACATTGCTTATTTCTATTAAAATCACAGTTATTCATCAGGTTCAAATCACAATCTTACAATATTCTCGAGCATCTTAATATAATTATTATTATTATTTTAAAAAAAATCAGTCTTCTTATGAAATGATCATCTAGAGTCACGGACCATGCAGAGAAGGGGATCCGAACTCCTGACGACTTTACAGGCCATATCCAGTACCATTCTGTCATGTAGACACTCCAAACTCAAAAGTCTACGGCCTCCCTGTTGTCGGGGGAAGTACAACCGTGGAAAGGACGATTTGGGATGTAAACTCCTATAGGGATGCATCATTTTTCGGGTATTTACGTCGAGTTGATACATCTCTTCCCAAGTCCACCACACTACTCCAAACGAGTAGAGTAAGATTGGAATGGCAAACATATTTGTTGCAGCAATTTTGTTCTTCCCCGACAGTTCCGATGACCAGATCTGTCGAAGTTTATGCTGATACTTGCCGCGGGGGGAGTGCTTCACTGCTGTTACCTGTTGTGAGTGGCGTTGTTCCCCCCGAGGTAAGTATACGTCTCTCCGGCATCCAAATGGTGTAGGATGCTTCCATCCTCGAGCTGCATATCCTCTCCGTAGTCCCCGCATCGTCCTCTTTTGAGATGGACCATTGCACATTTGTCTATCCCGAATTCCATACCAATAGCATGCGTGTACTCTTCCATCACCCTCAAGGACTGATTATTATTATCATGAATAAGTGAGTTTTAAGTAAGTGACTTTCACATTTAAGACTATAGATTTATTTTATATTATGATGAATCAAATGTTCATTTTGAGCACATGTGCGTATGTATAATTTTTGAAAGGACACTACATTGAATCAGATTTCAATTAATTGCATTAATTTACTTTTTATTTATCAGTGAGACATTTTTGAAAGAAAACTTACTCTCTGTATTTCTCATCGGAAGACTTTTCCAGAAGTGGGATTCCGGATAGGAACAATATAATTATTGTAGTGAATAGTGGTGACATTATTGCAATCCATTCTACACCCTCAATCACATTAAGAGATATGACAAATATTCCCCACCACAGAACTATTTCTCCAAAATAGTTGGGATGTCTGGACAGTCGCCACAATCCTGAAATGAGTATATTTTTGAATTATCAGCAGTGGAATTCGAGTACACCGTTATTTAATCTAGGTAAAAAATTCCTTGCATTTATACGAGCTAAAAGTTGATCAACTTTGCATTTGTAATGACTCTGTATATGAACCTGCATGAAGATATTAAATTGACTTCATCGATCTTTTTTAGGCATTTTAATCTTCCATAATTTGTATAAAGTTTTCCATTACAAGTTTTATTTTTTCAGATTGTAAAAGGTGAAAATACCTAAAAAATAGGTTGATAAAAAACAGATTTTATTGTCGAAACATTTTTTCTATTACTACTACATAATTTTATATGAGCTCTGTTCTTGAGCTCAGGTTTCATCTAGATGCCTTGCATTGAAAGCTGCAAAAAAGACAGGAAGCGATTTCTCATTCGGTGATATATTTCAAAACGTAGCTTTGCAACGGACCTTCTTTGGGATCCTCATTTATGTTTGATATTTGTGGGTTGAGACTTCAGTCGATTTCATACGTGTAGATGTCGTCTTTATGAGGGGGTATATCCTTACTTACTTGAAAATTTAAGGCTCATGAATTCACGGTTTTGACGGCGAAGTTATATCTGAGAGTATACAGTTTGAAATCAGAATTATCAATTAAATTATTGAGAATAATTATTCTGAAATGTCACGTGCTAATTTACAGTTGTCAGAATCACATTCACAGACGCGAGTGTGAATATTTTTCAATAAATTCAAGTATATTTTCGAAATCTTCATTTGGACTTATATCTTGAAATTGCATTTTGAATAAAACCATTTGGGTTTTCATGAACATATCTTTAGTTTGTTTATTTCTTTTCATCAATAGTCGCCCATTCCTAATTACAATGATTTTTTTTAACTTTTTCTATTCTTCAAAACATTCATTTTATTTCAATTGATGGGTGATTTAAAAAAAATCAACACTAGATATTTTTCTGAGATATTTACGTATAATCATAATTTTTCTTGAGCTTACCATCATTGCACCATTTTCCCTGGTTGTTGGGATCTTGTCTGAATGAAAATTTTTGTAAATCCGCATACGTTTCAGCAAGAAGTCCAACAATAAAGAATGCTGTGCCAGTCGAATCCAACGTCGTCATGGTTTTAGGAGCTTTGGGTATTGAATGTCTTGGAGAATTAATTATTATTACTGGTAAACTAACGATGTATACCCAAACAGCCTGTAAAATCAGATAATTAGGGTAGTAAATTTATTTTACGGCCAGTACGTTTTCTAGAAAAATTATGTAGACAACATCGAACAAAAATCCTCAGAATCAAAACATGGAGCGTAGTTCATTCTTTGCCTATATAAAACGTTAGCTTTATGTAATACAAAGACTGTTAGGTAAGTCAGTTACTTTTAAAATTTCCCGCGCAATAACTTTAAAGCAATAGTGCTGCCGTCTTTTGCCATTTGTTAACAAACACGTGTCAAGTGTCAAATCTTCAGAGCAAGCTGCGTCACGGCTGTATCATTCAGTTTGTGTTTAACATTAGAGTTTCTGTTTTCCCGTCATAGTACGTGCGTTCAATTCAAGATTATTTATGCAGTGATAGTTTTATCTGTACTTAGTTATATCCGCCATCAAGATGTACAAGCTATTTTCGAAAATTTTAGAGAGAATTAAAAAGGAGTGCAGTATTGCGTAAAGCAACACATGTATTTCCACGAATAGACACAGCTCACTGCGCCGGAACGGAAGCTGAAGCCATTAGAGAGACAAAGAGAAGAGCACCATTGAAACTAACTTCGCGACGTATAAAAAACCTTAGAGTAATGATATATTTTTTAATACTAGTAAAACTAATACTCAAACCAAGGAAAGACTTGGTAGATACTAAGAATTCTGAGCCATCAATTTCAATGGTTAAGGAGTGGTTTTCTGAAGTACCGTTGTGGTCACAGTAGCATGCACAAGTGAAGCCAAACTTTCAGGTCTGTCAAAAGAGGTCATTTCACTAGATATCTTCGGTAAAATTCTTAATTCTTCCAAGGAGCAATTGAAACTGTGGGTATCGCAGGGTGAACATGAAAAAGGGTCTAGGTGGGTTTACTAGCCAACAAGTTCATGGAAACAGTTTTTTGAGATGCACGCAGTGTCATTCACATCGATTACCTCGAGAACGGTAGAACGATCACAGGTGAATATTATTCAGAGCTTTTAGACTTGAAATGGATTTGAAGCAAAAACGACGGCATTTGGCGTAAAAAAGTACTACCGTCAAGGGAACACACGTGTAAAGTCACGATGATAAAAATCCATGAATTGGACTGTGAACTACAACGCTATCCAGCATTTTCTCTAGATTTAGTCCCCTGTTTCCAAATATAATGCAATGGTTCGCTGGTAAGCGATTTGGATCAAAAGAGGTATCATCACCAAAGAAATCGCCTATTTTTAGGGGCACAGATACATATTATTTTGATGGAATGAAAAATTTAGACAAACGTTGAACCAAATGTATCGAGCCGAAAGAAGAGCATGTTCAAAAATAAAAAGCTTATTTGCCTTTTCAAACAGCCCTCTACATGAGCCCTCCTGATGATTCTAATTAGGTTAGGTTAGGCCCTACGCCGAAGAAAATTACTGTCTCTCCACGCGCGTTTCGCTAACCAAGTTAGCATCATCAGGAGATGACTAAGACAGTATAAGTGTTGATGCGAAACGGGCGTTGGAAGAAAGTATTCTTTCTGGTGTGGAGAAAGTGTTTTCAATATATTCATTTTGAGTGTTCATTACTTCTTTTTTTCTTACCTGAAATGTCCAAAAAATTGCAAACCGTATATTGTTGCTTCTCTTATCGTCAAACTGTTTATCTCTTCCAATTTTCATTATTCTATACAGAAGATATCCTGATAATCTCATACCCCACAAACATACAAATATAGTAACCATTAATTGTCTACTGTCGTAGCTTTTCTGTAACAGAACAGACAAACATGAAATCAGAATTCAAATGTTCAAGAAAAGTGTAGAAAATAATGTTCAATAATCCCAACTGATGAAGAATAATGTTTTTTCAACATTCTGAAAAATGTAAAGAGGAAACGTTTTTTCTGTTCAATTAGAAAATGTTTAAACTGGATGATACCAATACCCCAAAAGGCAGTTTCCATCTATCAGATAGTTTATAGTTTGAACCTATCTAAGGGGGTTTCAATTCTTTGTCCATTCCATAGACTGCGTCGTCATAAAGAAAATTGCTATGCTCATATCTAACCTAAATCTTGTATTTGTTAAGGACCCCTGAGGTTGAACATTGCTTTAATTGTTGAATCCTCGAATTCATTGCATTACAGGGCCGTATTGAGGGGGTACAAGCGGGCAAATGCCTTCCCCCGAAAAAAGTAAATTCTAAAATGAGTTTTGTATAACTTAATAAATCATTCAAAAAACATTAGATGACGCACATGAATTGTTCATTCAATATTAGGTAAATGAGTTTTGCTTCCCCTCCAGGAATAACTCCTGAATACGTCCCTATAACATGGCTTTCAAGGCTATGATTTCAATCTCATAGATTTATATTTATGCGGAATAAAGGAAGAGAATTATATATAGGTATTTCAGAAGTTTACATTTGGAATAATTGATTAACTAAATGCATGACATTTTTTGAAAGACATTTTTTGTGGGGGACTCAGTAACTTGTCGTATTCATGAACTTTGCTGCTTATAAACTGAAAAAAAAATGAAATTTCAATACTTAGCTTTATTTGGTGGTCGATGTTTTGGAAAACAATCTTTTTTCGTTATCAAAAGCCAAAATTCACTTTTAGCTTCAAATTGTAAAGAGCTTTCATTATTTTGACATACGTCATAAGAATGAAATGAAATGTGATAGTCCACAGGAATATATATAGTAGAGGTTTTTTCGAGAATTCAGTTAAGGTTCATGTTTCCATTTTCAGCCTCTCTGAAAGAGGAGATAACTATAAATGAATCGGTTTTAGAGCAGAACGCATATCCGGAGCAGTTTGTGGGAAGAGCTCTCAATAAAAATGGTAAAAGCTATACACATCATATCGAGATTCCACAATTATCACAAACTCAACAACAATTCACATACCTACCTCACAACTATCGTCATAACTTATATTTCAGGATTGTTTGAGAAATTGAGACGCATCGGTGTTGTATAACCTAATTAATAAAGAAAAGCAACGAAAAATCTATTTTAAGTTGGTATTAGGATTGGCAACACTGTTTGTCATAAATATAAAATAGTTTTATGTTTTGATGTTTATTTTTAAGAAGAANTAAGTTTTGACTATATTGCAATAAGTTTTGAGTGTATTTCATCGAGTTTCGATAACCACATGATTTTGATTTATTTTATCTTAATTGTTGCAATAAACTTGAAAGCGATAGCATTTTGAATGGAGAATGAAGAGACCTTTCAAACGATATATCACAAGCCAATATTTCCCATTTAAAAAATTGGGGGTTGTACTTGTCATTCGACGGGGGTTGAAGGTTGAAGAGCATTTTTCCGTTGAAGTATGTAAAATTATAATTTAAATTTGACGTGTTTCGGGATTTTGTTGAAATATGTACCGTAACCGAAATAAGGAATTTATTCCATTTGGCTTTTACACACTGTATAAGGAGAAGAAAGATAACAGGATCGGGGGTAGTGGAGCATATTCTAAAATCATCTGGTGATTACGTTATAAAATGGAGTGAAAGAAAAATTATCATCAAAGAAACTCATGAAAAATTAGAAAATTCGAAGAATTCGCATATATTCTTTTAGCAGGTAACATGTGTATTTCAAATAGCTCTGTGGAAGTGGATCGTACCTGGAACCTTGACTGAATTTTCAAAAAAACATCCCAGTATATGTATTCCTGTGAACTATCGCATATGATACCTGGACATTATATTCTTTTGAAGTATTTCAAAAGAATTGAAGTTTATGCTTCAAGATGAAAATTTTACAGTGAATTTTGAGTTTTGATAACGGAAAAAGATTGTTTTCCGAAATGTTGACCCCTAAAGAAGGCTAAGTATTGAAATTTCATTTCTTTAAATTGATTCATGAATACCACAAGTTACTGACTAATTGGACTCTTCAATGGTTTATATGACGCAGCAACTTTTCGGAATGAGCCGGCTGTTTCTCTAATGATTTAGTTTTGTTTATTTTTCAGGTTGTGGTTGTGCAGTAATATTAGGAAAGACTTTTCTCCTGGACGAATTTTCAGAACTTGAGTGAAAACATGCGAAAGTAGCCATCATGAAAATTTTCTGTGAACAATTACGTACCTACGTGAAAAAACTTACCCTTTCTCCTTGTCCGAGCAAAAATGTGAGCACAGCCAAAATGATGAAATTTATTCCGCCTGCGAAATCCGTAATTTTGTCCATTTGAAAAGTGGCTGCTATCAGAAAAAATATAACTTGCATGCTGATGGTAACTATAGCACTTATTGCATAATGGTCCTCATCTAGGATTTCGACAGCCATTTTCTTGATATGGTGTTTTGGAGTATCTCATTCGTCCTTGAACAAATATTTTTTATAAAATACATAGTTATTTACCGTTTCTCTAGGCGATAGAAGGCATTATCTAGTCTCGTCTTGTCTCAATTTATCTCGACTTCTCTTGACGAGAGAACATCCACCTGATATTCAGAAAAGTAAAAAATATATTCAATTGCATATATTCTCCGGTAAAGTCGACTTTGAAATCGAGGTTCCGCAGGGCTCAGTCCTTGGCCTCCCAGTTTTATTTTTATTCTACATGAACGATATTGATAGACTTGACATACCAGCGTCATGTACTATATATGCCCTTAGTTGTCACGAGTAAGGATCAGTTTGTAGTAAAAGACAATTGTGGAACAACCATAACAAACCTGAATCAATGGTTTGGCGCCAACTCATTCTTGATAGCGGACAGAGATAATGTGGAAAGCTTATCTTCAGTGACATCGAAACCAGTGAAAACCCAGAGAAGTTTTTAGAAATGTATTTGGATTAACTTTCTTATTAGTCAGCGGGCTATGCTTGAAGACTGGTAGTAAACAAATCCAAAGAAATGAACTTTAAACGTTCAAGCCAGTCTCGAATTTCATATGCAGGAAATTTTCTGTGAAGACTCCTGCACTGGCGTCTGTCGGATATAATCCAACGTCCTTCGTGGTATTAGCCAGGGGAGTATTTGTTTTCTGATAGGCGTAAGTCCATTCAACCTACTGTGTAGGTATATTCGAGACTGGCTTGAACGTTTAAACTTCATTTCTTTAGATTTATTTGGATTGATGTTTGTCTTGGAAAAAACTTTGTGACTGTTCGATTTTTTGGCCTAATTCCATCGCATTTAAATTGAGAAATCTCAGAAAAGTACTGATTATAGATATGCTACTCAAACTAACTATGTCCAGGCCTTTAGTAGGATTTAGTGTGAATTTTGCTTTTCTGGAGTTCATCTTCTGCAGAAAAAGATGATTTTATTGCCAAAAAAGAGTATTGAGAAATATGATTGAACTCAAAAGTAGATAGATATTCAAAGATTTAGGGATCTTTCATGTTTATTTTAGAAATATGCCTATATGTTTTTAGAAATATCGAAAAATTCAGGGTGGGGAATCCGAATATGGGAAGCAATTTTTGGGATATTATTCAAAAAACCCAACTTCGATACTATTGTGGGTAATCAGACAAAATAAAGTATGAGAAGAATGATTCCGTAGTCAAAATAATTCAAAAATATAAAAGTAAAACCTGAATAAGAAGCTGATCAAAATATTCTGCAGGCTGCAATAAGCCCAAAATCTTCATTCGAAATATATTTTAGCAACTTCACTCCTATGCCTCAAACTTCTAATGGAAGCTCGATGTGATATCCTTGAGTTTGGCATGGTAGAGATTTTGTAAAATACCGTTCATTAAATTTTTAACTGTGTGAAACCTGAACAAAATGTTCACTCTGTCGTGTGAATTTCTGATATTCAACGAGGTGGGTTGATATTAAAAATGAAAACGGTTATATTTCTCACCCTCATTTCTCCCTGACTAAAATCTGAACTCCCTCAAGATTTCCGGACTATAGGAGATAATGAAGTCCAAGGTCACAGCATCCCACAGATCGATACTCACTCGAAACTGTGGCAAAATCAAGAATCGAAAATATAAATGAAACTTTTTTGCATCTCACGAACATTACCTGATAGAAAATAATGTACACAAGATATAGACTGCACGAATTTGTATGCATTTATTTGATTAATCGCTTGTAGGGTTAAGAAATGAATAATGTCTGCATGTCGATAACATTCTAATCGATTTCAAGCGTATCGAATTATTAAAAAAGTTAAAAGGTGGTTAGGAATGCAATTAGACACCTAATACACTAACCGTACACATTCTCAGGTACACCTGCATTAGGAAAAACTTACAAAACATTGTATGAATCCAACTTCGCGACGCATGCCGCAGATGCTCCCACTCCACCGACGCCAGGCTCTGAACTGAAACTACTGAACTTTGCGGCTATTCGAGATGAATATTTTGGAGCACGAAATTCCAATTGAACGCGCTCCTGCATTGAGCATGCACAAAAACAGGGGCAATATACTCCGTGATATTTTGAACATGATTACACTGTGATTTTGTTAGCGATAATCTAACGAAAAAGTGTGGTTCGGAAAACCATTACAGGATGTATACAGGGTGTTAATGGGTGTTTGGACAGTATTTTCGGCAAAATCGGAGTTTTCATTTTTGTTAACTTTTTCATCCAGAATTTCAATTGATGAATAATGCAATACATTTTTGGAAAAAATCATTTGTTCAAGAACTCCTCTGAAGAATGAAAATTAGTGGAACCTCCCAGTAAAGCCTACCTCCACGTATTTACACCCTGTTTGCCTAACTGTAAGTAGGGAGGGTGAGTGTAGGCCTACAGCACTTAGGCCACATGTGACCCATTGTGACGTAGGAGGACAAGGAGTTGTCCTCCTACGTCATCGTCCATCCTGTCCTTCACAAGAAGGTGGACAGGTCTCTAGGAGAAATCTTTTTTATATCGGCAGGTGTAGGCCAAGACTCGTCAAACACACACTCTCTCATTGACGTTAACTCCGGACATTCGCATAGAACATGTTTGACAATTTCATCTTCCTGTTCACACATCCTGCATAGAGGTGTGTCCACTAGCCCCATATTGTGGAGGTGTTTCCTTAGTTGACAGTGGCCAGTCAGAAATCCTACTGTTAAGCGTAGATTTTTCCTGGTCACCGCCAGATATGTCTTCGGCGTCAGCTTCCTGGCAAGAGTGCATCCTTTGATTTCATCCCATCTCTTTAGGGATTGAGCATAGGTATGATGTTTGGCTAGTTCTACAATTGTCGAAGTCATCAGGCCGTAGGTGCCACTGGGTCCTAAAACTCTCAGTCCAGCCGCTTCCTTGGCTGAAGGGTCGGCAATTCGATTACCTTTACGCCTATCGTGCTCTTTAACGAACCTCCGGATAACATTATTATCTACCGAGGCTTTGGCTAAATCTTAGTGGCACTCTAGTACTAGTCCTGAGGTAACTTGTCTGCCTATGCCTAAAGCAATGTAAAAATAATCAACCAGTAAGTCAACTCTCACTACTTTCATTCATAAATTCACAAAGATCTCGGTGACCTCGAAACGAAGTGCGGGGCCGATTTCGTTCTTTTACCATAGGCGTGCGCTCATATAGAAACGAAATTTAAGGATATTTCAGAAGATTTTGTGGCAAGTTACTTATTCCGTACGGCGATTTCACCGGCTCTTCAAAAGCCCAACCCTTGAAACATGCGATCCACACATGTGTTGATGTCGCCGTCCGGCCAGCCCGAGCAAAAAATCCGGCCGTTGACCATTTAGAAAAATGTTCAACGCAGTTTAAAATGTGTATTTTCTTTTTGTTTCATTTTCTTTCTCTCTTGTCTCGAATGATTTTTTTCTATAATGTTGGTGTAGGTACATATAATATAATGTGTTGCAAATAAGTACTCATGTGAAATAACCAAAAAACAAGATTTTGGGGATGACGTTGAAGTATAAAGAATGGCCAAATCTAATAATGGTGTGTCGTCTGTCCCAGAGGTTCCTAAAATTGAAAATAGCAAAAAGGTAAAAGGTATTGTTTAATAACATAATCATTATAAACGACATTATCATACCTATATCAGTACGTTACTTTGATGTCCAGATAAATATTGTTGGTATAGCATACTGTCGTAGAATTTTTTTCATATAGCTACTTATCATCACATCATTTTCAGAATGACTACCACATAAACGATAAGTGCTTTTGTACAGTGTTTCTAATGTGTTGAGCAAATCAAGTCTGTAGCATGCTTCCAGACATATTTTTGCCCTAGAATAAAAATCATAACGATTGAACAACTTATTAGGTACTTACTTACCTTTCGTGATTTTTTGGTAATCTATAAAATTTGTCACTATAATTGTAGGCCTTGTTTTTGCAACATTGAAGTAGCAAACATTTCCTGACTTCTTTCATAATGTCTTTTTTAAATCTCCCATTTTCCAATCACTTAATAATAAAACAAACAACAATAACCAACTACGAAAATTAAAAACAATAATAACAACAGCGAATAGACTAAACACGATATCAATTTCCGACCGTTCATTATAACTAATCCGATGCCCGTGAAACCGTCGAATCCTTCGATACTACAGCACTGAACGCGTTGGATGAGAATCTCATCCTAAGAGTGGTTGAAGGTCCCCGGCAACTCGGGCGGATCACGTGGTAAAAGAGCCTACTGGTTGTATTATTCTACTGTGCCTATAATCTACTTCCTTAGGCAGCGAAGTTATGAATCATTTTCAAGTAGCTGTTTCATAGGCGTACATATAATTGAGTTGGTTAAAAAATGAAAAATGTAGTATTTATTTTGAACATTCAATGTTGTACGATTTGATGTAAAAATCCATGGAACACTCACCTTGATAATTAATAGAATTTTTTAAATTGAACACCTAAAATTGTTACTTTTTAATGTATTACATTTTCCCTGGAAAAGAAGATGACGGCATTAATCGATCCTATCTAATGGTACTTTAATTAGGTACACCTGAACAATATGAATTAATGATAAAGCCCTCGTGTCCTAATCAGTGTGGTTTTTAGTAAATCAAACTTAGTCTCTGAATTACAATGGCTATTTCAGTTATCTCTCCAGTAAAACGAATGAGCAAATGTGCTTTTTCTGTTAACAAAATGGTTATTATTCTCAATGAATGTGACACTCTCATACATCAAAATCCTTCGGATGTCATTGATACTTTGGTGGAAATGTGTTCGCATATGAATGAGGGGAGTTTCAAAATCGATTATATAAATTCAAGAATAAGAGAAAAAAATTGAGCTGTGAAATCCCCAAAACCAGCTTAAGGAATAAAAATTGTAACTGTTCATGTAAACTGTAAATTTGCAATTAGAAGAACAGTAAATTCATTTCAAGAAAAAAAAAGGCCAACGTATGTCTTCAATGCTAGGCAGGCATAAATTATGGAAAATTTTGAAGAAATTGAATTCCAAAAACACCTTCAGGCTCTGGTGCAGGTGTTTTCAGTTGCAGACCCATCAGGACAGAGATATATCAACCGGCCCAGGGACCTATGCGACTCTATTTCAAGCGAAAATCTATGCTATTGAATTGTGTGCGGAGAGATTGGTAGAATCCAACCTTACTCACAAGACAATAAAAATTTTCTCGAGCAGCCAAGTGGAGTTGGAAGCTTTTGGTTCCTATAGAGCAACGTCTAAATTGGTGTCAAATTGCCAAAAACGACACTCCTCAATAGGAAGACTTAAAAAATTGTCTGGTTTGGATTGCCGGCCACACTGGCCTGGAAGGCAATGAGGTTGCTGACTCCCTTGCAAAGGAGGGTGCTGCAAGCAGCTTCATCGGACCAGAACCTGTCCTTAGCATCGCTTTATTTTTTGCCAAACAAACATTGAACATCTGGATGGCAAGAAGATTTGAAGACTTCTGGCAAAATCTTCCACGATTGGCTCACTCCAAGGCGTTTATTCACCCTTTGAAGCTTGAAACCAAACAGATGTTGGACTACAGTAGGGATGAACTACATGCAGGAATTCCCCCGTTAACGGATGAACAACTTTCTCATCCATCCCACCCCAGCCAGGTAGGGGTATCCCGTGAAGGGCGGCACTGATGTCTAAGGACTTCATGCCGTCATACAATTAGTTATGAACCCATTGGTCCTTCTCGAGACCAACAATCAGTCGAAAGGGTAGGGGAGCTGGATACCAAACCTGAACGAATCGAAGATGATCTTCTGACATGCAGGAAACAGAATATCATTGAGAGGCTTCGACAAAACAACATACTATTTGATGAAAGTATGGTTAAAAATAACTATAATCCATGGTATGTACAAATGAAATTTGTTTCCTTTGATGAAAGTGTGGTTGAGAAAGAAATATTATCCAAAGTAGGTACGTTCAAATAGTTTATTTTCCGGAAGGTGTAGTCGACAAGATGGCACTGAAACGAAATATTAATACTTTGCGTCTGCCTCCTTTTCATTGCGAACTCAAACTATTTCAGATAAAGGGTTTTTTTGCAAGAAGAGAAACGACATTCGAAATGAAACATGTCAAAATTCTCGTTAGAGAATCCTTAAAAAAATGTCGATTACGGAAAATGGCGAAACTGTTTTGAACATATACATGAATGTAGGCTTTCACGTCTGGCGTCAATGTTTTAGTTGGTTTCCGAGTTTTGACATGGTCTTCTTTGGTTACAATCTCCAAACGTTCCAAATGAAACTGTATGAGTCATCTTGCGTGGTCGAAGTCCCATTTGATACATCAAGAAGAGTACTTAGACTACGCCACTGAAGATGACTGCCGCAGTTTCAGTTGAAATGTTTGAACATGTTACAAAAGAAGATGATTAGGATTAGACCATTCAGTTGGGAAAATTGTAGAACCGATAGATAGCAAAGTGACTCTCTGGAAATCATTCAAAAGATGGAGAATTTCAGGGTGTACTATCCAAACGATGCAACAGTCCAGTATCACTTTCAAGGAGCGGTCGATATTGCAATTTCCAGTTGCTTCAGTGTTTGAAGCTGAGATAATTGAAATTATTGTTTTCTACAGAAGCAATTTAGTTCCAGAAGAAAGTCAATTAGTACAGTAAATACCTCCACTGAGATACTCCATGAGATATGCATGAACGTCAGCAGTCTTTAAGAAGACACTTTAAGAGGAACAACAGCATGGACAAGAGCCTCAAATGTATTTAATACATTTCATAGCCCAGACAAGAAATTTAGATTTGACTAGGTCTGTTCTTGAGAAGGGCATCAAAAATAATAGCAGTAGGATTTGAAATCGGGTTGGGTGTGAGAAGGAGGTGAAGTTGTTGAATGCAATGTAACAGCACTGAGATTTAAATTTGGGTTGGATGTGAAGAGGAGGTGAAGTTTTTTTATAACAGTTGATTGCAACTTTTTTCTTCAAACCACAACTTTTAGTGAGGACGAGCCACTGAAATATAACCCTATTGAATGAACTAACTTATAAAATTCAAATGTAATTATATGAAATGACTCAACGAAAGATGACATATGAAGGCATTGTTCAGTTCTTCTCCTTCGACGAAGTGATATCTTTGAGCCGCTACATATAATTACGAATAAACTTCACAATTCATAAGTAACTGATATATTGGCTAAGGCTTTCGCGACCGAGATTTTCAGTGTTATTATCTTTATTCGAGTTTGAAGGATGTTGTAGTTTGATGATCCATCGGTTAATCATCAAGATGAATAAACCTCTGAAGAAGCCAGCCACTCGTGCTGGCGAAACATTATGATGCAGTTCCAAACTACGACGGCCTTCAAACAGGAATGAAAATAGTAACACTGTTTATAAGTGAGTTAGTTTAATCCGATGGATATGAATCAGATATTTAAGCCCATAATTTGTCCAAGATACAGGGACCAATAAACGTACAAGCGCGTTCTATTCCTAAGAATAAAATAGAAGTTCTGTCCCAGATGCATAGAAATACCATAGTGTAATCACTTGCAATCCTCCCTATGCAGAATATTTTTACAACACTCCATCAACCATCATTTGTACAAATTTGGATCAATCTCATTTCTTGCCTTGGGAGATTTTGACAAAACGAGAGAGTTTCAGTTAAAACACTGGGATTTCTATGCATCTTAGTTGTGTGTGTTGAAGTCACCAAAATAAGAAGAGGACGAGATTCACATGAAGTTGTTATCTTTGGTTAGGGTTTTTAATGGATTTAGGAAAAGTTTATATAATTTAAAATGTCCCGATATTTTTCATTAGGAAAATATAATGAGCCCATGAAATGTTTAAAACATTTTAAGGTGATACCTCAGTTTAAATTTCGACTGCAAATAAGTGTTTTTTTATTTGCAGGAATACACTTTCCAGGGTTCTAGAGATAATCGACAGGCATTAAAAAAGACTGTTTCCGTATTTTTGGATAAAGTAGTAAGATTTCTTATTATGATTACTCACATCTGTATTTCACAGCAACTGCCATATATATAATGAAACATGACTCGTATTAGTATAAGGTATTACAAGAAATGCACTAGGTAGCCTTTTTCTTTAAATATTGGTTACCACTTTGAATTCAATAGTACCTGATTTATTATTACGTTTGTATAAATAGATTACAAAGAAATTAGAAAATGTTCTTCATGAACATGTAACTTAAGGAGACCTTTTTTCTATCTTGTGGTAGATATTCTTGGAGAAACGATCCAAACTTCAATGGAGCATTACATCTAACACTAGCTAATTCCGATTCATGTACTTCAACTACCACAGGGCAACTTATTTAAACAGCAGAACTTCTTCTGTCTACAATATTCTTCAACATACTTGAAAAAACCAAACCATATCACAACACACCAAAATGAACTTGAATTTTAATGATGATCCTAGCTGATTTTTGCTACTTTTGTATAAAAAATGGTATAGGAAGGGTTGCCTGTATATCTATTTAAACTTTTCAAAGAGGGCCGATTCCCATCAATTTATTCTTCCAAACACGAACACGTTTTGATTCCTATACCCAAGTTCAAAACATGTTTCCAGTACTTCGTAAGCATCCTAATCAACGATTCCACAGCTTCATTCTTCTGCTGGGACTGAAAACAAGTCTACTAAAAACTAAACTTAATCCTCAAACTAGTTAAAAAACGTTGATGAACACAAGCCTTCATAGTTCTCATTCACAACTCAAGCACAGTTTAATATATGTTTCTGTTCCTGAAAAATTCCCAGACCCATGTGATTTGTGCCTCCACCTCCTTCACCATGAAATATGAAATTCAATAGTCCGTATATATACAAATGTGTCACACATTTGCTTCCCTAGTGTGTTATAAATAAAACATGTATATTATTAGTCATCACATCAATATTTTTAGGTTACATACTGTGAAAAATTAAACTATTGTCTACGGTTATTTGTTAACAGACTTTTCTTCTTAGATCTTAGGTTCAAGTGTCTAGTAAACATAAATGTACTTGATGAAATATAGATATAATCGTTTTAAACTAATACATTCCTTCACTATTAAGAAATGATTACATGTGTTCCCCTTGTGTATGAAATAAAATATTGAACTTGTATCTTACTCTTCAAGTAGAGGAGAAGTATCCGTTTTTAGTTTTGAAAACTGTACAGTATTTGACTAGTTCAGAGAATAAACGATACCAGAAGTTGTTTCATACTTTCTCACTAAAACACTGTGTTATGGCTGGTCAGTTTCATAGTTTTTGTATTTCAACTTCCCGCAGTAAATATACATTATTTCTTTTGATCATACTCAGACACCAACACACAAACAAATTTCTTACCTTCCATATCTTCATCCGTTTAGATTAGACCGGAGTGGTCTCATAAGAAGCCGAAGTTCCACCATACTTTGCTATATTTATTCTAGGATTTTGTTTTTGATTCAAACATGTAATTAGTGTATTTCAAAAATGTACATTCTAGAAGTTGCTGCCCCCAGAAATCTGCGCTCAAGCGTGTGTCCTGCCGGTGGGGCCAGCTATATCCTACACTTGTTATGAATTGACATTATTATTTAGGCTACCTTCATTCCTATAAATATGTTTTCAACTACACTTTGTTGAAATTAATTATAACAGGGGATTGTTTTTGAATACAAGGCAATATTTTCTTTGTTTAATGTTAACGAAGACAATTATACGTTGCATAAACAATACCTAATAATTATTATCACAATACTGTGCATGAGTATGAGAGACAATCATTCATTGAGAATACAAAGATTGAATTAGGAAAATTTTAGAAAAAACTTTTTAAATTAGTGAGCATTTGAATATTCAGACACATTAAATAATGCTTATAACTATGAATTAGTGAAAAATATATAGGTAATACAAGGTGTTCTGTTTTCTTAAGATACCTGAATGTGCTGAATTTTATTGTCAGATTTTTTATATTATCGATCTAGAATAATGTTGTAACCGTTAACCCAAGTACGTGAAGTGAGTAGTTCAAAGGATCTTTTCAACAAACCATGATACCTTTCATATCAAATTTAATTTCAAAAATAACATATTGATTTCAGAAGCCCTTTATTCCAAAGAATATTTATTCTCTCAATAACATGGACCCAATACATTTTCAGTATTAATTTTTTTATAGAAGAACATTTCACCGGCATCTGCACTGACTTCAGAAAATGTTTCCAAAGCATGGCCGTCCCTCGGTATCTTTGAAAGAAACAAAAGCCCTAAAAACAAGGTGGGTCTTTGAGATTGTTATAGCCTGATTACCGTCCGTTTATTCATCTTGTAGCATATTAAATCAAAACTACTGAAGAAGGAAATCGTGAAATTATGCTCGAATCTGCAGAAGAGTATATCACACAATAAAAATGTAATTTGGACTGCTGCTGGATTGTCAGCAGTAGAAAGTAAGATAGGAGATGGAGGGAAAGTTGACACAGTGGCGGAACTAATACCAGAACCGCCACCAATTCCAGAGGGCACTTCAGAAATTTTGGAACAGTTGAATGCTCTTGGAGAACCTACTTTTGCATCACTAGGTTTAGGTGGCTACAGCCCTGTAGGAATAGCGCAAAACTGTTTCGAATACCTACATGTTACTCTTGGAGTGGAATGGTGGGCAGCAATCGCAATAGGTGAGACATCAATTTGAGAAATTCTACAGGTAATTATCTTGAATTTTCATAGGTTAAAATTTGCCTCAATCTTCAGAATTAAATGTAACTTGCAGTTTTTTCTTTGGTTCTCTTTATTTGTAAATGTCCTCAATAGATGTCTAAGAAGATTTGAAATGTGGAATTTTCCAATGTTAGTGATTGATATTTGATATAGTGGAAAGTATTCTTGGATATTGGTCTGTTGCAATCTTGCCACTTTCCATATCTCTCTTCATATCTTCAAAGGCGGTAGTCAAGTACGATCCATTTCTAAGGGACTGTTTGAGATACCCACCCTTCTCCCCAGATATATGAGTATATGCTGATACTTTGAGATAAGGCCTCTCAGAGTGGAGTTCATTGGCAATCATTCTAGTCTCATTTCATTCAACTCGATGTACACTGTCTGATTTCAAAATGAGTTCTGACAATTTTGACCTGTTTATTGCCTATTTCTGAAGTAATCTCAATGTTCGTTCCCATGCACTTTTAATGTTTTTTAAGTATCACCAATATAACATCTACCACAAGAACATAGTACCTTGGAATTTCTTACAAAACAAAAAATACATTGAGATCCAACAGCACAGTAGAAAGAACAAGGAATTGCATTTATAAGATACTTTGTTTTTGTAGTAAAAGTTATATTGGTAAAACTTCGAGACCATTAAAATTGTGTGAAAATAAACATCAAGATTAGATAGATAATTTACCTTTTTTATGCCATTAATTACAATTATCAGGATCATTACTTACGGATAAAATTGAAAATAAGAATAATCGGTGGATATCAAAGATGAATTAAAATGGAATCGAAAGATATACATAATAAAATTCAAGAATATGAAATTATGATTTGACATACTTATTAATTTATTCAAATAATAAAAACATTTTTGTAGCAGTAATTTTTCCCATTCTGCTTCAAAATTTTTCATTAAAACTGTTTTTAGTTGGTTAGGCAGAGCGTTATAGAGGTGAACCTTTGCCCATTTCGGTGATTTTTTTGTAGCACATATGTCTAAGATTTGGTTGATAAAAACTTTGTTGATTTATTGTTCCATATTGATGCATCAAAATGTATTTAAAACTCTGTTTCATTTTTGTGTATATATAGAAGAATTTTGAATAAATAAATAATTGTGGAAGTCATCTTATATTTGTTTGAATTTTTCTCCACATGACTCATCAAATAAAGATCAAATATCATTCTAACTATTCTTTTTTGCTGTCCGAAAGCATGTATCCCATTGTTGGCCTGTCCCAAGAAATAGTATTATACAATAAACTGCAGTCTATTGTATAAGTTTGAAAATGTCCGTATAGGACGAAACTGCAGTAACGTTAGTTACAAATAAAAGTGGTGAAAAATAGAAAGCTTCATTTCTCTTTTCTTCATTATGATTTCCTACCACGTAGTAACGGCTACATCCATCAATTTATTCAACATTTATTTCCTATTTCGAAAAACATTTTCAGTCTTCAGAAGTTTACTAGAAAAATTCAAAACTATTCAAATTTGTTAGAGTAGGAAACATTTTTCGAATATCCTGATTAGAACCGGTTTTTCTCTGAATATAAACTATAATCTGTTTGGACCTGAATAAGATGCATTAATTATCTGATAAATGAAATAGAATCTTTGTAAATCTTCAACTTTACGAAAAGGCATAGAATTAAAGTTTATTGCCCTGAACGACATATATTTTCAAAAAGTTGAACATGAAAGTAGTCTTCAAAACTTCTTGCTTACTTCAAAAAAAGTTGGGTAACCCTAAAGACAGGATGTTGGAAAATTTAATGTTGGAAATATATGAAATGAGCTATGAGGACTATGACAAAACATATATCAGTCAAACGTAGTGATGTATTAAAACTCGTCTCAAAGAACACACTGTACATATTTGGAGACCAGAAAATGTAGTGTCGTTTTCCACACCTTAGAGAACGGCCGTAGAATAATGAAAATTGACTGAAATTGTTGAGATTGATACATAACACTAGATTTTTCGATGCCTTCGAATATCTGGAAGTGGCAAAGTGTGTCATCAGAACTATGCAAACTGACAAGGGTCCCATTCCAAACAGCCCATTGTTTTCTTTCACCCTGTTTAGTATAAATACAGACCAATTTTAGAGTACTGCAGTTCTGGTTTGGGAAAAGTGCATGTTTTAGGTAGATTTAAGAACTTCAGATAACTATTTTTTTGATATTGTACTATTACTTTACTCAGTTGGTTCTAATGTTCTGTACTGTATACTTTCAAGAGTGAAGAATGAAATGAAATAATGATTATTATTTAATTTTGGAATATTTTGTCTTTTCCAGGTACTCTTGTTATTAGATTATGCCTCTTCCCATTAGTAATAATAGCACAGAGAAATGGTGCAAAAATGAATAATTACTTACCACAAATGCAGTTGTTACAATTGAAAATGACCGAAGCAAGACAAACTGGTAACCAGATTGATGCGACAAGATACTCTCAGGAACTGATGGTGTTTATGAAAGAAAAAGGATTGAACCCACTGAAAAATATGGTTGTTCCTCTCGCTCAGGTCGGTAAAAATCAAATGAATCCCTTTTTCGGGGCTCTGTAACAATAAATTTCATAAAACATACCTGACAATTCGTTGTTACAGAGCCCTAAAATAGAATTTAATTAAATCCAAAACATTGACAAGAAAACAATTGTTTTTCTCATATAATTTGATCTTGTAAACCAACAAATCTTTCTAAATAACTCTTTTGGAGATCTAGACTATTTAACATAAATTCTGACTGATATTCTACATATTCAGAAGATAATAATAGTAGGTATCTAAGCCCAATATGCCTTGAGTTATCAATAGAAAGTTTCAAAGGGTCTGAACTTCAATAAATTTTCAATTAATAAATAGGAGAGATCTTATAAGAAATAAATTGATAAGATACAGATAATAGTGGCTCCAGGATTCACAATCATGATACAAAACACAAAGACATCATCAGGCTACCGAAGATGTATTATCAAAACACAGCCAAACAAACGGAGTTTCTTCCCATAAAAATAAATAACACTGCCTAGTGACTGAAAAGACCTTTATATAAAAGAATTGAAGTTCAAAGTAAAAAATTCACTTGTCACCCAAGCTTTTATAAGATTGATGAGGTCCTAACATATGTATATGTGGGTATGTGTGTATATATGTGTATTTATATTGTTAATATCCATATGTGAGTCATAACTATTGTATTGTGAAATTTTTTTCTTTGATATCTGAGGATTGGGTTCTTCGTTGATCCTATAGATGGCGTGTTTGTTAGGGGAGATGTCTAGTACCTTACTCACTCAGGCTTGTCTTTTAAGGATAGTTGAGTGCAGTAATGCATTTGTGGTTCAGTCTAGCACTACTGAAGAGACCTATGGCGGGTCAAAACATCGCTGTCTAGTGTTAAATCATGAATGCGTTGTGATTGGGTTTTAGTTTTCAAGTGCATTAATTTTGTTAATATTTTCTTACCATATCAATTTCCTTTGTTGAAAATGTTTTTATAATTTATTCTGACATATCTGATTTTATGCGTATGATCTAGAATACGAATTTTTTCAAACTGAAATATAGTTTGTCGATCAGGCCCTTCATCAGACCACTTGTTATCATTGCAAATATTACAGAAACTGGGACCACGAAAATCTGTGAATTTATATAATTTTTTCAGATGCCTATTTTCATCTCCTTCTTCATGGCTCTCAGAGGGATGTCCAATGTTCCAGTGGATAGTTTGAGAACTGGAGGACTGTGGTGGTTTACCGATTTAACTCTTCCGGATCAGTATTTTCTTCTGCCCATCATTACTAGTGCTACGTTGTATGCCACTCTCGAGGTAAATATTTGATTTTACTGATTTGTCGTAACATTTTTTTTTCGGTTGTTGAAAAACATCCCGTTAAGAAATCAGAATATATTATTTTCCAATGCAACCTCAAAGTTAATAGCTCCAGTGGTGTATCGACTCGTAGTCCGAATCTACAGTTTGCTATTGGTTATAATTGAGTCGTGTTTACCTGTGACCTACAATTTATGTCTACGTAACTGAAACATGTTTCTGTTTTGCTGGAGTTTGCTTTGGAGTTGAAAATAGTAAAGTCATAAAAGTTCTTGTATTTTTTAAAGTGAAAGAAAACATTTAATTTCTTTCAGCTAGGTACAGATTCGGCCCGACTATCATCACAAAATGCACATTTGATGAAATATGTATTGAGGGGTCTACCGTTATTCATATTACCCTTCACCGTGGGTTTCAATGGAGCAATATTGTGTTACTGGGTATCAAGTAACTTCATTTCACTAGTTCAAGTGGGATTTTTGAGAATACCAGCCGTCAGAGATTACTTCAAGATCGAACCATTACAAAAGTTTGATCCGGCTACTCTGCCAATGAAGCCGAAAGGATTCAGAGAAGGAATCAAAGATTGTAAGTTTGTAGTTAGATTTGGCAGAATATTTGAAGCGAGTGCGATTTTATATATTTATTTTCTAGTAAGTATGTATCTCTCCTTGATACATTTATTATTTTTTATCAAGTAATGGGTTAGTCCATTCATAATTAGAATAAGAAATTTTATTAAATTTCGTCAAACTTAGAATTTTGTGAAATCACTTAAAACAAGCTATTCCACACCTCAAATCTCTGAAGTATTCCTGATGAATTGTACTATTTTAATTTTACTTTCAACTGCCTACCTTGAGATTACATATGAATGTATTTTATGTGTGTCGATAGGATGTGTTTTATCGTATTTACATTTGTAACACACCTTTTTCAGGATATGAATTTAAGACATTGTTTTGAACACCAAAAATTCTTTTCAGCTTGGACAAATATAAAAATTACGAAGGAGCTAGAAGAGAGAACAAGATTGGATGAGATACAATTCAATAGGGCTGGGAAGGGTCCTATAGTGAAAACATATAAATACGACCCCACCAAAAAAGAAGATCCATCAAGTTCAATCCCGATTAGTGCTAAGAAGCTGTAATAAATATACATTCTGTTATGTAAATTAAACAACTCAATACTTAATTTTTTTTATTATTCTTCAATATTTCGGCATAATATTAAACATGCAAAACAAATTAGCTTGCTAAAATTACAACACTCTATACCTATAGAAACTCATCAGATTATGGGATATATTAAATTTGATAAATATACTTATCAAATACAACAAAACCACCCAAGGTACAGGCACCAAAAAATATCTCGTATTATTCAGAATCTGCAGAGCGTTATACCCTAAAAAAGTTATATAAAAGTAATACAAACAGGAGCAAAGCCAGAAAGTATTACCCAAAAGAATAGACAAAAACCAGTCGTGACTTATGATTCCATTATAAAAAAATAACTGGATGAAGTGGAGTAATATCAGCGGAGGAAAAAAAGCATTAAGGTGGACATCGAATGAAAAACCCCACTCAACGTCCTGTAGATTAGTTTTTGGTTTCAAGAAAGTATTGGTTAAGTACCAAAATAAAGTGGCAACTAAAAGTCCCAATCCAATACAGTCCACGAATACAACAAAAAATAAAAACTTAACGAATTGAAGGAAGGATAGTTTCAGCACAATGGAAAATCCTACAGTGGTGATACTGAGTGCTCCAGCAAAGAGTACCAAAAACGCAGGGTCATCACGGGCGTACTGGGATTTTGAAAGTTTTCTAGCTCTAAACACTTTGATCAATTTTTGCGGTGCGATAAACAAATATAACATTTGCCACAGGGCGAACTGAAAATCCATCTGATCAAACTTGAAAATTTTTCGCATGTATCTCGCACACTTATTATATGCAGAAGAGATATCACAAGGCGATGCAGAGTACACCCTGTTAGAACTCATAGTTGCAGGTTCAAGCACTTCTTCTCAACGCGATACACTGATTTATTACTTTAATCAAATGTGAATTCTCCAACGCAGCAGCTACTCTTTCCTTGTCAGCAAGCTGTTTATTCACTTGTTGTTCGGCATTGTGAGTACCGGGAGTCACCTCGACTTTAACTTTGAATCTCGCAGGTAGGCATCTCAACAACTGGACTCTAATGGAAAGACCTATGAGTGTGGCCATGCTACAGTGAGGTATAGTTGGAGTGAAGTAAATGTCCACTGTATTGTTGCCATTGTCTATACGAATGAGATCTTCTTGAACGACGTGAAGCTGCTCCAATGATAGTGGGTGTTCTGGATCGTTGATGTGTCGAATCAGATCTGAAAGAAAATAACAAAAAATGACTAACCTAATTTGTTAAGTTGTTTTAAAAGTTTTCTTCGTTTTTTGTGTGTTTCTTAAGCTCCATATCTTAATAAATATTTATTTTACTGTGTAGTGGTATATGCTGATCGATTTGCAAACATTTTGCTTAAATGAAGATCCAGTTCTCGTAGCAACTGGAAAAGGAGTCAAAGGGCAGCTATAGACACCTAAGTATAATTTTTTCCCAACTATTCACAACAAAAATGACAATGTCACATTAATAACAGTGATTTTAAAAACACTGATTTTTGTTTATTAGAAATGCTTCACACTCGATTCAATTTCTTGGTTAACAAGTTAGATGCTAATGGTCAAGTTCAGTCTGTGGTCCAAATATTTCCCTAAGAATTTTGTCATGGTTCAAGATGAGTTTGAACAATTTGACTTGTAATTACAGGTTAGGTGAAAAAAAAGACCAGAGGTTTAATTGTATCTGCTAGCAGCTTTCAAATGCTGAGTTATTCTTATACAATATTTGATAAAGAACCTTTTATCAAAAAGATTGAAAACCCATAATATTCACAAATGACATGATTGAAACCTGTATTGTTAACATTTAACAGGTATACCTAACACGCCACCCGGTGGGTACTGAATTTCATTATATAGGAATTTAGGAAACTCCAAACCTACCACTAATAACAGCAAAATATAATTTATCACTACTAATAACAACTAAATATAATTTATCACCACCTTTATGCAACAATTTATTAAAACCATCGATCAAGAAAACTCACCAAATATTTCTCTACTGTCAAACTCGTCAACGACTGAATCATCCAATTCCTTTTGGGTACAAGGCCTTTCCTCGATACTTTTGTAAATATTAGGATTTTGGTTTTCAAGCTGATCAACTGACATAATACTCAGTTAACCTTGGTCATACGGCAAAAAAAAATATTTATATATTCTGCTCCTAATAAAACTAAAATTTACGAGTACTTCACCATCAATCCATCAACAAATATCCAACCACAAATAACAAATTTCCCTAGACATGTGATCGTCGATCACGAAAAAGTATAAAAGTTCTATATGTATAGATTGTGGGATGTAAACGTGCTAGACTGGGACACAAAATACTGGGATACTTTAGGTCTGTTCGTTAAATATCAATCTGAGCGATCTATTAGCTCGCTTCGCTCGGCAGGCGTTTAATAATGCAAATATGTTGTAAGTTACATATGCTTCGTGTTTGGTATTTATGTGTGCGAGAGAAAACAAAATGATCGGTTAGTTCCGAGATTAATGTTAAGATCTCGATAAAAATTATCAACTTTTGGTGAAATTTTTGACTCTTGTTTGTCAGCACATCACTGTCTTCAGAAAAGACTTCATGACACATTCTTATTGATATAATAATGACAGAAAACGGAAAAAATATATACTTTATCTGGTAACCGGGACATGTCAAAATCCCTGGAATTGAAGCAGCTAATAACAGAACCCGTCAAGCAGCAAGTATTACCGAAATCGATGACATACCGATTCGATGCAATGTCCAATAGGACATTGAGATTAAAAATAACTGGCAGAGTTGCAAATGGTTTTAATTATTGTAAAACTATGAATCATTTCGTTGAGAATAATATTATCCATTCTCCATTTTATGCTACGCACATTGATTTATCTGCCGACTGTGAATGGATTATTGACAGTTACAGAACATTAGGCGAGTTCTTGAATTCAACAGAAAACTATATCATAGAAAAGCGCACTTACCTTTCGAAAGGACTGATAGATGTATCAATGGAAACGATCGGTGGACTCATCCGTAAATTTAAGAACTAGCGTTAGGGAGAATACACGATTTTTCCATCCTCCATATTTCAAGCGAGTTCTAGCACTAAGATATAATTATGAACTCTGTGATTTTGTTTCTTGATTTCTAATACTATACTCGTATTCTCAACGTTTCTTGGCTAACGATTCTACTTTGTGATAAAGCTGCTCAGTCTTAGGTTCAGTTTGTCGAAAAAATTACAGAAATACATTTGAATACAGTAGTTCTATTGCATATTGAGACGAAGAAAAGGTCAGTCTTTCTGTATTATCGGAGATCTATTTCCTTATATAAAGCTGCATTTGCTGTGAACTGGTGAACGCACCTTTCAATTTATATTAATTTTAATTTCCATCCTCCTTATGTGGTCGATATTTTATTCCTTTTTTGAATGCATTGTATTCATTTGTTGAGATATGGAAGAAAAGGCGAAAGAAGATTTTGTCAACATTTTGAGCAAAACAGAAAGGCATTTTCAAATACTACATACCAAATGGCAAAGTGACATGAAAACTTTTGAGGCGAAATTCAGGACTCAAATACCTCCGGATAATGAAGATCATAATTTTCTGTGCGATGAATGGGTTAATTTATTTTCTAGAATAACAGACACTGTTTGGGCCATGAAGATATCGAATACAGGCCCAAAAATTAGGTTTCGGAAGCAATATCAGTGCTGGACAGGAGGTGGAACATTGGTCAAAAAGGAACTCTTATTTGACCCAACAAGATGTAAAGGAACATTAGATATCAAGGTTTTAGCTGATAATACCTATTCCAAAAGGACGAATAGACAGAGAAAGCTGGGATTGAATATTGTAGTTAAAGTAAGTATAACTACTACATTTTGTGTTTTGTTTCATACATATTTGTGTTTCCCCCAATACCACCGTTTCACTATTCATGAAAATGATTATAGAATTCTTACAATAATTCTTATCAATAATGATAACTGTGACAAAGACATTTTGTATGGCTGACGTTTCATCTACAACTGTGGTAGCCATTATCAAAGGTTGTCTTTACAGCACACACTGAATATTATATGATGTGTTATATTAAAATACAACAATAAAATATCCACTTCATTTCAGTTTTCAACAAAAAACTTTGGAGGCACTATCAAACATACCAGAATTGCCTCTAGTCTACTATTTCAATTTTGTTCTACTCACAATGTTAATATATTGAATAGTAGATAGAAACAAGCATGAATCATGTTGAGAGAAGTAAAACATTCACGTACATAGTAAATTTCATCCAAAACTAGACCCGAACAAAACATAAAAAAATAACTTTCTCAACATCAGAGCTGCTTATGTATAAAATTAGAATAAAGACATGATTTATATTTCAGATGAATTTCCATCACCTACATGAAGTTGACACCACACCACCTTTTTCATTTTTTGTTCATCATTGCTTGCCTCAGCAGACTCCACCCCAGAGGCCTATAAAACCCAATGAAAGACTTCCAGAACTCGTAGCAGCTATGGTTCAAAGTGGCCCCAGCGTTTCGAGAAAAACAGCTGCCCGAGCAAACGAAATCATCGGAAGGCTCGATAATCAAAATAAACCCAACCAGTTTGTGATAAACTATGAGGAAAATATTTTACAGACTGTTGCTCATACGGATTCCCCAAACGTAGAGGAAACAGAACCTGACTTGGGCCAGAGTACAACATTTCAAAATATGGAGCCCGTTAAGTTCGATGTACTTGGCACTTACGATAAGTGTACTCAGTTTGTTCTGAATCCTATGAATAATGTTAGCCAACTAGATGCTGGTGAACAGTTTCTGATGTATCCACTTGTATTTGAAGTACCCCAGATTGTTACAATCAGTACACAAAGTTTGCCCCCTCAATTTGTACATATACTTCCTAAAAGTGAAAACGATAATCAGAATCTTATGTAATTCTTTTGTAGTTTGAAGAATTACATAATTATGAATGTCTTTTATCATAAACGTATATAGAATGACCTTCAAAGGACCCCACACACTTCTTATGAATAATGTCTTTAAGTCGAATTACTTGAAATTTTGGTGAGTTTTTAACTCAATCTATAGATCGAAAGTAACCACTGACAAAAAATTGTATGCATAGTTTTAGGATATCAAAGTTGAAAAATGTTGATATCCAAAAAACAAGCAGTGCTTTTGAAAACCAGAACTTCAGTTCGCGACCTATTAAGTTGGCGTCTTCAGAAGATAAAGTAGACTATTTCCTAACCCTAATTCTGGCCTATTTTTTTATCTAACAGGTTATATTTTCATTAACAAATAGACAAAAAATTTTATTGTTGAAGTTTTCACTAATTTGACCAGATTGATTCATATAAAGGTAGACAATGACCTGTTTCGATTATGACTTTCATCACTGTCTCATGTCACATTCCATTTCCCGACTTTCGAAAGCATCCAAAAGTATAGTGTCATTTACCCATCTCAAATGTTTTAGAAAACCCATACTTATCCGATTTCAGAATCAGATAAGTGCTTTGTGTTCTTTGAAGAGTCTTGTAGCTTGTTTAGTCTGACCAATGTACATAATCTTGTGAAGAAACGAAGAAATCAATTAATTTCAAAAGGAACTCTTTACAAAGATGTGCGGTTCATGCAAAGAAGTAAGTTTCAGCCACGAACTGGAAGAGAAAGCCCTATCGAAATAACTACTTTCATATAAACATTGAATTACAGAAAGAAAAATACTTTCAAAACAATAACTTTTACTTGAATATTGAATCATAGAAAAACACTTTTCCCAATTCAGTTTGTACTACAAATATTCGTTATGGAAGTGACCCAGAGGATGGCTACACAATATAGTATATGAAAGAAGTAAAATTTCACTTACATGGAATACTGTGGTCCTCAATGGCGGACATCCGATGTTTCAAAATGAGACACTTACTGTTTGTTCAGCACTACTCTAGATACCATTACAAGATGAATCATAAAATTACGACTTATGTCACGAATGAGTTAAATCTACCCATGTCATTGATGACAGTACGTAATTACATTCATTCGCTTATTTGACTTAATCCCAGCTATAGGAATCTTGTTTGAATTGAAAGGGGTATATTTTACCAAAATTAGTTATATAAGGGAATAAAAAACTAAAACACATCATGGAGATTCAGAAAAGGTCATTCCACCAAGGACTCCAATAATCAGAACAACCATCTTGACAGAGTGATCTGGATAGAGTCTGCGAAGTTCGAAGAGAAAATCTTGATATTTTATATTATTATTTTCCGAATTGCTGTTTTTAGGTGTACATTTTCTGAATCACCCAGTTTATGATTTTTAATTTTGGTTTCCTTACATCACTACTTGAAAGAGTGAAATGTTTTTTGAACTGAAAAAAAAACGAATTATATTGAAGCAACAGTAACTGTCACACTGGTCACGTGGAACCAGTCTGTATGATTTCATATAACCTAAAACTAATAATCAACTTATCTATTAAAAAAACGCATAACTAGAGATATGTTGCAGATCAGGATTATAGAGTGAATTCTCTATATTCTTTATTATCTGCGACCTAAAATACACATTTTTTTCATTTGTGACCCCCTGTATTTGAAAAAATATAGATTTTATTGTGCTCATGTTGTAGAAGTGTGTGTGGTCTCTTAAAATCAAGATTTGTATTTCTTTTATGTTAACTCCACTTTGACGATTAATTCAACATAATTGAATACAGTCATAGTAATAACTTTATACTATGATACAGTTCATAATGGATAGAAAGAAATCAAATCATTACTAGGAGCACTAAAAAGTATACTAAAAACATATTTTCCGTTTATAGAAGTACTAATTCCAAAAATTCCTGAGACTGATTATCTTTTGAATGAATCTTCAACAATAATTTTGAGAATTCACTCGATACACAATTGAAGTAAATTTTTAAATAATGTGAAAGGGAGTTATTCAATAATGAATTTGGGGGAAATATAATGGCTCAAATATTATTTTTTAGTTTACGTTCTTATACATTCCCTTTGGATATTTTTTGTAAAACACTAACCATTGTTTCAAATAGCACCAAACTTTTAGCGGAGTTTAAGAGAAATAGTTCTAACTTATACGACTCTGTATATAATTTTGTTGAAGATTTAATATATTTATTCAATTTTTGGTTATCTGCATTTGTATATTATATAGATTTTGATGTACAATGTATATGTAATAAACACTTTTATTCATCAATATGATTTTTAAATACATTTCAATTTGGAATCTCCGATGGATGCTAAAATTCCCTTTTGTTTCAGAAATTTTATACCCCATGTGGGGTAATCCCAGTGGCGTAGCCTGGGTATCGGCTGCCCGGGGCGGAAGACAATTTTGCCGCCCTCTTAATTAGTTATTTCAATTTAATGTATACTATACATTAAATATAATTCTATATAATTCTAGAGAACTTTTCGGCAAGAAGAGTCATCATTATTTTGCATTATATTGTATTGAGTTTTGGGTGAAATGAGCGATAATGTTTTGGTGTGGGCATTCCAAAAGTGGAACTTGACTTCAATTAAGTCAAGGACAATTTGTAAAATTTTCCAGAAACAATATAAACTACGAAGAAACCGACAATAGGTGTGAAAGAAAATTGTGTATCTGAATTATAGTAAAAAAGCAATTTTTAAATCAAAATATAAGAACAACAGGTACCTTCGAACCAATCACAGTCGACCAAATTCATAACTCACTACCTTTCTGGTAGTAATGGAACTCATCAGAATCAGAAGACGCCTGAAGGGAAGATACCAACGGACACGCGCCCCAATGGACAAAAGGAGTATGCGGCAAGAGCTGCGTGCAATTCGAGACCGACAATGGACAACCCGTCTAGAAGTACTTCGTACTCCGAAGAACACCGAAGACCCATCTTCATGGAGAATGCAGAAAGCTCTTAGGAAGGGACACCGAAAAGGCGAGCAATGAATCGTCTACACGGAAGCGGAAGCATTTGCTGACAACTTCGAAAGGCAGTATATAGAGAAAATGATGTCTCGTTCACGGACGAAGTAGAACAAATCGAAAACCAGGTCGAAGAGACGGTACGAAGGATAAGACGGCAACGAAGGGACAACGCGCAACCCTTGACATCTACATCACCCGAGGAAGTGAAATGCCTAGCCACTCGGGGAAAGCCCCAGGCCCGGACCAGATTCCAAACTGGGCACTGAAAGCCCTACCAAGGAAGGGTATAGTGGCAATGATGAAAATCATTAACGCTATACTCAGACTACAGCATTTTCCGTGCTCGTTCAAGGAGGCAACGGTCATTCACATTCCGAAGCCAAATAAGAACCACATATTTCTGGAGAACCATAGGCCAATAAGCATAACCCCTTCCTAAGCAAAGTGGCAGAACGAGTCATCTTGAAAAGACTAATAGAAAACTAAACCATCGAACTGGGGATATTCCTAAACGTCTCCCAGGCGTTCGACAGAGTTTAGCACGACGGACTACTAGCCAAAATGAGCAATTTTGGCTATTTGATTCAAATGGTAGGACTGTTACTAGATATTTTCCCAACACCAAGCCGTTATTTTAACACCTCGATAGGTGTTTCGATCACCAAGTGATCGTCTTCAAGAGAAAGATCAAACTAAACATACTTACAATGTTATCTTTATTTATACCATAGACACTTCTTCTAAGTACCTGCGTGTTAAGTGTCTTAAATTAATTTCACAATATTGCCTTATCTACTAATCTCCAAGCTGTTCATAAATATGTTTGCTGAAAGTGGACTAAGGGGTGAATCTATTGGTAAACCTGTATCCTGTTTATAAAATTTGTTGTTGAGCTGTATAAAACTCTGATTTAGGCATCATACATCGAAAGCTGTCGAAATTTCAAAAGAAGTGAAATGGTCTACTTTGGCTTGATGTCATTTTAAATATATTAGATAACGGTTATAACGTTCAAACTTTACGTACTGAACCTATTAGCAGGCCTTACATTAAAACATTCAAGAGTTGGGTGAAATTATCCAATTTATAAACAATAGACATGTTTGAAATTCCCACGTTTATAAGCAGAAAAAAAAGTAAGTATCTCACCTGAGTTGTTCACTATTGCCAATATTTGATAATGAGTGATACGCGATTGTCTATTTTGCAACGAGGTGTTATAAAACACTTCAAGAACAAAACAGCCATTGTTGTCTACTTGATGAGAACGAAAGTACTTGGGAATCTGAAATCTCCAAACAATGCCAGATATATTTCATACATTATTCAAAATATCTCAACACTTTTACCCGCAATTCGGTGTTGACAAGACTGAGTGTTGTGCATGTGGTTTCGAAAACTTGCAACATGATACAGGTGAGTTTTGTGCTTTATACGAACATAAAAAACATCTCAGCCGACGATTGTCAGTGCCTCAATATTTAATACCAGAACTACTTATAATACTGAAATGGATTGAACAATTACGAAAGCCAAATATTATGTTCTGACTTTACAAATATATGAAAATTATTACATGTAACAAATATTTTCAATGAATATCTGTAAATCTTGATCTTATTTTGAAGCACGGTGTTCAAACAGTGGGACTGAATGAAAAATTCGTAGGGGTCCACCGGTTCATTTCTATGTATTGGTTTCTTTGGCGTTTGATAGTGCCGACAACAAGTGTGCATAATACCGTTTACTTCGACTATACCTACTATATAAAAACTAATTTTTTGGAACATGAATGCTTCAAGAGAAATTCTCATTGACGGAATCCTGAAGATTTTTTTAGAATAGAACATCGAAAAATACATGTGTTTGGATTCATGGGCAAATTTATAGTGACAACTGACAAAGAATATTGGTCTCCATTTTTTTGAAACACTGACGGGGAATTGTGAAGATCTAACTATGATGATGAAGCTGAACGTTGAGAAACACATGCTGACTGCTAATTATTAATTTATTTGTCAACTTATCAATTATAACTCAACCGGTATACAGTGTGTGAAAGCCAAATGGAATAAATTCTTTATTTCGGTCACTGTACATTTAAAAAAAATCCCGAAGCACGTCAAATGTAAATTATAATTTGACATACCACCCCTACCTCCAACCTCCTTCGAATAACAGGTATAACCCCCCAACATTCTAACCTCAGATAACACTGTCTTCTAATATTATTTAACATATCAGGCGTGACGGACCTGATCGCAAGCGTTATTCGTTCTTTCAAGGTTTAGATTTGTACACATTGCTCTTTATATATCCCCATAAAAAGAGATCTAATGATGAAAGATCAGGTGATCGTGCTGGCCATTCAATCGATCCTCGCCTCCCTATCCACCGTTTGGATAATGTTGTATCGAGATATTGCTGGTCATTAACTTGGTAATATGGTGGTGCTCTATCCTGCTGAAACCATATGGTAATCGTGATTAATGACTTGCTTACTTTATGGTAATTCATGATCACTTGAATGAAATCAATAAAAACACTTTTGTTTTCAAGTATAATGATAATGAAGTCAAACCCGAAACCGGTCGTATTAATGAAATCTACCAGTCAGTGTCGTTTTTAGGTTTTCCGGGGCCCTGGGCCAGTCACCGTTGGGGGCCCCTCCCCTCTCCCCATGAAAAAATGTTTTTTACAAAAACACGTGTTACAAATATTTTTTACAACATTTTATTTATTACACAGGTTTTTCTCGGCCTTTCGAATGGCGAACTACTCGATTACATCTTTGAAATCTAAGTCTCTGAGGACATCGTTCTCTATATTCATGAGCGACAACCATTTGAGTTTCTCCTGACTCATGCTATTCCTCAGTTCGTTTTTGATCAATTTAAGTTTGGAGAATGATCGTTCACCACTGGCGTTGGTGATCATTAAGCACAAGAAAATTCTTAACGCGATCTCTACATTAGGAAACGTGGCAGCAAGATTGTTACTCTTTAAAAGTTTGTACATGTCATAGATAGGTATGTGATCACCGAACATTTTTTCCTGCATCAAATAATGCTTAAAGTGTTCACATTCCATCAGCAGTTCTTTTTCGTCGACGTCGTTTGTATAAAACTCGCTAAAAGTCTGACAATGATCTTGCAGCTCTTCAAATCGCAAAACGCTCAACCTGGAAAAGAATCCGAACAAATTGAGTAGTTGATCGGATCGTAAGCCTTCGAACGATGTTGCAGTTGAGTGATCAAAGAGTCGATGATTGGAAGGTAGACCTCAATCCTGAATTTCTCGCGGCCCTGGAACTGGGTATCTACTGCAGCTCCATCGGAGAAAGTTAGTCGGGAGCTCCTTTGTCTCGAACGGGTTGTCTTATGCCTGTATTCGAAGTCCGGGAAGATCTTTTTTGCCGCAGCTTTGTAGGTCTCGAACATGTCGCGTTGATCCTCCACAAACGCAAGCAGGGCTACGTCGAGAGGAAGACTTTCACTCTATATACTCTTCGACGTCTCGTTGCACCTGACCAAAATGTTGCTCTACATCTCGGTCAGCAGAACAGAGTCCAACGTTTCCAGTTTCGCCAAAATGCCTCGAGCTTCGTTTCGCGTTTCCGGAGTTTCTCGTTCGTCATCCATGGTCCTCAGGCGTCGATTATTGCTGGGTAACACTTGTGCAATGCAGATACAGCATCCGCGCGCACAGACCACCTGGTGTCCGAAAGTCGTTTCACCACTGTACCTTTCCCAGAGAGACTTCTTCAACACGTTCCAGCGATGTGTAGAAGTGGCGAAGAGACTGTACAACTTTTGCAGCATCTGGAAGTAGCTTGTTGCCTCGATGACACACCCAGCGGCCTGCCCAACGACGAGGTTCAGGCTGTGCGCCAGACATGGGACGAACAGGGCGCAGGTGCTGTGTTCCTTGAGCTTTGCTTGTAATCCATTATACTGCTCTGCCATGTTTGGAGCGTTGTCGTACGTCTGCCCACGACAGTCCTGTAAATCTATACCGTTTTCTTCAAGAAAATATACAACGGTATCGGACAGGTACTCTGCTCCATGCCGTTCAATCGGAATGAAATCCAAGAATCGTTCTATTGGGGAGCAGTCCGTCATGTACCGCACCACGAAAGTGAGCTGATCGACGTGGCTGATGTCAAGGGTAGAGTCGACGCTTATCGAGTAGTACTTCGCTTTATTCAATTCCGAAATGATTTGGTTCAGTACTTGATGTCCCATTATAGCTATGAACTCATCGCAAATGGGTGCTGACAAGTAGGAAACATATCCTGTACCTTTATTCGCATGATTATGCAAATGGTCGGCAAGAAATGGATCCAACTTGCTTAGCAGCTCCAGCACACCCAAATAATTTCCGTTATGTAGCGATCCGATGACTTCGTTGTCCCCGCGGAACGACAGACCTCTGGATGCTATGAATTTTACTACCTCCACGATCCTTCTCCACACCTCTCTCCAGTAAGTCATTTCGTTGTTCAGTTGAGTAGCCAAACCTTCATCAACAAGACCAACGCTCTTCTTCCGTGCCACGTAAGTCAAGATGGCTTGCCTGTGTCCTGGACTGTTCTCGTGTTCCAAAATGCACGCCCCAGAATGTTTCCAATCGTTGAAGCCTCTGGAAGAACTGAATGCAGTACACGCGGGAAAGCACGGAAAGCAGAACAAGACTTTCTGTGATGGAGAGTACACAAGCCAGGATCTGTCAACTGTTTCGCCGTTGTAGTTTCCGAGAAAACACCGACGGATTCAGGCATCGAAGTTTCACTTTTCCATCGTGTTCCGTATAACTTCTGACAGAATCGGAGAAATCGCCATTTCTGTTCTGGAAAAATTCCGGGCCCTTACTGATCCATATAGCGCGATCTTCCTCGGTCAACTGCAACCAGTTCGCTGGGTCGTTAGAAACGTGTTTTGGTGTCTGATGAGTTTCCAGCAGTCCTTCACTTGGAGGTTGTTGCGACTCTTCACAGCTGGGGGGCCGAATTTCCGGAACAGCAGTATCTGCCGAGGTCGATGGAGTGTCATCTTTTTCAGCAACGGGTGGTGGTGACTGAGCTGCTGTTGACGACAAATATTGGGTCAGCTTGCGATCGAAAGTTTTTCTTCCGCAGCTTTTCGTCTCTTTGCCGCGCCGTCTGCAAAAAATATGGGCTCACAGAATTACTTATTCAACCCCGCTGTTTGAACATCATAAAACTCAAAATTTACTTTTCTTTCAGTTTTTTGTTGTGACACTGATTTTGACAAATGTTGCTTTTGGAGTTGAGAACATTGAAGAGTCAGGACATTTCAACTCACGTTATAATCAAGCGATTGATGAATCAGGATCGGCAATTTTTTCTAACAATCCACGAAATTCTGTAACCAGCAGAGACAGTAGAATTTTTTCAAGTAATCCACCTCGGGAGGCAAATTTAGCGGACAACCAACCATACCAAAAACTCTCTGAAAGATACAAAGAGAAGAAATCTGGAGAATTCGAGAATGTGAGTGAATTTTTTCAAAGGTTGATGAAAATGAGTTGAATAATCCTCCGAACTGAAAAAAGTTTCTCATTACTTGGTCAAAATTCATTGAAAAACTGATTTCTAAAGTAATTTTTGTAACTATTAAATGTAACTATTGAAAACGCACCTTTCTAGGTTTTCATTTTCAGATGAAGGAAAAAAAAAGATTTTTTAGAACATCTCAACACCATATATCTTGAAAACTATGCATTTTATGACCTACTTTTTATAAAATTCATAATTTATATAATGAGCAGTCATTATATTTTTCACCGCAATTAGGAAATACCCTGTATATGATAATAAGCCTCCTGACAGCTTATCATAAATTACAAAATTATAAAATGATGAATGAACGTGCTTGAAACGATAGAACAGTTTTCAGTTAAAAATGCTTTCATTTTTTTTTTATTTGAAAATAGTCATAAGATATTCGTCAATTGGCAAATCAGTTTGGTCCAATATGATCAGGTGCAGTTGAAGACATTTTCATTTTTGTTCTTTTTGTACGGATATCGTTTATTTGGCCAGTATTATATTGGTGGAATTCCTTATTCAAAACCTAGGAGTTACTTTTGACGAGTAACTGAAATGTGTAGAGCGATAAAATATGATAAAATAGAATTGAATGGAAATGAATGACATAAAATAGAATGTAATAGAGTAGAATAGACCATATAACAGACCAGAGGATAGAGCAGATAATAGAACAGAGAACACAAAAGTAAACAGAATAAATAACATAAACGAGAACAGAACTGAAAACATGACAGGAAACAACAGAGAACAGAACAAAGATCAAAGAACATAGAACACAATAGAACAGAAAAGACTAGAACAGGAAGAAACGGAACAGTATAGAACAGAATATATTATTTTAATCTATAAATGAGATAACATGTCAGATAATACAGTCACAAATCAGAACAGAAAAAACAATACCAGTTAATTTTTGATATAAGTAACTCTTTCTCTCTCTCATGTTCTCTATTTACAGTGATCTCCTTCAGTATTTTTTCTATGTTGCCACTCACACTGCCCCTGTAAAAAATTGTCCCCTTTTATTTATATTAAGCAACTTGACCAAACACATAATGTAACATAAAAACAATAGTATCCATATTTGATTACTTTCAATTAGTTTACTTCGCTTTCGCTCGCTTGTTTCATTCGCCAACGTAGGGACTAGCAACTCTCTTTCTACTGGACTACTTCAAGATATCTGTAGAACGTTCGAGACAAATCAAACTTCTCCAATCAAAACTCCAACCGAGTTCCGCCCTCATTGAGAAGAATTCACTTCTAAATTAGTTTATTTTACGAACAATTTAACGAAGCTGACGACTATGACCTAGGGATCAAAATTCAATAAAACTCATACTCATTAACGATCATAAAATTGGAGCTACGAAAAAAGTTTTCAGCGTTTTATAACCCTTTGCTGCACGAAACTTATTCAATTAAGTTGGTTTTTCATTTTTGGGCCATGTATTCAATCCACTTGAAGAACTTTTTAATATTTATTCCAAGTTGAAAGTGGTCCAATTTGAGCAGGGAAAGTTACCTACAACTCCTCCAGAGGAAATTCGAGAATATATTTGATCAGCTATACGCGGAAATTGAAGCGAAAATCAAGGAGCTCATTTTCAAGGCTTCTGGTGGACCCACGTTCATACAGTGGGATCCATTCAAAAACGAAATACCTGTCCAGCTCTTCACTTTCTAAACTGTGTAGAAAAACTCTGGGAAACTTCCGAAGGAAGGGAAAAAGCAACTACTTTTATATGAACTTTAAAATTATATTATCTAGAGAATCATCTTAAGATTCCACGATCAATGGTGGTCATAAATTGAGTTATAAGTTAAAAATTATGAATACATATTCATTGAAACAAATTAACACATCTGAAATTAGATTACAAACATGTTAGAGTTTGAGAATTAGACGGTAATCATAAGATTTGAATATTACATCGAGATCATCAAGAACATCAAGATCGTCAAGATGTTCAGTACAAACATATGATATATATAGAAAGCCGACTGCTGAAATTGGGTCGCTCAAACGACCCGATGGAACATTTACGACCTCTACGAAAGAAACGTTAGAGGATGGTATATTTCCAGCTCTTCTTTAAAACGGACTGTAAATAATTTTACCTATTCTCACAAAATTGTATAGAGCTAGTCTGGCGTGAAACTATACACTATTCAGTTGGTTCGCAGCAAGGGTGGTATATATACCTAAAGTGGGCCGGAGAGACTCACACCCCATCCTTCCTGGTGAAAGGACTTGGGAAGATACTGGATGGACATATCAGGAGGGTAGCATTATATGAACCCCCCCTGAATAACCACCAGTATGCTTATCAAACCGGCAAATCGACAGATTCAGCATTAAACAAGCTTGATATTGAAGGAGCATTTGACAATGCACTACCTACATCTATAGGATTGTCTCTGGCTAGGAAGGGTATAGAATCGACCATAACTGGCTGGATCTATGCCATGCTAGTAAACAGAACTGCAACTACGACTCTTCAATGCGAAGCTATCAGGTGTTGTGCTATCTCCCCTACTGTGGTCGCTCCTGGATGGTATGCTTGATGCCCTCGACAGAAAAAACTTCGAACTGCAAGCTTATGCAGATGACAATGACATCCTGGTGGACGTGTCCACATCGNTCTATTAAGTTATACTTGCAACATAGTAATTGGTGATAATTTGGCTTCTTTACGAATCCAAAGTATTGTGGTATGAAGCAGCAAATCACATGTTTGAAGAAAAGACCTTGTTAATCCGCATATAGCCCAAGATGACAGATGGATTATTTATTCATGTCAACACACAAGGGTCTTTATCTCCGCCATGTATGTCCATCTGTTTGAACTTAAAAACTACCGAACAGATTTTCATACGGTTTAAACCAATTGACAGAGGAATTCAAGTCGGGGCGATGGTACTACATAGAAAATTTTTATCGAAAACGTTGCATGATCCCTTCAATTTATAACAAAACAATTCGCTACACATGGTTCGTCTTTCACAGATCTACAAAAAAGTCCGCGATGACATATGTCTATCTTTCAAGGATAGTTGACTATATCCATTTTAATGTTTGAAATATTTGATAAATTGCAATAACTTGTAATATATTAGGGGTTAATGCAAATTTTGAATTATCGCGCGAGAAAAAACATTCGAGCGACACACGGGTGATGAAGAAAGGCTGCAATTATTGTGTGGGCTTTGTTTTACGTAGTGAAACGTAGTGATTCGATTCAAAAAAAGGATCGTGTTGGTTAAGCAAAAACAAAGAAGAAAATATCTCGAACATTGACAATTTCTGTTGATCGTTCAAATCGTGGGAATTACGTTGTCACTGACCTCGGATTCTGCTGACACTCAGCTTCAATTCCTAGAAAAGACTATTATCAGCATAGCCGGCCAAAGAGCATCGCCTCGAAGACGACCTTTTGCCATTAGTCTGATTTTATACTTCTACTGTTAAACGTCGTTTCTAGGATGGATGCGTACGTTCGCGATTTTGAACAAACAGTAGAAACTGAAGCGAACACTTTCACGATATACTTTTCCACTTTCAAAATCCTACCGATTGCGCCACTTATGTTTTTCAGAAAACGAAAAACTTAAAAAAAAAGATTTTTTATTCAATACATAAAAATTGAAGAAACGACGTTTGACACTGGATGTATAAAATCAGACTAACTGCATAAGGTCGTCCCCGAGGCCGGCTATGCTGATAAGAGGCTTTCCTAGAACATGTAGCTGAGTGTCAGTGGCAACGTAATTTGGGGCACCAACTTTTAGAGCTCTTTGACCTTTCCTAATACTTTCCCTTTCCAAAATTGAAGCTCATAGTTGGGAACATTCTTTTGTTTGAGTCAATTTTATTAAAGATCATTATTATTGGTTACTATCTAGCTTTGAGGGTTGATATGAGAATGAGTGGTAGTTGGAATATAAACATTACAGGAGGTAGACAGATTTTGCTTTGTATAACCCTACCAATAGCTAGCCTCATACATACAAAAAAGCTCAGTTTCAGAACAATAGATTTTCATGTTTATTGAAGTCCAAATTGATTGTTTCACTATAACTTGAAATCCGTTCTCGATATCAATCACCTCAAAATAATTTACTACGCATTGGTACAATCTAGGCTCCAATATGCCATACTCAGTTGGGGTGGCATATTAGACATCCACCTGAAAAAAGCTGGCCTCATACATACAAAAAAGCTCAGTTTCAGAACAATATAGTCTCAGGATTGTTTGAGATTTTATTTTTTCTACCAGTTTTAGTATTGAACAAACTAAAACAAATGGCTTTGAAATAGCAAGCCAAACTGAAAAGTGGAAAATAATTAATAGTTTAAAAAACTAAAAAACACGCTTTGATAGCAACACAACTGAAAAATAATTCAAAACTAATTTAAGATTGTGTTCAACATCGATGACAAGTCCTATGTCTGAAATCTGAATAAATCTATTTCAAAAAAAAATTGAAAAAAAGCATGGGTGCTAAATATCCATTGTTATAAATACTTCGTTAGGAGCTGTTTGCCAGATAGGAGTCATAATAAAAATAAAATTTAAAGAATCTCACGCTTTTTCACAACAAATTTAATTTTTAATTTATTCCACTCACCTAATAACAACATAAAAGTTTGTGGTCGAAAACCCTCAGATTTACTCATTGTGGTTTGGCTTTACAATTCCCGGGATCACAAAATGCAAGAACTGAAAGAGCACGTTAAAACCTAATGAATAAACTAGTTCCACATGGAATTATCATTGTTCTGGTTGAACGGATCCATTCGCGAATCACTTTGATGTGATTGACTTTTTGAATTTGATTCCAGTTATTCAGGGCAGTGCTTCATGGCGAAGGATGAATGAAATTGATTAGATAATTGCTAGAAATTGTTTAGAACTTTGAAAAATAAATTAAACGCTACAAATTCAGTCACTAGGTACTTAGATATATTGAGTTATACTTGCAACATAGTAATTGGTGATAATTTGGCTTCTTTACGAATTCAAAGTATTGTGGTATGAAGCAGCAAATCACATGTTGGAAGAAAAAACCTTGTTAATCCGCATATAGCCCAAGATGACAGATGGATCATTTATTCATGTCAACACACAAGGGTCTTTATTTTCACCATGTATGTCCATCTGTTTGAACTTAAAAACTACCGAACAGATTTTCATACGATTTAAACCAATTGACAGAGTGATTCAAGTCGGGGCGATGGTACTTCATAGAACGTTGTATGATCCCTTCAATTCATAACAAAACAATTCGCTACATATGGTTCGTCTTTCACAGGTCTACAAAAAAGTCCGCGATGACACATGTCTATCTTTCAAGGATAGTTGACTATATCAATTTTAATGTTTGAAATATTGGATAAATCGCAATAACTTGTGATATATTAGGAGTTATTGCAAATTTTGAATTATCGCGCGAGAAAAAACATTCAAGCGACCTATGATAACACGGGTGATGAAGAAGGGTTGCAATTGTTGTATTGTGTAGTGATTCGATCCAAAAAAAAGATTTTAAAGTCCCTTCCCGAAATACCACAAGGTCCGTGTGTCGTGTCAAAGTTATACCAGCCCATACCATTATCGATCCACCTCCAAATGGAACAATTTTTCGCACACAGTCATCCAAATAGCATTCACTGGAACGTCTCCATACCCGAACACGTCCGTTATTGTTGAATAACATGAATTTTGTTTTCATCTGTAAACATTACATTGGCCCACTGCTCTAAATTCCAATTACGATGCTCTTGACAAAAGTTTTTACGATTTCTTCGATGAGCTGGAGTTAATCTAGGGGCTCTAGCAGGTGATCTTGCATGGAGTTGTATGTCGTGAAGTTGGTTTCGTATCGTTTGGTTCGAAATTCGCGTTCCCGTAGCTTCTATAAGGCGATTTTGCAGTGTTCTAGCAGAATCGGTGCGAGCCCTAATTGCCCAAAGAAAGTAACAAACGAAGTAGTAAATTCACATGTTTCGCTGACGACACCACTATCCTCTGGCATAGCAATACCGCCTCCAATTCACTTGATCAAATCATCGTCGACATAAGAAGGGTTAAAGAGTGGTGTGATTTCAATCTTTTATCATTCAACACGTTTAGATGTAACATAGGGGAAGTAAAATTGAAAATTTGGAGAAAAACAAATTTTTAGGGCTCTTCATTGATGAAAATCTAATATTTGATTCCCATGTCGACTACTTATGTAAAAGACTAGCAGCAGGATGTCATGCAGTGAGAGTTGTTGCAAGAGAGTTAGACACTACTATCACAATAGCAAAGTTCTTGGAACCCACAAGGTCTCTTCGAACTTTATCCGGGGTTATCGGGTTGCGCAGTTCATTGAGCTCAGGCTGTCGAAGCTCTCTGTGGAAAGCTTCGAACTGCGCTAGGGCTGGAGTGTCTAAGTTGAGTGGCTGCGGGTGTTCATAGATATCCTTCCAGAAGGATTCCACCTTTTTTTACCAAATCATTTTCTCAAACAGTTCGTGGGGCACATTTTCATGGATTATATTGGTTGATGAAGTACCGTATGAAAAATATAATATGTTTCGTGATTTCTAATGATCGCCTCTCTAATTATTTAATTTACAAACAACATTAATCAAATAATGTAAACTTTCACGGCCGAAGATAACTGTGTAGACGCTATTTTCCGGGTTTTCTGGCCGTGGTCTTTATGCTTGCTCGGACATTCCGACTGTTACCACATCGCCTTTGAAAATGTCTACCGCAGCAGTAGACGAAACGCCAAACATAAGAAACCTGCAGACCCCGGCTAGAAAACCCGGAAAATAGCGTCCATATAATCAATGTTGTTCTATTCTGCTGCAGAATAACCCCAGGATTCGAGATTACGAAGCCCTTGCGAAACATGGAGCTAAGGTTCTCAGAGTACCACCAGAGAAATTAGGACAGGATTATGTGCCTCTTTCCCGCGTGAGTATAAATTTTCTGTAATTCAAAGAATCGAAATTATTCTGATCATCAGTGGAGTCTTTGAAAGTGCATTCCTTGTTTTCCTCTGTATTTTGAATTAATAAATGAAATTTTTCTCGAGAATTCTGCTTTCTCAGTGTATAATATTCCTCTCAAACAATTTTGTAGAATTTTTGGAACATTTTGAATATCCTGCGTTCAAATTTCGAAATTTTTATGGGGTTGAATAGAGTGGTCATTGGAAACGTAAAACAAGGCATCAGAAGGCGGAATAAAAATGGTGTACCGCAAGGTTCAATACTGGGACCGATACTTTTCTTGTTATACATAAATGAGTTAACATTTATCGATATAGAAGAGAAAACTTACCATATTTGCCGATGATACCACAATATTATGGCATGAAACACATTTATGTAATCTTCACGAGATTATAAACACTTCCCGTGGAAGTATCTATAAAAGAGAGAATCATCTTCAACTTTTCTTCGATGTTCCAGACTATCAAAGTTGCAAGTGATGTTCGTGTTTCCAATCAGGTGAATGGCTTTTAGCTGGATGGAATCCAGCAGCTTCAGGGTATGCTTAGGGGAGGAGCTCCATACACGAGAACAATACTCCAAAGAAGGTCTGATCTGAGCTTTAGAAAGCATCAAAAGTTGCTGAGGTGTGTACAGTTTTCTGGTTCGGAACAGTGTTCTCAGCTTTTGAGAAGCATGCTTTGCAATTCCAGCGACATGATTGTGCCAAGACATATTGGTGTCCATTTTAACCCCAAGTAACTTATCGAAGCAGAGAGAAGAATTGTCTGTCTTGACATTATTATATCCGGTTTGGAGACTGTTGTGTGTAGTGTGAAGAACTTTGAGAATTTGACGTACATATATTTAATGAATTATAATATCGACAATATATTTGAATAACATGCGAGAGATAAATCGAAAATGATGTGTACGTCTCTTCGACTTGTAGTGGACTGTTCCGGGCCGATGTGAAACTCGTTCCTCGCCTCTCCCCGCTCCGGCTCAGTTGTAACTGTCTGCAGTGGAATGTGGACAGGGTCGTAATCGGCACAACAGAGACATTTATCTATTTGGAGGAAACCGATTACTTGAACCTGGTTACTTTCACATCAATTAGAAATCACTTCTAGATCATCATTGAGATATGCAACCTCCTGCTGCCAGTGAATATGTGCCTCCGTAGCCGATATCCTGAATCCGAATGGAATGACAAGACAAGTGTGCTGTTGTATTGCCAATTGCATATGCAGGAAATTTTCTGTGAAGATTCCTGCACTGAAGCCTGTCGGATATGATCCTCCAAAGCCCTTCATGTTATTAGCCAGGGGAGAAGTTGTTTTCTGATAGGCGTCAGTCCATTCAACCTACTGTGTAGGTATATTCGAGATTGGCTTGAACGTTTAAAGTTCACTTCTTTAGATTTGTTTACTGCTAGTCTTCCAGAATAGCCCACTGACTAATAAAAAAGTTTTTCTTTCTTATTCAGAGGAATCGGAAAAATTACGGATATGCAGTTGGTTAGTACCTTGTCCACTAGATGGAGTGACATTTTGTTGTTCGCTGCAACTTAGGAAGAGGAATGAAATACTGTGAAAGAATTCCGATTTTTAATTATGAAATATCATTGACTTCAGGTTGATGATGGCCACTATCTTGCACTGATGAGTGGCTAATGAGCCCGAAACCGGTCTGCAAGTGTGCCCGTTCCAAAATTGAAGATCGTCTCTTTCAGTTGTATTGCCAATTGCATGTGCAGGAAATTTTCTGTGAAGATTCCTGCACTGGCGCCTGTTGGATATACTCCAACGCCCTTCGTGGTATTAGCCAAGAGTGTGGTTGTTTTATGATAGGCGTCAGTCCATTCAACCTACTGTGTAGGTATATTCGAGACTGGCTTGAAGTTTGAAGTTCTTCTTTAAATATGTGCTGTCGTTAGCGAAGTGATATAATGGATTCTTGTTTTTACCAATAAATCGATAATATGCAATAAAAAAAGGTTGGAAACGATCCCTGGGAAACACCATCGTTGATGGTGAAAGTAGTCCAGAGATATTCGTCGACTTTCCTCGTGCAGGGAACGTTATTTCAGGAAGCTGGAGAGCCATACACAACAAGCAATAGCATGGAACTTTGGCCAGCAAATCCTCACGGTCAAAGGCCTTGGAAATATCAAGTGCAACAGCGCTGTACTTACTCTCCATGTCTCTCGATTGCGTTATTCCAAATATGGGTAACATACGATAGAAGATCGTCTGTTAATGTTTGTTTCTGAAAGCCATATTGATGATCGCTCAAGATGTTGAAGCCTTCCAAATATTTAAGGAGATGTTGGTTCACGACTTTCTCCATGATTGTTGATATCACTGATAACAAAGCTACAGGTCTATAGTTCTGGAAATGTTTCTTGCCTTTTTTGGGAATAGGCTGAACAGGAGCAATCTTCCAATAAAATGAAAAATCTCCTTCTTTGTAAGAAAGGTTGAGAAGTCTGCAAATAATTAGTACGAGTTCATTGGCGCACTTTTCAACAGGACCAGACGCCTAATTGATATTGAGCTGTTTCAGAATTCGCCTGACTAGACGTTGTCAAAAAGTAATTTCCGATATTGTGGATTCTAGTAAGGAAATAGTGGATGGTGCCTTTCCCAGATGATTGTGTATGATTTTAATAACTTTCCGTTTTATCACAATGTGATCTTGAAAGAAATGATAAAATAATGATTTTTCATTATCATTATTATCATAATTATCATTGTAAAAGCCTATCACAGATTAACTTCCACTTTCCACTATCCCACCAAATTCAACTCAACCGTCTGTTTCAGATACAAAAGAAAAACTACTCGTTCTCCTACAAAGTGGTTAATGATTTAACAGGCGACGATTTTTCACACTCTCAAATCACGAACTCCAGGACTACCAACGGAGAATACCGCGTTAAACTTCCAGATGGCAGGGTGCAGATTGTGTCATATTCGGCAGACAAAAACGGTTATAAGGCTGATGTCAAATACACAGAAAATGGCGTCGAACGCAATGATCACCAAGAAGTCCCGGATCGAGGTTCGTGAATTAATAGCGAGTAGTTTTATGGCTGAAGATGAAGAGTTTGTCTCGAGACATATGAGGGTGATCCCAAAAGTACCCGGCTCAATAAAAATTAACATAAACATTTTGAAAAAAAAAGTATCTACTTTTCGATACAATCTCTTTGCAGCTATATACACTTTTTCCCGTGATGTTTAGTATGTTCGATACTGTTTTTATAATAAGAAATGTCTTGCTCCTCAAAATAGTCATTAACTGCCGACATTACTTCATCATCGCTGGAAAATCTTTGACCATTTTGACCAGTTTTTCAATAATCTGAGGGCGCTAAATCTGGCGAATAAGGTGCATGAGGTAGCTATTCAAACTTTAATTCTCAATTTTGGCGCATTACCTTGATAAAATCAAACTTTTTTGTCAGTTTTTGTTTGATTTTTTCCACAAATATTGCAATAAGTTCACATAATACTCGTCATTGATAGTTTTACCTTTACCAAGATAGTAAAATGAAATTATTCCACGCGCATCCCAAAAAACCGATGCCATGACCTTGCCTGTAGATGAAACGGTCTTCGCCTTCTTGGGAGCCGGTTCTCTATTTTGAGTTCACTGTTTTGATTGTTCTTTTATCTCGGGTGTAAAGGGATACACCCATGTTTCATTCATGGTTATGAAACAACGCAATAATTCTGCTTTGTTGCTGTGAAACTTCGCTAAACACTCAATTGAAACATTCTCCCGACACTGTTTTTGATCGAGTGTGAGCAAACGCGGTACCCATCTTCCACACAGCTTTCTCATATTCAAATTTTAAGATAATATACGATGTACCGCACTACTAATTCTGCTAGCTCGCGCACTTTCAATCGACTATTATTCGTTTCCGTTTCGTGAATTTTATTCACCTCAATTGGTCGACCACTGCGATGCTCTTCTTGGCACTTTGTCCGGCCTCATTCAAACTCTGCTACCCAATATTTTTCGGTTGTAAATATAGGAGCATTCTCACCCAGAGCAGAATCCAGTTCAGCTTTCAAATTGATTGGGCTGAGGCCTTTTAAATAAAAATATTGTACCACATAAGGATGACAAATTTTCTACATTTTCACGAATTCACCGAAAACATTCGTTATTGATGGCTGCAAAACAAATACTGAACAATGCGGCGTGTTCCAACTTAAAACATATGCTAGATTGTGTACTTTCTGCTACAGTGATATTTTCCAAACAACTACCGCCATCTCTGGGCTAGGCCGGGTACTTCTTGGACCACCCTCGTACATGTGGCAATCTTGAAGTATTATTTTTCCTTCTTGAGAAAACCCAGTGGGGATTTTCGAATATAATTCTATTAATTTTCCATGGCTAAAAATTATTCATCCAAAGGAACATATATTGGGGGTCTAAAGTAAAAGGTCAGTTTTTCGCATAGAACCCGTAAATTTTTGGTTTTATGTTATTTAACGTTATCAAACTGATTCATGAGCTTATTTCAAAAGAAACAAAAGAAACCTCTTCAAAATAAAATCTATAGTTCTCGTAGGATATAGATGGTAGATAGAACTTTGTTGGACTGTACCTGGACTGTTTTTCCTGTGACTTGAATTTGAATGTTGTTCTTCTGCGTGTTTTTGGTAAAGAAAGAGAGAGAGAGAGAGCAACTATTTCAAATTGAACCAAGCTGTGTTTAGAATAATGTAGGATTTTCGGTTTCACAAGTCAGTTTCATGGTCATTTTTAAGTATGGGAAATGTAATAGTGACTCACCTTCATTTTGTCTATAGTATCTAAAAATTTAAAAAAATATAGGGTGTTCCATAAGAAAACATTTAATTTTGGTATGTAACTTTTTTGGGAGTGACCCTGTATATTAAAAAAAAGAAATATGCTCCTCATGAACCCACGTATACCTGTGCTGGAAGTTTTTTCCTAACTCTCTTCGTTTCTCGTAGAAATACCGAGGAGAATGTGGTGGGCCACCCTGTATAGAGCTGACATCTTTTAGCCAAAAGCCAAACACAGTAAAAAGTGAGACAATAAAAATTCTCTCTATCACAAAAGACTGCAAAGACTTGCTTTTGAATGAACTTTGAACAATTTCTCATGGCCTTCCAGATGATATAAGGAAAGAACTCGAACTCATTTCCTTTCCATAGAAATTTTGGATTTTTTCATTATTTATTGCGAGTGTATATACGAGGTCTGTTCAAAAAATAAAGTGAATTTTCCTGAAGCATATTTATTCACCAATTTTGATTTTGTTTTCTCCAAAGTGGTTCCCCCTTAGATATAAGACACTTGTGCCAGAGTTTTTTCCAATTCTAAAAGTACTTCTGATATTCTGTACGTTGAAAAATACAAATGATATAGCGAAAGTACATAAATGGCGTTATCAGTGGACTGTAATTTTAATTGTAATTCATTTCGATACGAGGGCATCAAAGTTACCTGATAGTTGGTGTTTTCCTCCTGGATAAGCTGCTCTGGGTTTTCTCAGGAGCTCCTTGGAATGGTTTCCAGCTAACTCAACTGTTGATGCATATACTCGTTGACACAACATTCACAAAAGGGATAAATAGCGGTATATCGAGGAGATAGCGAACGAACTGATTATATTGTTTTAAAAACGGTTGCGATTCAATTTCAAAATCATTCATAACACTAAATATTCTTTCTGGTAAGTCATGAAAAAACCCATAAACAAAAAACTTTGAATGCTCGGTCTCGCGATAAAGAAATCGAAGTGAAAATTGAAATGTTGACGGTTTTCCGAACATATTCATTTTCTGGAATGTCCGTACGTATGTACGTACCTCGCGAAATGTGAACAATCACCTTGTTCCGACGGATCCGACTTGTTGATCGCAAATGCTATATCATACTTAGGAAAACTTTTTTATAATAACGAGTGAAATGCACAAGTTTTGCAGTTTAACGGGAAAAATGCAGATAATATGTGTAATATAAAAAGATTTTCATTGAATTTTTCACAGCGCACTTAAGTATTATGTGAAAAGAGACGTAATTATTTCTTCATTGATAATTTTTATTTTATGTAAAATCAAAAAGAATATTAATCAAAATTATTCAACTGGATGAATTTGTCTTTTCATCAGTAGTGTCATTCTCACCAATCTGAATTATCAGTGGCTCGATTTGTGCCTCTATTATGTTATCAAGCTTTCACATCTTTGTCTCGACTTCCGATATCACATGCCGAACACATTTCGCCCATTTCTCCGCTGTGACTCTTTTCAAAGCCTCATCAAAAAGTACTTTGAGATCTGCAAATTTGAACGTAGTGTTATGCTGAGCTACAAAATTATTCACATCCGCCCATATTAACTCGATGGGATTGAGCTCGCAGTGGTATGGAGGCAGGCAAAGGACAATTTTGTTTTGGCCTGCTGCCATCTCATCGACTATATATTTTTGTTATTCAAGCTTGCGCTCCTTGACAATTTTCAGTAGCTAATATTATTTGAACGCAGCCAATCTTGGATTTCAACCTTCTTTGAAGACGTTATCGGAATCTTCTTTAACCTTCGCGAATGATAAGATGCATTGTCCATTACAATCACAGCATTATCCTCCAGATGGGGTAGAACTTTGGAAAATCACTGTTCGAAAGATTCTCCGTTCATTTCTTCGTGATAATCTCCAGTTTTCTTCGACTCGAAACACCACAGCCCTTCAGCAACAAACCCATTCTCATTGCCGATGTGACAAATAATAAGCCGTTTTCCTTTACCTGAAATTATGAAGAGGTTTGTAAGTAAATGAAACAAATACGAGGGTTACTTTTTATATATTGAGATTGAGGCAGGTCTTAATATAAATATAAGTTTACCTGATGGATTTGTTAATCTGGTAGATAGTCCATCTAGAAAGGCCCTCCTAGATGGGGTCACAGTTTCATCGACCCATACTTTAGGGGTAGTATGACCAGCATTAACCCAGGTTTCATCCATATAATAAATTGT